TGTCCGATAGGAAAAGTATAATTGGCGTACATTACAATACATTACCGTATACTGTCGCGTGTACGACGAGACAGACTGTAATGTATAATTGCCAAATGCTTAGCATTGTAAAATTAAATTAAGTCGATATGCACAGCCTGCACATTTTCCCTCACGTGAGATTTACCAATTATGTTGCAGGGGAGTGGTGGCGCAGTGATTAGCGCACTGTGCTATGAACCCAACTCATTGAATTCGATTTCCAGCCACGGCTTTGCCATCGGTGGTGATATTGGAAATGGCCCAGCTCGGAACTCGCCCCCTCCACTACATTATCGCCAACCTATACTGGCCAGAGTGGTGAAGTATGGTCAAACAACCCCCATGATCGACAGGGTGACAAAAGTCCTTCACCCGGCAGTGAATTGACAAATGTGGGTAAATTTGTTATTTTATTCAAATACAGTTCAACTTAAAGTTCGATTTAAAGCTTTCGTGACTGCAGGGATTCATCTTCTTGGTAGCTTTCGGTAAAGTCACGTAGAAGGAAAATAATAAAATAATAAAAATAAAACATAATAAAATAATTCTCACGACGTTTCGGCCACAACGCAAGCAGCCGTCCTCAGGTGAAGAACAGGTCTGTCGGAAAGACAGCGTCTGAACCATTCAGACGCTGTCTTGACTTTACCGAAAGAACCAAGAAGACAGTTGAACTTTTTTCTTGTTGTTGTTCCCTCATCATCCTGGTCATTGAAGCCACCTTATAACAGGAACGCACAACGGCGAGACGTTTTGGAGCAGGAAAAAACAAACTCGTACGGAACACAAGCTGCCAGACATCCAGACACTCGATGGGTCTCTCTCTCTCTCTTGACTTCGGACCCACGGAGTAGACCAGGCAAATCCACTCATGAACCTACACGCTCACCCGGGCACTACGCCACATCCAGAACTTTTGATTCTGCTACTGATACTCCTGCTGTTATGGAGTGACTCATGCAGCCAATTATGGCTGCAAAGTTTGGTCGTACATGTTATGTTTTTCGTTATTTGTTAAATTTGAATCACAGTTCCTATGATCACTGTTACATTGTTGTTATAGCTTTAGTTTGGTGATTTTGAAAACGTTTTGGTTTAGCCATGTTTGTTTGTTGTAGTACAGAGTTAGCCTGCTAACTTTAATCTACATTGTCTTATGATTGTTATTGTTTGACTTGCATCCCACTGGGATTTTTGCACACAGCGTTGAAACGCGGTGTTTTTTCTGGAAGACTTTGCTGTTTTTTCCAGGATTTTTCTGTTGCTTGTTGTCACTTTAAGATGTTTCTTGTTCATGTTTTTGTTTTATTGCGGTTGCACCCGAGTCAAGAACCGCATGGCTCATAGGGTTATACCTAATCAATGAAACTGAACTGAAACTGACAAAAATGTCACCAAATGTGTGTTTTTTTTATTGTGTGCAGTCAGTCTCGTCGCCACGCACCGAGGCTATTGTAACGCCCTCCTGTACGGTGTCAAATGATTGCCCCAGCAGCAATGGGGGAGCCAGGTTTTTTCAGGTAGGGGGGGTGGGCAACCCCTCCAGCAATGAGAAATGATAGAGGAGTTGTTAGTAAGTAAGGACTTGTCGCTTGCTTTTGATTCGACGCGTGTGCGGCGATGGTGCAACCATCGATCGAGGGTCGAATTCGAACCGTGTGTGATCGGCATCGCGCTCGCTAAAGGTGCTGATGCCTTCAGGGAAGTCGTGTACCGTATACGCAACTGCGCACTTTATAACCGCTTTGCCGTTACTTATTGCCAATTATGGACTCAGACTATTGTCCTATCATCTCATAGAGTCCCTGGCACATAATAATATGCTACACAGTGGCAGTGGGGGTCGCAAAATGCCGATAAACCCCAATGATCCGATCGAAATTAGGGATGTCGATCGGATCATTGGGCTCCGCCAGTGCTCAGCAGGCAACGTCTTCAGTGCCTTCAGAACTCCCTCACCAAAGTCGTTTGTCTAACCCCCCCCCCACATCCCCTCCCAGACCCACCAGACTCTCTCACGAGCTCTTCGCAATATTCTCAAATGCTTACCCTGGTTGTCAGTGCACGACAGCCGTGTTCACTTTCAAAACGAGGACGACACCGGTCAACTAACCAACCTACCGGAGCCACATCATCCACCCGCATTCACCACCACCACTGCAATCTCGGCTCGTCCTGGAAGTGACCTGGCTGCGTGCAAAACCCAACTCGGAGCTTCTCATCAGCAGCCCCCTATGGGCTGGAACAACGCGGTCTGTTAAGTCCGATCAACCAACAATGATCGACACTTTCAAGTGCAGAATAACGAAAAGAAACCGTTCTTTAATCTCCAGTGTCCATCGAGTCGAGTCCGATTCTCCATCATCCGTGCGTCTGCCTCGTCTTTGTAGACTTGTGACGCGTTGTGCATGTTACATTGATTTAGGCAATGGCCTTTTTTTCAGACAGCTCTGAAACATACAGGGCGCTTCAAACATATGTTACAACGCTTAGACGGGACTATCGTTTTTAATGGAAACAAATTAACCCGTAAAAACAAAGTTTTTCACTATAAATCCTTTATATGCGTGGCGGCTAGAGTCCTCTCGTCCTCTGGCTTGAGATGGCTGCCACCTATGGGTCAGATGATTGCCTGCCACCATTAAGCAATTGGTAATTAAATATAAAAAAAATTCCTAAAAAGTGTAAAGTTATGGAAAAAAAATTTCACGAAAATAAATTGTCACGCACAACGAGTCTGTGTGCAAAATGTCAGCTCGATTGGATCACGGGAAGTGGGTTAAAACACGACCGAAAGATTTGCACGGTCATAAGCGCGCAAGCAAGTAAACTTAATATAAAGGATCTAAAAAGAACGGATAATACTACACTGTAACATGATAACAAACGTTATTTTAATAGCTTCTAAAAGTCCAGAGTATCCACTTGTTCGCCATCGTTGTCAACGCGTGCCTGGAATCTTCTCCAGGTGGTCTCCAGAGCCCGGATGCAGCACATCTCTTGTGGTATCGTTGCAAATTCTCAAAAGTGTTAACATGTTTTGAAGCACTCTGTATTTGTTTTCCAAGCGCTTAATTCATTAGAAACGATGCTCTACGATTGACGATGGTGAGATTTAGTAAATTTTTTGTACACGGTCAACAAAATTCACAAATTTGTATTTTACTTTGGTTCAAGCCTTTGAACGGATCACTAAACTAACTCGGATGGACACCTTTTCGCGGATTTGTAAAATCGTCATGTCATTTGGTCTGTCAGACTCTCAAAGCCTCAAACAGGCTCAGCTAAATAAAAAAGTCACCAATGAATACGCATAACATAACATGCTGTGATTCACGTAAATTGGCAAATACCACCTGAGAATGTAAACGTCGGTGCCACGTGACACATTTTACTCTCCCTTGCAGAATGGATGGGAGTGTGCTATCCCGTACTGTGGACCAGAGGTCACGTGATGGCATCACAGAGAGCTCTGTGATATCAGCATCCGTGGGCCGTTCTCGAACGCGAAGGGTTGCACTGCTGTCCGAGATTGGAATGGATCCGTCTGACGGCATGATGCCCAAAGTGCAATATGGATACACATTTGCGTGTAGGGAATCACAAATAAAATGGCAAATACCCAGAAACGGGCCGTGTAACTGGAGTTTGCAGGCGTGAAATGCAAGGGACTTGGGTTTCCGAATTATGGATAAGACCGTGAGTCTCCACGTGAAAGAGAGGTGATGAATTATTCAAGGCTGTTCAAATCCCAGCAGATTCCTCGTCGCAAATCCTACATACACCACCCAAATCAATGACATGATCCCGACTTAAGTTAACTCCTTTATACCTTTGAAACGCAGGATTTTAAGAAGCATGCAGCTGCCCGGTGCAATATTCAAATTACTAGTTTCGTTTTTATTTGTTTACTTGTATTATTGTGGAGTCAATATGTATAGGACATAGAACCAGATTTGAATCACTTACGTACTTGCACAACCAAAAAATAGAATCTCCTTCATAACGGTAGTTGATCTAACACTAAACGTTTGATCAGGTAAGGTCCATTGAGATATATCTTTTTCAAAAGCGACTTGGCCACAAATGATAGCTCAACGGAGTGGCTTATCGTGGAAATGCATCGCAGCCACTCAAAAACATGTTTCTAAATATGGAGGGAAAACCCGGAGGAAAAACTCCACCCAACCACGGGGAGAACACGCAAACTCCAATATACAGGCGCCAGGGACGGGATCAAACCTACGACGTCCTACATACCAGGCGAGGTAATTAATATCTCGCCACCGCGACGCTCATTGGGGTTATCTTGAGTGTCGGATGTTGGATTCATGAGACTAGTTAGGAGGATGTGAGAGGTTAAAATAATTAGCATTGGAGTTTTGGGTGACGCTCAATTCTTGGGGCTCCGGTGGAATGGAGTCAATGCATTCATGTAGAGGTATTCTATTACAGTATTTAGAATGAGGTGATAACCCGCAGAGACTAAGTCGATTTTGCAAAGAAGCTCTGGGGCTGCAGGGGAGTGCCGACTTGGAGATGGGATTTAATAGAGGTTATGGATTAGGGGTTATTATTAGATTATACCAAAAACAAGCTCCCCGTGGAATCATTGCAAAGGGAGCATAAGCCCACATCCTGATGAAGACATTATCCCACACACCCCACTTGCATTATAATGCTCCCATGTGCACATAACCATGGTTCAAGGTCTCATGTGCAGTACATGCAACCCCACTACCACCCACAAACATCAATCACCATCACATGCAGGGCCATCCGCCAACAAAGCACCACAACAACCACCAGTCGTGCCCTGCGGTAGCACGTTCGTTGCCGTTGCAGAAGTTCACGGTTCGAATCCAGTGGCCACCTCAATTAGGGCGCTATCTTAATCCGAAATAGAATGACACCTGCAGGGAGAATCACCACAATACTCGCAACTCTGCTTCACAGTGGATGTCAAAGATACAATTGACGTCATTCACAGAGAAGGCCATTATTTTTTATTTCTGGCATCACGGTCCAAATAAAAAAAACTATCCGCAAATTACTAAATTGGGATTACACAAAACAAACGGTTCCTTTTTGTCAGACTAATCCACTGGGTTAACTCGCGCAAACGATACTATTTTGGTATCTCCGTGTTCTCACCTGCTAAAAATAAACGTGCATAAAAAAAACCCAGCAGAAGCAGCACCACCACCCACCAGCAAAGCAATGGCCACACCTGCCCCATCGTTTTTGATTTGTTTGGAGGAAAACCCAACACGCGGTTGCGGCAAGGGAGTTCTCATCGCAGCGAGGGATCGTCTCGTGGCGCGCACTCTGCGACGCCTTCGCTCGAGGCGCGAGCGACGCTGTCCACAGCAGAGCGGGAACGTTTCACACTTCGCGACTCGTCAACACGACCACCAACGCCGTTTGGTCGCGGAGTCAAACGGGCGCCTGACAGCAAAGGCGATGCGATGTCTATGCACGCGCGCGTGTGCATCACAACGCCGCAACCAGCTCGACGAGAATGAACTCGTGCGTCTATCGTGTTCACTGCAACGAGCGGTGGTGGAAATTCCACATTTGTGGTGTGCGAAAGTCCATCCGTATGATTAACAGCGTACGCATTTTATTCGGCATGTACCAATCCTACAATGGCTTGATACATGTATCCTTATTTACAAAACAGTGATTAAATTCCATTTTGTTCCGTTACCTATTTTCCTCCACTTGTAATATTAGGGATACCGTACGATTCAAAATGAGATACGTAAGAAGTTTTGAATTAGAATGAAATGTTCATGATGCTTGCAATGATTTGCGTAAGAATCAATTATGTACGGGATTTAAGCAAATTATAAACTGAGGCCAACGTGGCAAGCAGTCCAATTGAGATGGGGAAAATGTAGAATACAAATTAGATGGCGAGAACGAGACCTACAAGTGACCTCGATGTTGAACGCCGCAACACGCAGATTGTTTCTCGCAGCAGGACCTGATTGCCATCAGGTTTGCAAATGTAGTCTTACTCTATATAACACATTCCTGCGGAGAGAGCTGGTAGGAACATTGGGTTGCTCGGTCAATGGCCAGGGTCAACGGCGGCGTGGTGTATTCCGCAAATATGGCCGACTGAGGGCGGGCACAAGCCGGCGTGAGTAGGTTAAACGTTGAGTTTTATAAGGGCACCACGGGGTGACCAGCCCCTCCCATTTTTGGATGCACTACGGACGGACACAATAATCCCGTGGGCTGGTGGAACCAGGTGGTTCCTACCAGTATACACACACACAAGGGCAACTCAATGAAAGTGCACTTCAAAGCAGAGACTATCCGAGGAAACACTATTAACTTGCAGATATCACAAATGCAGGTTACAGGTTCTAAACTCAACATGCTAATTATATTCGCTTTAAAACCATTTCATTATATTTCTTCTTTGTTCCGAATATATGGTTATGCACCCCCACCCGCAAAACACCAGACAATTCATTTCAACGAATGACGAAGTGACACGAGTTTGGTAATTGTGCTGAAAAGAGTGAAACATTTTTACATGTCTAGGCGAAGTGATTTGTTTGCGGGCAGCAAGATTGTGCCTGCGTCTACGCGGCGCCAGAAATAATTTGACCGAGCTAACTGGGCCTCCTACTGGTACGTTCAAATCATTTCCGTAATTTAGAAACATGTGGAAATGTATAAAAAAAAAACATTCACGTTGTGTTTTTATGTAAAAAAAAAACTAAAGCTACAATTCAGACTTAACAGTCGCATAGCAAAATAATACACCCCACTTATCTAATTGTTTGACAATTCTAGTCGTGTAAATAATGTAAATAACATGAACTGCAGTGTATATTTAGACGTTGTTACAGGCAATGTAAGATTATACGGCAGCAAAAAAAAGTGCCCTATAAACTTGACTGAAAATTAATTTTAAAATACAATAAGCTTTTCAAGTATCACTGATGTGAAATGCAATTTCTGACGTTTACGTTTTTATTCATAATACTTTTGAAATTAAAAATTAATCTTTTAACGTATTTTGCCAATGTTTATTGCAAGAACATACACAAAACCAAACACTCTTCAGAAACGTCTTTTCTTCCAAACAATCCCATCCAATTTTAAATTGATCCATGCTATTTATTAAAGCACAATACATTTGTCTTTTCAGTGTGCACGCGACTCTTATCTATTATATATTGATTGGAAAAAACAACCAACATTGCTTGAAATTGAATTGGCCAATTTGGGATAAACAGTGAAATCATTCAAATGCTATTCACGGCAAGAAAAATACAATTCCCTGAGCGGTGTTGCATTTTATACATTTCCGATTTTTTTAAATTTAAATTTTAAATGTGAAAAAGGACCAGAGCTCCGTGAGTTTATATATATATATTTATTTTATCTTGTGCCTTGTTCAAAACTAAGCTCGGCTTATCCCTCCTGCTCCAACAGTCGCCGTCTCGTCTCCTCCACCACTTCCTCTGCCACCTCGGGCTTGAGGATGTCTTTGATCTGTTGGCAAGAAAAATAAATATTACCAACATTTAGTGCCTTCAAAAACACACACACACCGCACCACAAAAACAAGCGCTAAACTACAGAAAATGGCACAGATCACAGACCAAAGCTCTCATTGCTCATCTTTAATTGATGAAACATATATAGAAAGTACATTGTTTTTCTTCCACCAATTATATTTCAGTCACGCTGTCAAAATTGTCACAAGGTAAACGATTACAATGACGAACTACTTCTGGAGTCACCCGAGTAGGTCTTTATCTCCACACTAAATGGTGCTCCAAGGGGTATTTAAATAACCACAACAGCCATATGATCAAATTAAAATATTTGCATCTTAAGACCCAGGCTAAGCCTATATAAGTAAAAACATAATGCATATGAATATTAATGTATTATATGTGTAACGATTTTGACCGGGAACAGTCCATCAAACGTTGAAACCTGGCTTCATAAAGACGGGTGTGTCTGACTCCCAGATTCAAAGCGCAGGGTGTCTCCTCCAGTAGTACTGGGCTCTCTCCGTTGTCACACAGCATTGGTCCCTTGACTGAAGCTGGCCACTTTGCAACCGTCCATTATTAACACAATCAATTCCTTTCACCGCACAACAGGTGAACGCCCAGAGGGAAAGTCAACTATAATAGCGGAACGCAGCATGGGCCGCGTAAATGGAGCGACACAGCAGGGATTTTTGCTCTGCCGCTTGCACGCCAGAATCACGTGACAATACGCGGCACCACCACGGAGGCTGCTGTACGGCAGGCGACTAAGTAGCGATCAATGGTTTAGGGAGCCGTGTGAGCTACCGCCGAGCTCGGCGCGTTGTTGTTCGCCAATGTTAAAGTCTCGCCGTTAATTCCATGTGAGAATTAGCTGTGGGGGACAATACAACTGAACACGCTGGAAAGGGGGGGGGGGGGGGGCTTTCATAAAATAAAATAAACCCATCGAGAAAGCCAAAATGAAAGACGGTCAATAGGTTTCATTTGTATAAAAATACCCATGGGATGCCTCAAGCTCGGCGTCGGTTAGCTGCGTGCGTTTATCCGTACAGCCCGGCTCTTAAGCGACGCAGAAGCGGTTTATAATATTAACGGGCCAATATTTTTCACAACACTTCATTTTGGCAGCTCGTGGGTATTACACGGGGGGGGGGGGGGGGGGAGGCATTGATTTGTCGGGTCACGTTTACACGCTCCGCCAGCCGCCTCTGCCCCTCCTCCCCCAATTTTGGCCACAAGTAAGGGAGCACAGCAGAGGCAGTCAACTGGATGAGGAATTACAGATCAACACCCCACATAACTCTCTCTGTGCTCAAACAAGCCCATGCAAATTGAGGCTGCAGCTCAGTTCAGGGACACAACAGGGACTTTTACCGTGAAATGATTAACTACCAAGCACAAATTCATATCCTCTGCCACCACAATCGATAAACATCAAATGTAGACGCGTTTACAAGCTGCCAATTATTTTAATACTAGTGAATACAGGTTTGCACATTCAGCCGCAGAGAATGTGTTCAGTGCCCCCAGCTAAATGTGCTTCTAAAGGACAAGCTTCATATTATTTGTGCATATTCTTAGGTTTTTTCGGTAAAGTCACGTAGGTAAAACATTAAAATTAAGAAAAATAAATTAAAATAAAAATCACGACGTTTCGGAGGCAACACAAGCTTCCGTCTTCAGGTGGAACCGTCACAGCCACGACAGCTGTATCAAGTAAATGAGAGATTACAAGAGCTACCACTCCGTATATATAATGGTTGGAGAGGGGAAGGGTAGCTCTTGTAATCTCTCATTTACTTGATACAGCTGTCGTGGCTGTGACGGTTCCACCTGAAGACGGAAGCTTGTGTTGCCTCCGAAACGTCGTGATTTTTATTTTTATTTTATTAATTTTAATGTTTTACCTACGTGACTTTACCGAAAAAACCTAAGAATATGAATCCTTGCAGTCACGAAAGCTTCAAATCTAGAATTATTTGTGCACTTGACAATGTTATTCCATGTTCACTTCGGCGTGGCCATTGGCGCCGTCTTGCTATCACGGCAACGTCTGCAATGAATGGGCATGGAGACCCCAACTCTCTCTTCGCCTCGTCAAAAATTGCACTCTGTTGCTCCCTCCCCGTATTCATTCGATGTCTATTGCTTTGCAACTTGCAAAATGGCAGCGAGGCGGTGGTTGCCAAACTGTTCGTTCTTTCCGCTAAACATTATTTTGCCTGCTCTCCAGGTCAACTCACGCCCTCTTAAAAACATATAAACTTGCAATTTGGTAGAGCAATCAATTACTTAATGACTTTGATAGCCCAGCTCTGAAAGGTTTAGGTACAGGTGCATGATACAGGTGTACTCACAGGTGCATAGTATACATGATGTACTGACAGGTGCACGATGCAGGTGTTGTGACAGGAGCACGGTGCAGGTATTCTGAGCCAGCTACAGGCTCTTATACCAAGTTCACCAATGACTACGACGTGCGTTTGGATGTTTCCGTGCAGTGGTCAAGGCTCGCACGTGGCCACACGCAAAACGGCCCTCACCTGGTGCTGCATGGAGGCCTCGTAGCAGTAAAGGACACTGGTGTCGTACAGCATCATGCGTTGCCATGACAGGGCCGTCACGCAGTTGCGGAGACGCGCAATCACCTCTCGCTCCGACAGTGCCGTGGGCTACGGGGAAGCAACACAAATTAACTCATCGCGAGGTCGGAGGGCGGGTTTTTTTTTATTATCCCAAGAGACTACACAGTGGACTAGCATGGCTATATATCCTGGGGCACAAACACGGATTAGCTGCAGGGCAAGGCCAGCTGGATTGGGTTGTCCCTCGGCACGAGAGTGAACTTGAACTCATCACACATATCCAAGACATGTAAAGCCTTTTGGCAATGCACTGCAAAAATGTCGGAAGCATTTAACTACAGTGCAACAATGGATTTTTCTGCACTGCCATGGACTGCCCATCACATAATCCGATGCATTCTAGGTGACTTGATCAAAGGCGATGTCCAACACAATAGGAATTTGGGATTCAAATAATGTTAAAATACAGAAACAGCGGGATTATCTATGTTATGGAGATGCTGCCCACTCTACGGCAATGTGACGGGCGAGTTTGCACCGTCTCTAAGCACAATCACCAGCATTCTTTATTACCTTTACATCCTTCTAAAAAAAGAAAGCTGTGATTATATCTGGAATGTGCTTGTATCAAAAGCTTCCATCTGCCTTTCCTCACCAGTGTAATGTAAACATGTGTTGCTTATATTAGAATGGTGCTTATTTAAGTTGTGCCTATATACAGCTTTGACTGTGCTCATTTCCTTAAATGAAGTGATAACTGACAAACATTTCGGCACTTTGCAGTGCCGAAGAACTCGGGAGGTTTTCCAAACGCTGTTTCTCGCACCCATCCAAAGTACAGATTTAAATGACGATCAATATTCGACACTGACATGTACAATAACTAAACAATGTGTCTGACCTGCGTCTGTTGAACGAAAAATAAAAATACAAATGATGATCTTCTTGGTTCTTTCGGTAAAGTCACGTAGAAGAGAAATAATAAAAATAAATCATAAAAAATAATTATCACGACGTTTCACCCACAACACAAGCAACCGTCCTCAGGTGAAGAAACAAAGCTGTTGGAAAGACAGCATCCCTATTTTTATTAATGTATTATTTCCCTTCTACGTGACTTTACCGAAAGAACCAAAGAGTATGGTTTCCTGCAGTCACGAAAGCTTTAAATACAAATGATGAGCGTATCGGAAGGACAAACGTGAAGAATTACATCTTGATAATGTTGCAATGGCCCGTTACAAAGCATCGTTCTCTTCTTATAGCTCGCCGTTCTACCTAGAGCTCGCCGGTGTATTCAGATTGACCTGAATATTGTTCAGCAGGTCTGACGTGTTGCCCCCGAACCTGGGAGCTTCTTCAGCAAGTGCATTCCATTTGGACAGGCGACACCGAAGTTAAAGCGGCTGGATTCGCAATCGTGATATTAAACGTTGGGAAACAAAGTAAAAAAAAAAGTGTATCAATGATCAAATACTGAACCCATCATCCATTCAAGGCCGATGACATGATTACCACGATACAGGAGATAAACAGTGGTTTTTCCACAATGGCTCATGGGGCGCCCCACCAGTATTGAGCTCCGTCCCCTGTCTCATTTGTATTCCTATGGATAGACTTTCCCTCCCGATGGGGAAGTGGGATTTCCACCGCTGGTTCACGACTGTAAAAATGAGGGGAGCCCCAACTCAAGACTCATAAGCGCAAAAAAAAAAGGCCACGCAGACTTCAATCTCAGTCCCCATTGTAAGCGTGGGTTCCTCTGGCACAGTGGCCTACTCCAGCACTCTGCACACCTCCAAGTCGGTGTAGAAGCCGCCGCTCTCCTCTGCGTGGCTGTCGCTGGTCGGGTAGATCCACACAAAGCCATTGTTGCCCAGGATGATGGAGGCGCCGCAGGGCAGCGCGTGGAAATGCGTCTTGCGCCGCTTCACCAGCGACGGGGACACGCGCACCAGCACGCCCTGGCCCAGCTGTCGCGGGAATGCAGTGCCACAGACCCGAGTGGGGAGGGGGGGGAGGGGCAGGAAGGGGAATTTGTCATTGCGGGGCCAGTGGCTCCCCCAAAAAATGTCCAGTCATTGGCTTCACAGTGTATTCCAACAAAATGCAAAAAGGTAACTGTGCAAGCCTGCAACTGCACATTCATGCAACTTCTAGCGGAAAGCCCTCCACCACTTTAGAGCTATAGTCAGACCTGCTAGAGGGTATTTTGGACGAATATTCCATGCTGGCCAGACATTTTTAGAAAAAGTGGGAGTACCCACATTTTATCCCCACCAAACAGGACCTGACATTTGAGTGTTGTGTACCTATTTATACAGCTGTGTGGACAGAGGTGGGGGGGGGGGAGTTAACGACTGCCATGCCTGGACATCTAACTGAACCAGTGACCTCTGCATTGCAGGTCCAGTGTGCTATGACCATGACTCCATGACGACATCCTTCGCACATATCATCAATTAACTGATGGATGGAGGCCACCCCATGTCTTTTGATAACGTAGTTGGTAAAGAGGGTGTCCAGGACCGATTCAGATACTCGCCATTGGTCTGGCTTATCTATGTCCGAGAATCGAACTCGGGTCATCAGGTTCATAGCACAGTACGCCATACACAATCATCGTGTCATCTCCCCTCGTGACACACAAGTACGATGAAGAAGTCTTCAGGGTGGCTACAGTGGTTAGAGTGAACGGCTCACAAGTGGAAGGTTACGAGTTAAACTCACACCGAGAGGTGGATTCAACCTACCATCCCGCTGTGGTTGATATGAATACCAACTTGTGGGAAGTGAACTGGCCTCTGCCATGGGAATGCAAAATTTCTGCCACTGGCTCCAGGATAGCAGTGCAGATGAGTTGCCTCCCTATTGCTTGAGCTGGGAGACACAAGACTTCACTCACATTGTTGCTATCTTTCTAAATCATGCAAGTGAATCGCGACAGTTTAGTTATATGGTTGTCAGTGGTTCTTGCCCCAGCAGAGGGCAATTTTTTGGCTACGTCTTATTACCGCTTTCAGCTACTGTAACTCCACACTTCATGCAATGCCATTCTTTTAATATAACTTGGAAAGGTACATTCTATCACAATAAAATGAGGTTCGGAATACATTTATACCCAGAAAATTGGGAATGTATCTGCAATGGAGATCAGCTCGCTCAGCTAAGTTTAAACCTTGTTACAAGTTGGCAATTGCTCATTTAAAATGAAATAATACTTCAACGAAATGGAACATAAACTGTCCAATCACGTGTGTGCGTTTAAGCAGTTCTTGTCCCACTCCCCGGGGTGCGCCACTTCACCTTGCCATACTTAAGACTCCTGGTGTGCAGGGAAAGGGCACCGTCTGAGAAGACCGCTTGGACCTCAGCCTGCATTAAATCAACGATTAAGGAGCGACACGACAGGTGCTTTTACAATAACAGTCGCTCATGAGATGAGAAACACCTTGCACCACTTGCTCAGCCAAGTAGCACACAAGTAATGCAATTACCAGCGAAACGTCGTACTCAAATTGTAAATGTTGTGGCTTCAACACACCGGTGAGCTAAAGCAGTGAACTATTTGTCTTTGTCAACGTGACACATTTTTACTGATTGGCCGTGTCGGGTGGTGGAGGGTTACGACACATTTATAAATAACGCGATCTAAACCCAAAAACGTTGATTATGAAGTAATGCTTATAAACATTTGGGCCACAGGCTAATACAGGCGTACATGTACCGCCCCTTTGTCAGTCCACTGTTGGATGAGGGCCTCTCTCATGTCCTGAGGATTATTTCACCATACTGCACCACGCTGGTCATTGCAGGTTGATAAAGTTGGGGATCAGATGTGGGTGCATAGATTATAACAATGGATTCTGCTGCGATGCCCTCTGCTGCTCACTATGCATCCCAGCAGGTTATGGCTGTTATTGGTGGGTTGAGCATCGAAGTACTATCAAGGTCCAATGCGACTTAGATTTCAAGATGCAATATCAGATGCAATCTGGGTGCTTTCGTCGAAGGCAACTCACAAGTAACAATAACTAAATAAAAAAAATGCACGGGCATAAGTAGTACTAATCACATACCTGCATTTCCCATATCCCTTCCCTTTGATGCTAATCCTGCATAATGCACGGGCATAAGTAGTACTAATCACATACCTGCATTTCCCATAAATATGCTAAATTCCTCTTGATATGCATATTCTTTTGTCAAGGCACCCTTTTCCTCCCTTCCAACCCAGCTTATATATGCTCCAAGCACGTGCGCTGTTTCATTCAGACGCTGTCGCCTCGACAGACCTGGTTTTCACCTGACGGCTGCTTGCGTTGTGGCCGAAACGTCGTGAGAATTGTTTTATTATGTTTTATTTTTATTATTTTATTACTTCCCTTCTACGTGACTTTACCGAATAAACAAAGAATATGAATCCCTGCAGTCACGAAAGCTTTAAATCGAAAAATAACTAAATATCTACTTATATTCATGTAAGGTCTGGCTTAAGTGGATTGATGCTGATGATTCCACTTCATATATATTTTAGGAAATTCACATTCGGCAGGACTTTCATGTGAAATGTTCAAGGATACGCTGATGAGATCACCCTCCTGCAAGTAGTCCCTCATCGCCAGCTCATCCTCTGCTGATCGCCGTCGCTAATAAGACAAGGGAGAAAAAAACTTGCACAGGCATGGATTTTGTGTATGCGTTGTCCATTAAGTTTCAGGCCATACAATTAAACGGTCACGTGACGCATGACGTGTGACATAGTGATATGATGGCACACACAATGACGTTACCAGGAGGGCAGGGGAGAGGGAAGGCATGAATGCTTCTACCTCCAGGGAACAGATGCGGATTGAAACGTTTTGGCATAGATTTTTTGTCTCAAAGTTTTGGGGAACGCCTTTGATAAATGTGCCCAGTTTTCTACAGGGTCACTTTCTAGCAGCATTCCAACTTTATACTCAAGTTTTGGTGACATTGAATCATGTATATATACACATGAGAGCTACCCTGTCAATGTGTTTCAGACAGATGGAGAGTACAAATATATTAGGTTTTACATTTAGTTGGATTGCATAAAAATATTAGAAAACATTTTTATATTTAAACACAATCAACATTTGTACGTCCACAATAAACATGACGTGGATAACATTGGAAAAGTAAAGCGCTCACGGTGAAATATGCAGCAAGAAAGACCTGTAAGTTGCCTACTTTTTTCAACTCATGCACCAATTGAATGCGACTGCACAATGTGCAAAAAGTGACATTTTTATACACGACTATGTTTTTCGAGGACAATGCCAAGGTTGGCACCAATCGAACTCGGCATATTTTGCGATGATGAACTTCCTCTGAAATTATACTGAGTATCCTTTGATAGAATTTACAACTGCACAATGCAATAAGCTTTGCCAAACATTTCAAATAAATCTGGTTTCATTACATCCTGAGTCAATAACAACGTGGAAAAAAGCCAGTGCATTACTTTTTTGGCAAACTGGGATTTTGGGAGATGTCCAGGTGGCGGCTCAGGGATAGAACACAAGAGTTGGCACCAGCTGAGATCATGTACAAGAAGCCACCGCATTACAATAGGTGTTAGCCTAATTTAGTGAACTTACGCCTACCCTCCCCGCAGCTTGCACCAGCTACCGGTCCCGCTTCCGCATCAAATTCAAGGTTGCTCTTCCAACCTTCAAAGCATGGCTTGGACGCGCCTAATCCTCAGCCACATGAAACTCACTCCGTTCCACAGGACGGGTCAAGACTTGACCAGCCCAGGATTTTTCACCCGACAATGGGAGGACAAATCCTTTGAGCGCGGCCCCAAAAACCTGGAACACCCCCCGACTGCCACCGGACATGTGAAATGCGCCGAGTGTCTCTCAATTCCGTGGTCTGTGCAAGACACACCCATTAAGACTGGCCTTTCCTTAAAATCTAAGATTGAAAATGAAAACGGTCTCTTTACTTTTCATTGATTTTTTATTTACGACTTACCTTTCCTTACGTTATTCGTTGCGCACAGTTGCAATTTACTTTGCTCGGTCGGTGTTAGCCGCTGCGGGCGTGACGCGTTTCTTTTTTCATTCATGTTGCTCTATGCCCCCTGTACCGTTCAAATTCCATTGTAATGTGCAATATTGAGGGCGGTATTGGTGCGTAAAATAAAGATTGATTGAACTTCTAGCATTGAGAATGAAAATATATCATCGCACTGTGATAGTAAACTCAGAAAATGTAATGATGTGGCACAGCTGCAAAGATGTTTTATTTCACGATTACTCTTATCCGGCTGACAGCCGACTTTGAAGCTTTAAAAAATATTTATGGACAAGGGTGGGGGAGTTTATTTTGGTCGGATGGAAGCTGCAAAAGAGAAGATGGCTCACTCAACCCCCTGTTGGTCGGAGGCTAGTGGAGGATGTTACTGGATGACAGAAGGGTGTCCTGGACATGGCATAGAACGAGCTTTGATTTTAGTTCAAATGTCTGTTTCATACATGCAATATGCATGGCAAATGTGAGTGAGCAGCACCCCCCCTCTTGACGTGCCATCTTCAGTAACTCCTGGATAGGGAGAATAACCAGTGAGAGACAGGTGATGAACTGTAGAGAGAAATGAAGCACCCACCAGCTCTCCACCTGGGAGATTCACAGACGAAAGCAGCAGCACTGAATCCAAACGGGAGTTTGTGTCCACCTTCCAACGCTTTTGCTGTACCTGTGCATTTTAAGGAGAAATAAAAAAATAAACAAGCATTCAACTCATCGTTCATTATCGACATTTCACTCAATGTGGGTGGGATATAATTAGGCATTCGAGAATTACAATCAATACTTTTCATTCATTATAATTACATACGAATTTTTTTAGGCAAATAAAAGAGGCCATGTACAGCAAACGGTATAGACATGAGGAATCGCAAGACAAAGAGTATAGATGAGACAGCACACACAAGACAGACGGTATAAACAAGGCAAACAAAAATCATGGCAATTCCAGGAAATTGCAGCGGGTTTTAGCGCAAATCATTTCACCATCACTCCAGCTACACGTCGAATTTTCTTCCTCAATAATTCTGTCTTTTCCCAAGCTGTTTTAAACATTGTATAATTTAGCAGTATTCTTTGGGTCTTTCAGTAAAGTCACGTAGATAGGTTCAAAGATAATAACAAAATAACAAAAAACTACGACGTTTCGATCGCAACACAAGCAGTCGTCATCAGGAAAAGGGGGTTAGCTTCTAAAGACAACTGTTTATAAAAGTTTAAAATGGGCGTAGCCCAAATGTCAGCAGCCAATGCAAGTGGTGGGCAGCGACCGTGGCCGTGGTGGGCTTTCCACCAATCACAGGGCTGCCAGGTAAAAATTAGCATGTCAATGCAAGATCGCCAAGACTCCTCCACGGCGAGTGGGCCAAGGTGGCTATGTTAATGTAAGAGATTAGCATGTTGATAGAAGATCGTGAAGCAACAGCCTCAAGGATGGCGCGCGACGTAGCTGTGTTAGTGAGAAATTGAATCTGTTAATGTAAAAAATCAGAGAGCCGAAAATAACTAACATCGGAAGGTGATTACTCAATTTGTACCCATCTATATATATGGATGGCTTCATGAACGAATCTTTGTTGATAGCCAGTAGGTTTGCAAAGTACCTTCGTCTTACAGAAATCTATTTTGTGTGAGCCCACCGGGGAAACGAAGCCACACGTCTCGGACTGTGTTCGTGAACATAAGGCAGATCTTAAAACACGGTAGGACCAATACCTCGGCCGTGGCTGATCATTGTTTTAATGCGGTGGGCTCACACGAAATTGACTTCTCTAAGACGAAGGTACTCTGTAAACCAACTGGCTATCAACAAAGATTCGTTCATGAAGCCATCCATATATATAGACAGACACAATTTCAACCGAGAAGATGGGTCCAAACTGAGCAATCATTGGAAGGACGTTATTAACCAGTTTAAATCATAACTGGCTGTGATGTTCCCAGCCTACCTACCTTTCGATGTTAGTTGTTATTTTCAGCTCTCTGATTTTTTACATTAACAGATACAATTTCTCACAAACACAGCTACCTCACGCGTCATCCTCGAGGCTGCTGCTTCACGATCTTCCGTTAACATGCTAATCTCTTACATTAACATAGCCACCTTGGCACAGGATGCTCGGCAAACTTGCATTGACATGCTTAATTTCTGCCTGGCAGCCCTTTGATTGGTGGAAAGCCCACCATCGCCGCGGTCGCTGCCCACCACTTGCATTGGCATTGGTTGCTTACATTTGGGCTACGCCTATTTCAAACCTTTATAAACAGCTGTCGTTAGAAGCTAACCCCCCTTTTCCTAATGACGACCGCTTGTGTTGCGATCGAAACATCGTAGTTTTTTGTTATTTTCTTTGAACCTATCAATGTGACTTTACCGAAAGACCCAAAGAATATGAATTCCTGCAGTCACGAAAGTTTTAAATCGTAATTTAGCAGTATCTGGCTTGATTGCCCAAGGAAAACACTGTGACCACATGCCAATAACTGTTGAAGCTTGCAAACTGAACCCATGTCTCACTCACCTCTGTTATCCTTCCCACCACCACGTCACCTATTTCCCCATTGTATCTACAGAAGGTAATATATAAGCACAGTCATGTTAATGATGACCTAGCAGACACAACTTGGGAATAACAGAAAAAAACATTATAATGAACCCCAATGGACACTTGTCCTGCACCTTTAAGAGTCATTTATGCATTCATATGAAAATCTATCAATTAAATATGTTGTATAAACCTAGTCGGCAGTTCCACAAATTAGGCAAACCCAGTCAAATAAAAAAATACCCCAATAATACGCATTAGGTGTAATTTTGAAGGTAACGAGCGATACATTTATAAAATATAACTTATTTCTGAAATATGTACAATGGCTCCAACAAGGCCGTGCGGGAGCATGTGTGGCACAGTTTTTTGCACCAGCTATCATAGAGTGTGGTCGTGGCGCTATAGTTCTCTGCGGGGAGTAAGATGCCTCTAGAAAAAATTAACGCTAACCGCTTGCACGGTCCGAGATTCAGCGGTGAACGGGATCCACCCTGAAACTTACAGACATCTCGAAACGGGAAAGGGCTATAAACCTAAGCTTTATGTGTTAACAATAACAATTGTGACCAGACACCAACAACAACACACGGATGATCCTGATTAAATCTGTTTTTTCCACATAGCACCCTTTACAAAATAATATGCGGCAAGGGCCTTGTCCTTGCACAGTTCGCTAGGGTGGTGAAAATAAAACTCACCGTGTCTTGAGAGGCCGCACACAGATCAGCTTGTTGACCCTTTCCACCACTCCGGCCACTGATGCGATGAGCTTATCGTCCTCTGTGTAGGTGCCATGGCCCCTGCACCAGACAAAAAACATCAACGCCATCACCACCACCACCACCACCATAAATGGTGCACAATAACAGAACGCTAAGCAGTCGGCTTACACCAGGGGTCGGCAATTCGCGGCTCCGGAGTTGCGTGCGGCCCTTTTAAGAACTGCTTCGTGACGTTACTTTATTAAGGCCCATTGTCTCGTATTCACCACGTGCATTGCGGCACTTGAAATATTGTGTTTTACTGGTAGGAACCCACTGGTTCCACCAGCCTACAGGGAATTATTGTGTCCGTCCGTCGTGCAGGGAGGGGCTGGGTGGGGAGGGGCTGGGTGGGGAGGGGCTGGTCACCCCGTGGTGCCCTTATAAAACTCAACGTTTAACCTACTCACACCGGCTTGTGCCCGCCCTCACAGTCGGGCATATTTGCGGAATACACCACGCCACCGTTGACCCTGGCCATTGACCGAGCAACCCAACGTTCCTACCAGCTCCCTCCGCAGGAATGTGTTAGAGTTCGAAAAAACATGGCTCTTCTTGTCATTTTGGTTGCTGCCCCCTGGCTCATATTGAGGTCAAATTGCCCTTCTTTGCAGCAGTGAGTGTAGCAACGTGTTGCTCCAGTCAGGGCTCCCTATTATAAACTACCAATGAATGCAAAATATTATTTAACAAAAAAAATAATGATTGTTTTCTTGAACCTAGCATCTTCCTATCCAATAAATGTTTTTTTTTTAAAATTACTATATTAAATCTTGACTTAAAGCTTTCGTGACTGCAGAAATTCATATTATTTGGGTCTTTCGGGAAAGTCACGTAGAACACTTTTTTTTCTACGTGCCTTTACCGAAAGACCCAAAGAATATGAATTCCTACAGTTATATCATAAATACACATTTTAACTCTATAATTGACTAGTACCGTTCACGAAAACGTGCTCTAATAATGCCCACGTGTTGCACATGGTTCTAACCGCGTGTCACTGAGCGTGCGTGAATGTGCCAGAGAGGAAAGCTGTGTGCATCTTGAAGCCACAGGGAGTCTCAGATGGGATCATCGGAGTTTTTAAAAGTTCAGTTGCTTAAAAAAATGCCGTTGCATAACATTAGTACAACAATATTTTGTTTGGTGTAGCGTGACATGCGTCCTTAAATTGGTTTGTATTTATTGGCATTATTGAACCTTGTCAACACTAACTTGCCTTGCTCAGTTATAATACACTTTATACGCCCAGCGATTACTGGCCTTCTAAATATTAGAAAATAGTCTTTTAATCGGTCAAATGTAACGATCCACACATATCTGTTAAAACACCATTCTGGCGAATTGCCCGATGATGCTGGATGCAATTACCAGCGAAACGTCGTACTACTCAAAAATGTGTAAATGTTGTGTTTTCACGCTTCAACACACCGGTGGGCTAAAGCAGTGAACTATTTAGTCTTTTGTCAACGTGACACTTTTTTGCCGATTGGCCGTGTCGGGTGGTGGAGGGTTACGACACATTTATAAATAACGCGATCTAACCCCAAAAACGTTGGTTATGAATAATATTGGCCGCGAAAGCCCTACGTGTTGAACACGTGTTTTTATTTTAGAAACCCCATGACACAAAACATGCCATCCCACCACAACGTTATACCAATTAGATTGCTGAAGAAATTATAATTTTGTACAAAACCTATGTCGAAAGCCCCAGGGGGACCCGTTCAGATAATCGTCACTGATGTTGGCCCTGAGCTTGAGTCGAGTTCGTAGCGCTAACCGCTCCACCACCGCTCCCCCAACACACAACACACCATGCGGTCTCTCTTACACACAACACACAAGACACACACGTGTCCGCCGCGCACCTCATGAAGCCTGCGTCTCCCGTGATGACATCTCCGGGAGCGACGAGGTGCCTCACCGCGCCTCCGCCTTCCCCAGGCGCCCTGTCCCCGCGTCTCCTCGCCACCACCGAGCGAACGTCCACCGCCATGTCGCCTTCTTCACTGACTTGTCAAGCAGCCCGCTTCGCGATCGGGGCAATAAATCGTCAAGGACTTGCGGGCGCCATCTTGCTAAGGGCAGTGCGAGTCGTGCGGGCGCGGGGTGGAGGCTTTAACCCCTCCCCCCCACACCCCCCCCTCACACCCCCCCCCCCTCACCCCCCCCCCCCCGGGTTTGATTCCGTGTTGTTTACTCCCTGACTAAGATGGTGGCGCGCGGTGACGGTTTGTTGTGATGACGACACCGATGACGACACCGATGACGTCACGGCGGTTTCCCCACGCACGCGCCGGCGATTTTATCGACCCGCGAGTTGTTGGGGTGGGCATTGGTCGGTGGTGGTGGTGGTGCAAGCTTTGGTGGTGTAATCTGACAGCCGACCTGATGTGCCCGGGGCTGCGTTGTGTTGCTGTCCCGAGACCTAGCCTCCATCCCTCCTACCTCAGCGAAGCCATTCGACGCTTGAACGCGCGGAGCCTAGCCCTTAATTCCACAAATGTTCACCCACTTACGGACATTCCTCGACTTACGGACATAATTCGTTCCTGACGCTCGTGCGTAAGTCGAGCGGTTCCGTAAGTTGGAACACAATCGTGTAAACCTGTTTAAATGGCCATAGAGTCGGTGTTAGTGGCGGATCATGACATTGCCACTAGGTGGGGCTGTTGTGAGTGACCTCTGAAAGTACGGTGTTCTAATTCTAGATTTCAAGCTTTCCTGACTGCAAAGATTCATGTTCTTAGGTTTTTTCGGTAACGTCACGTAGGAAAAAATTAATAAATGTAAAATTTAAATAAAATAAAAATCACGACGTTTCGGAGGCAACACAAGCTTCCGTCTTCAGGTGGAACCGTCACAGCACGATAGCTGTAAATATGACGTCACATACAGCTTTCGTGCTGTGACGGTTCCTACGTGACTTTACCGAAAAAAAACCTAAGAATACGGTGTTCTAATTAAGAAAAACCCCGTCTGTGTTATTGGCGTGGAAGTGATATAACTGCGTTATCTACCAACGGTAGGCATTTATAATCTAGCCTGTCCAAGGACGGGTGTATTGCAGTACATCTGAAATATTCAATGGAAAATAATATTCCGCTTATTGATTATTGCTTCATGTGGAGTGATGTGACCCGCTCATGATAATTATTAAGGGACCTTCCATAAATGACGTCACGCAATTTTGGTCGATTTTTTAACCCCCCCCCGTCACACGGCGTCACAAAAAGTCAGACCCTCAAATATGACGTCACAAAGCTCTCCCCCCCCCCCCCAAAACCATATTTCCATTTTGAAAATAAAACATGCTTCAAATCACTTTAAACTATTGTTACTGTAGTGCGTATTTAATGTGGCGCTGCACTCTGATGTAGGAGAAAACATGTATTAAAAAGGAGGCTTTGGAAAGCTGAAATTTAGCATGAAATTCACTTGAAATTATTCAACGTCTAACTATAACTGCAGATGTTCAGAATATTATATTGAATTGAAATCTATATAAAAGGGAAATTAGTGAATATGTGTGTCTGTTCAAAATGTTTAGCGTACTTCCCGACATGCAACAAACTTGAAATTTGCCATCTGGGTACTTTCCAGACTACATCATGCAAAAATTATAAAAATACACTTTTGTACATTTTTTTGGGGGGGGGGGGGCACAATAATGTATATATTTTGCACGGCAAGTGAGCTGTGACGTCACATCTGTCATGTGACCCTATGCGGAAGCGTAACGCAGTGTGCCTGCTCATGTCACCCCCCCCAACCCTCCGCGGGTAAAGTGAAATACAAATGTGTTGCAGGTCTATAAGGCGTTCTTCGCGCAGTGTTGGTTTATTATTTCAGTCGTTTACTGCCGTACGCACCATGAAAGTTGTTTGTGTCTGCAGTAAGCGCGTGTATGTGCACCTATGGATGCACGCGTGTGTGTGGGGGGGGACGGTAGTGTAGTGGTTAGCGCGCTGTGCTGATTCCCGCTCACAGCCACCACCGGTGACCGGTCCTGGGCCTCCCCTAGGTCGACTCAGCCTCAAACGAGTAACTGGTGTGGTGTGTGAACATCGCCACTGGGGAGACAAAGGCGGCCGGGCGTGGTGTTGGCCACCCACCTCCTAGTTATCTTATAATTACAAAATAATAAAAGTAATTATAACTATAAAAAATACTTGAAACTTTGTAGGAGAAAAAGCGAAATGGAGAGGACAATTATAACAATCACATATTCATTCCACAGAATGAAAAGACGTGGTAGAATTATGAAAATGTTTAATAATAATCAAATTTTTTTCAAAATGTATGCTTCTCCATTCTCCTGAAGTACCGGTGAGGACGCTTGACACCGAGGTGGAGGCACACGTGTATTTATTTTACAGTACAACAGTGGGCATATAACACTCGAGGGGTATTCGGCCCCCTCACCCGTATAACTAGGAATACACCCCTAGCTATCCCTGTCCTACCCCCGAGTCCTCCACTAACGGGCTAGGGGAGGCTATCTGGCCCGACACTGGTAAGTCGGGCCCGGTACCCGGAGTCCCAGATCAGCTCTTACAAGAGCACCGGCTCTGGCTTTCGGGACCACGCCGCTGGCTCAGTCCTGTCCGGCCCTGATAAGGACATCGAACTAGGGGAGTCCAGGGCTCTATCTAAGACGTCTTCAGTCTTCTCTGGTTAGCTTTTAACTGACTCGCGAGCCCTTTGATACATCCCCTTTTATACCCAACCCCTCCCTGAGGGGTGGGGCCCCAGGGGATCATAACGTTCGAACCAGCCCCCCCCAGGGTGCCTGGCTCGGACGTCGTAGAGGGCACCTCCCCGTGCACTTACGTAGCCCCGCCCACTGTGTTTGTTTGCCATAGGCTGCCATGCATAACGGCTCTCTCTCTAACACCCCTACACTCCCATGGAGAAGCAAAATGCTCCTTCATGGAATAAATAAAATGTGACCTTAGTAAATTTAAATATTCAATTAGTTAATAATGAAAATGTATCATAATTAGTGTTGTTATAACAATTATATTAACTAAGTTCATTTAAAGATGCGCATTTTGATGTGACGTCGCATTTCTCAAACCCCCCCTCCCCCCCCTCGTCACAAATCGTCACAAATGTCTGACCCCCCTCCTCCCCCTAGGTGCGTGACGTCATTTATGGACGGCCCCTAATGGTAGCGTTACGGAGTTAGCGTGACATCATGGTTCTCGCTTTTCATACATTACTTATACAGTAAAACCCTGGATTGCGAGTAACTTGGTCTGCGAGTGTTTTGCAAGACGAGTAAAAATTTAAATAAATATTCGTTTGATAAACGAGCGAGGTCTTGCAATACGAGTAGTACGTATACGCTTTGTCTGCCGAGCGTCACGTGATCACAACTGATACACGAGTGCTTTGGATTACAAACACGTTTCCGGAACGAATTATGCTCGCAATCCCAGGTTTTACTTATAAGCACACAACTTTATCTGTGATGAACGCTGCACTTTCTGTCGTTTTCATGCAGGGGGCGCTGCAAACCTACGCGCCCCCTGCATGAACGACGGAGGCGCAGGGACAGACGTTCGATTACGTTGGAATCGATCTGCAGACGGCGGTCTTCTCGCACGGCCAGCAGCTCTATGTCGCCTTATCTCGATCCCGCAATCCCAAACAGGTGAAAGTCCGTATCGAACCAAACTCCCAGCAAGGCCATCTACTTAACGACGAGAGAAAATTCACACGAAATGTCGTTTTCAATTAAGTCGTACAGATGTAATGAAATAAGCTTTTAATGAAGAAATAAAATTATCTAATTCAAAACAATACAATTCAAAGATGTTTCATTTTAAAACTTCTAAACGGAGCATCGGTTGCTTGCGTGAATGCGTTGTTCGTGTGCAATTTTTTCGTGACTTTCCTGGCCGAAGGCCGTAAAAGCACTCATATGCTGTCCCCATGACCCTCAAGTCCACACTACACAACCCCTTTGACACTGCCAAAAGCCTAGAGCGTGTAGACCCTTGACCTGCTATATTTGCACGGTGCAACCTCGCGTTGTGATGTCGTCATCGCAGCCATGGGCGCCTTTTTAAATCCTTTATATTAAGTTCACTTGCTTGTGCGCTTACGACCATGCAAATATTTAGGTCGTTTTTTAACCCACTTCCCGTGATCCAATCGAGCTGACATTTTGCACACAGACTCGTTGTGCGTGACAATGTATTTTCGTGAAAAAAATTTTCCTAAATTTTACACTTTTTAGGGAAAAAAAATTATATTTAATTACCAATTGCTTAATGGTGGCAGGCAATCATCTGACCCATAGGTGGCAGCCATCTCAAGCCAGAGGACGAGAGGACTCTAGCCGCCACGCATTTAAAGGATTTAAAGTGAAAAACTTAGTTTTCACGGGTTAATTTTTTTCACCGCCCTGAATAGGTCTGAAACGGCGTGGCTAAAATGCAACGAATGAAGGGAAATGTCTCACTCGGATGCCTTCACAGCCGCCCCGAGATCTCCCTGAGGCACAAATCAGACGGTGGTGTTGCAGCGGTTTCTCATATGAACAACTTAAATGTTAGCTTCATTAGGCAATTCACTTTGAAAGAATAATGTTTTTTTTTTAAACCGATTTATAGAAAAGTATTTTTTATTAGAAACATTTTTTCTCATCTCCAGCTGCTTGGTGTGGCGGCACCTCAATGCCCCTAGTGGACGAACCGCGCCTGTTTATGAAATCCCCCCCGCGCCCCGGAAAGTCTTCGACTTACAAACACAATTCGTTCCTGGGACTTGTTCGTAAGTCGAACGGCTCCGTAAGTTGGAACACAATCACGTACCGTATTTAAATGGTCATACGGTCCAAGTGTTATGAAATGTGTTACGGTTCAACAGCTCATAAACATGAAGAAATATTGTACATTTCCATCTCACAATAAAATAAACTGCACAGTAAATATAACCTTGAGTCATGATGCCTGTCGGTAGGGGCACAATGAGTGACCACAATTGCACACAAAAACACAACACCCGCCATTCAACACTAAGTGGTGGTAACATTACCACGGCGCCTGTGCTAGGCCAGGTGCACTTTGAGGCCACGTGAAGTGCACCTGGTCATGGGGAAGACCCAGGTGCCATGGGTTGACTGAGATGACTGGTAAGTGCACCAGCTGTGCGCCCTACTGTGCCAACTTGCTGATTTTTTTTACCATCCGGTGCTCCGCTCGCTGTTGGAGGGCAACTGCATCCAACTCCGCAGTAGCATCCTTCGTCGACAAGTCAGCTCAGCCCCACATCTTTCTATACCAAATAAGCCAATGTATAGCTTGTCCCGCACCCAATTAGCCCCTCCTATCCAGTCAAACAAGCTACTTGGGCAAGTGGTGGCTTGCAACCTTCATCCACTAGCCAAGACCAGGCTGTTGTGGAATTGAATGGAGCCCTAGGTGGACACTCACCACCAGAGTGGAAGTATAGCAGGCACATCTTATAGATGACAAGATGATGGTCAGTGGGCAGATCATCTCCATGATTGGTCCTGGTGTCAAGGACATGGGCTCGCATTCGCAGATGTTCTTGCTTAGACCCTGCATGCTTCCATAATATGTGGATGTGCCGATGCCGGAATGGCGTGTTGGTGATTACAAGCCCATGGGCTGCATATAAGTCCAGCAGCATCTTACCATTGTTATTGAGTTGATCTGGCCCATGCCTTCCAATCACTGTGACCCAGGTCCCTGTCTTATGACCTACCCAGGCATTAAAGTCACCCAACAGGATGACTATCCTGAGGAGCCACTTTAGCCAGCACATGGGACAGGCGGTAATAGAATGTATCTCATCAACCTTGCCTGCATTCCTCCACTGATGTCCACCTTTGGTGGGGGCGTAAGCCACCAACACCATTCTTTACCTATTGAGAGGAAAGCAAACCCACAACAGCTTGGAGACTCATAGCTTCCCACACCTTGCCTCCATGCTCTCACGGCCCCCTTTATTATTGATTGTCAATTTCCTGCCCTGAGTGGAGAACTGTCCACTCCCCATGGTGGCTGGAGCTGTAACCAGTTAACCAGACCTGTATTCCACAGCTCCTGACAAGAATGGCAACCTCGAATAACAGATATGCAACTTTAACAATATGTAACTTACCTCAGTCACAGCCCAGCTGTGATACCATGGTGGCCATATCGCATAGAGACTTGTATGGCCACGGTTGTCGTGTTGCATTCGGATTATCCTGGTGGATGATTGGCTGGTGTAGGAGTTATGATGTAATCCTTTGCAACCACTTTAGGGCTGCCATTCTCCCTGATGTTGTGCGTTTTGCACTTCGCTGTTTAGGACTATACGGAAATCACTTCGTGGTATGCTTTATGGAGTTGTTGCTATGGTTTGTTATGTGCTCAGGCCTCTGGTGAAAGAAGGGATACTGGCCAGAGCTGTAATGGAATTTTATGGGGGGAAGTGTAAGAGACTCTTCTGACAAATTATTTCCAGTTGAAACTTGGGATCAGGGGGTGCAGGGAATATAAAGAGTGCACAACTATAAAAAAAATGTACATGTCAAAAATAATGACGAATTGGCAGCCAAGTTAATGAAATTCGTCGAAGAGTACGTCTCCCCTGGAGATGGGTCGATGAAATTGGCTTGTGTGCAAGTGCTAGGTGGATTATTAATTTGTAGGATCGCGATAGATGGAGGTGGTTTGGGGAAGCCTTCAAAAAGCAGCGTGGATTGTCCATTGCTGATTATTTAAAGCAAGACACATTAAAAACAAGACACATAAGAGCTCATACAAAGTAAGGAATCATTTTATTTGCTTAGGAGGCTTCAGTTTCAACGTAGGAAAAGTATAAAATGGTGAAACTCGGTCTTATAGATTACAAACGTCAGTTAATTCGAGCTTAATACATTATGTATATGTTTCGTGTTATTTACTGATTCACTATGTTAGCGCATTCACAAGTTTGTAAGGACCATTTATATCATATATACATATGCGTATGGACTGGCACAATTTCATGTATACCTTTTGCAATATATTACATCACGAAGATTTACCAAACACTTTTCTTTAAATATATTCTATCACAGGCACTGTTTTGTAAATGTTTGTAAACATGCAGGATTGGCTCATACATTTTTTTAAAATTTTCATCATGCTTTTATACAATTCAGCAATTGAGCATGTACGTTCTGAACGTATGGGATAACTGGACCAGGGCCAAAATTGATCCAGGACTAATTCGTTTTAAATCTGAAGACAAATACACTACAGAGTTGATAGGGGGTGTGTGGTAAATGGATACCCTTGTGCTTTTCTGTGATTATATAAATGGGTGCAGCCCTTCAATTGCTGTCTCACACCACTGCGAGCAGGAGAAGGCTTGAGGCCCCCCTTCTAGACGGTTTTGTGGCCTACTCTTCTGAGATGGCCAAACACCCACACACGTTGCACAACCACACACGACCTGCCGATTCACTGCGCACCCATTCATACTGCTGGGTGGACAGATGAGGGTGGTGGAAGTACTTAAAAAATGTGGCATATAAATAGTATCATTTCAAATCGGAACATTTTGCCCATACATCTAAATTTACAGGGCGGTCCTAATGTCGTGTGACCCAAATTTAATCAAATATACCGATATTTGTTTAAAGGTTATTTTAAACATGAATGGATATGCAAAGGAACGAACAATGTTAGGGATCAATTAATTGGGGGCTTACAATACATCTGGACCACCCTGTAGAGTGACAGCACACCATTTTGGCAAATCCCAGCAATCTGTTGCGACATACAGCATTCCTCTTAAAATGTGTCCCATTGACCTGATGAGACAGACTTTGCTGTCAGTGAAGCCTCCGTAGCGTGTGGTGGTATCACACGACTTGTTGGCCACGTTCATTCATCATTTTTTTTTCTCAATTCGCATTTTCACAGTAGAACAAATCCCTTATCTCCGACCTAAACCGTGATATCGCGCATGAGTCGTGAACTTTAAATTCACCTGCTGGGTGTAGCGTAGCGACTCTTTTGGCAAACATGTCATTCCTTTTCACAACACTTTACGATAACAGGAATATCCCTGCAAACAGAGTAGAGATTACAGCACTTTCAATGTTGTGGCTAAAGCTTTTAGCAGCTGAGTGAGGGTGGAACGCTGCTGCATTGTGAGTCTAGCAGGAAAAAGCTACCTCTCTCTACCACTTTCAGTTGTACCTTTAAAATTGCGCTGTAATTGCAACAATTGCAGCCCCCAGGATAAAACTGTAAAATAACATGTACAGTAGTAGCAAACGTTTTACCTGTGTAACACCACGGGAAGAGGATTAGAGCCAAGGATATACAGAATGGGAACATTACAATGGATGGGAAAGACGAGAGAAGATAAATAATAGGAAGTAAGAGGGAAATTATGGGAAATGAATGGAAAAACTGGACAAAAGGGTCAGGAAATGTGAAAATAAAGAGGAAATGTTTCATAGGGGCCTCGACGCCTCTGTTTTCACACGGGGTGGGGAGACGGGAGGTATTGAGAGTGGGGGTTGACCACACAGAAGTGATTTGCAGGAGGCTTGAGCTGAATTAGATATATGTAAATACGTGCAACCCTTTTGTCAATTTATGGCTGGATGAAGGCCTGCTCATGCTAAGTCTGTCGGTCGTGGAGGGTATTATTTGACATTACTTCGCTCTGCTGATCAGTGTGGGTTGGCATAGTGCGAGGGGCATTGACATGGAAGCAGAGGACGGTATGGGTGCAATGTCGTCTGCTGACAACCAGGTAACACTGCAATTGCCTATGGCAAATTTTTACATTTAAAATTGCAAAGTTATTTTTTTGTTTACCAAGTTAAGGCCCACTGAGCTATATTGCTCTATTTTTAGAAGCGACCTGGCCGAAAAATGATAGCTCAAATGAATTGGCTCATCATGTGGAAATTTATATCAGACAAATATTCCAAATGCATGTTGGTTTTTAAATGTGGAGGAAAAAAACGGAGGACACGGAGAAAAATCCACTGTGACTGACAGAGAGAGAGACATACAAACGCCATATACAAGTAGTCCTCTACTTACGACGGAGATGCGTTACGACGACCCCATCGTAAGTCAAAAATATCGTAAGTCGAAGATGGCCTAGCCTACCCAGGAGTCTTAAAGAATGGTGATAATTTAGCAAAACAGCAATTTACAGTACCGTACTATATAAACTATATGCTGTATGTATTTATTAATTAAAATACTCTATTGCACAGTAAAATGTAAAGTAAAAAAACAAGGTAAATTCTTAGCCTACCTATATGAACTGCAATTTAATAGAACGTTTTTTCAGGAAACAATCCTGTCTGCACCACACAAGGCGGGAGATGCGTACATCCCGGTAGCGTCCCAACGTACAGCATCGTACCTCGTACGCTGCTGCGTTTGCCTGCAGCGCGAAATTTAAAATATTTTACAATTTTGTCGTATCGCCATCGTAAGATCGAAATATCTTAAGTCGGACCATCGTAACTCGGGGACTATCTGTATACAGTTGTCAGGGTCAGGATCGAACCCACGACCTCCTGCATACAAGGCGAAGGAGTTAACATCTCGCCACCGAGATGTGACAATTCATCATATATTCTTGGTGGTCGCCCGTTCAAGCAATATCCAGGTTCAGCTCTGTTTAGCTTCCTAGATCTCATGTCAGGCTTATCCTGGGTGATTTTTTCATAGGCTATGAAATAATACAAAAATTCTACATTTGAGATACGTTTTATTTTTCGGTAATATTCTTGATTTGATTGCTTACATGATTGGATACAAGACTCATGATTATTCCCGTGTGATATTTGGCATGTGATTCACTTTCCTAGTAATTTGATTAATTTTCATGATTCAGGGTCACAATTCAGTTCAAGAACGTATTATTGCGTCTTGTTTTTACTCTATAATTTGAAATATTTCCATTTTGTTCAGTTTTAGTTGAATTATCCTCAAATCTAAGTGTATAATTTTCTTATATATCTATGATATGCAGATTAAATTATTGTATTAACTGCATAAGTTATATTTCAAGCAGAATACATGTTTTTTTTATTCAATCGTAACCCTGATTAGTGACAATTCATCAGATCAATGGAGGTGGATGGGATGGTTTAATCATTCCACCTCTACTTATTATCACCACATTTGATATATACAAAATCTCAATTGTGTTATTGGCATCATGCTGTGAGACAAATCATAAATTTGCAATTGTCTGCGAGAAGTATTAGATAATGGCCTGCAGGAGGAGTTATCACGTGACTACTTTAATGATCTCATAAAACCTCGTATCCAAACTACGGGGTAGGACTTTCACAAGTGCCATGCTACAGAGTATCAAAGTCAAACTGATGTTTAATTCTCCAATCTGGAAACTGGCACAATTGAGTGCAGAATCAAATGTTGTATGGTGAGGTTTTTTTAAAAGTCATTATTGACCATACTCTTTGTTTTTTTCGGTAAAGTCACGTAGGTAAGAAAATTAATAAATGAAAAACAACTAAATTAAATCACGACGTTTCAGAGGCAATACAAGCTTCCGTCTTCAGGTGAAACCATTGCAGCCAAAATCACTGTAATAGTTCCACCTGAAGACGGAAGCTTGTGTTGCCTCCGAAACGTCGTGATTTAATTTAGTTGTTTTTCATTTACTTATTTTTTTACCTACGTGACTTTACCGAAAAAAACACAGAGTATGAATCCTTGCAGTCACGAAAACTTCAAATCTAGAATCATTATTGACCAGGCTGAACCCATCAACTCCCAACACTTGAGAGAGAACCCGATTCAATCACAAGTGACTGCCCAGATGTCAGCAGTACCAGCTCAGCGCTCCGACCTTTGAGCCACACGGCTCACTTCCAATGTGCTTATTAAGAGTTTCGGGGGTTCACTCCACACTGTTACTCAAATCGTGAGAGCAGCTGCTCTGCAGGTGTGGACTTAAAAAAAAAGATAATTCCACTGAGTGGATGGATAGTTTATTGACAAAGTAGCTTAATGGATATAATCATTGCCTCTATTCCCTGCTGTGCTCAAGAGCTGAAATGCTCAATCCCTAAACAGTGGGGGTGCTCCACCTGGGAGTGAATGCAATGGAGCCAGGATAATTTTCTGTATTATTTGCATGTGTATGTTGATAATGCCCTGTCAAATCCCGAAACATCAACATTTGGCTGCGACACAAAAATAAACGTAAAATATTAATTTAAAGAAAATCACATTTTATTACTGTACCTAACAAAATGCATTTGATTGCATTGTCTATTTGAAACTGTAGCAGGCAATGAAATTGAGATTTGTTTACGCTTAATCTCTTAGTACAAAGCTTTTTGCAATTCATAGAAGCCAAGTTGTAATGTGTATGCTGCGGTGTATTAAAATATTTGAAACTAATGCTCAAAAACAATGTCTGTGTTGTATAGTACACAGCAATTTACTCGGCACGACGATATGATTTGTATGCAAACCCCATGCTGGCCATTGCACAAGCAAGTCAATATATGCCATGCGGAGTACATTTCTATCTCCCGCTAGCCAAGGCTAACTGCATTATGTTTACACCTCACGTGGAAATATGAGTGAAGAAAAGACCGCACCTGAATTAAATTAAGTGCACCGTAGTGTAAAATTATAATAAACAGAGTCCACTATTCGCTTCTCCACATTATTCATGGAGGCATCAAGTGTATTCATGACCTTATAGCTTGACTAATTGCCAATTTGAAATGCTGTTGACTCTTCGACATTGAAATTGGTGACACCAGCAAGGTTAATATTGACAATAAAATGGGGTTAAGCCCATGCTCGGGTGATCTGGATAAAATTGAGTGCAACTTTATACAGCGGAAGCGTGCGCTGGTTCAGAAGACAAACATTAGTTTTTTTGTGAGGATTCCCAAAAAATATGTATACAGAAATTGCCCGTACGGATTGGCGCGAGCACAAAGATAAGGTTGTACTCATTGAAATTAAACGTACGTTTAATTGGCCACGGGGCCTTGAGAGGCTGTCCAGTGATGGGCTCTAGTCACACAAGAGTCGCTGCCACATTCCTCCAGGGACAAAAGCCCCCCCTTTCTCGCCGTCATACCAGGCAGCCGTTATGAACACTCCTTTGGCTACTGTAGCAGAAACGTGTGTGCCTTGGCGTTCGTAGGAATTGAATTTATGCTACGTTATGAAGCTGGGGACAATTCGTCGAAGAGTTGATTATAATCGACTGACGCTTTAAGCAACTACTTTTTTTCTGGTGAATTGTTCGGTGCCCGTTTTAAATTCGTGTCCGCCCCCACATCCTGACTCCCGAAGGCAGCAAACCACCAACGCTCACCCGTTTATACGACATTCATGTTGTCAGATTAGTCGAGTAATGCAACTGATAATCTGTGGAGTAGTCGAATATTGAAATAATCGGATAGCCCAGCTGGCCTACATTACACTGTCTTTCCGACAGCCCTGTTCTTCGCCTGAGGACGGCTGCTTGCGTTGTGGCCGAAACGTCGTGAGAATTTTATTTTATATTTTATTTTTATTATTTTATTATTTCCCTTCTACGTGACTTTACCGAAAGAACCAAGCAGACTTCATGGTAAGTTTGAAATCTGTCACGCATTGACCACCTGCATGTTTAATGACCAAATAATGATTTGTGTACAGGATACTTTACTTACATTTATATTTGGGGCACTGCTTATATTTGCCATTCATCTTTGGGACAATAATGTGACTCATTAACACAAGCAGAAGTTACGGACAGTAGTATCGTTTGTGCGGTTTGCAGTACCTCCTCGTTCATGCTGTAAACATTTGCCACAATTTCACAGCCTATGGGAACTGAATTTTCTCAATGGCAATACACAGTGGTAGTAATATCTCTAGACTGCAGGAGGGGGCAGTCGCACCCTGTGTTGTACGGCAGACACAGACGCCAATCATTATTACGTGCACGCTTTCAATAACCAGGGCAGAGTCCCACAGAAGCTGTGTAAACAAAATATACCCACGCTGAGTGATTTTATATACGTATCTATTTTTTTGACGTTTTAAATTAAATTAAAATATGCTTTAAGTGTGTGTGTGGATTTTCCTCTAAACAGCATACAGTCAGGGGTATAGTGTGTACACTTTTCTACCGCGCAATGCAAATTAAGTTATTTGTTTCGTTTTTCCTCTATATCTCCCGATGTGCTTTTGGTTTGTACCACGTGCTGACTGGCAGTTCGCTCAACACACGCCGAGGGCTTCTTCAACGAGTTGAACTGATGAAGCTCTTGCGTGGAGCGAAATGTCAGACAGGGATCGATGTCGAACAAGACGCCGAACTCAAAAACACACCGGAGACCCATGCAGCACGGCCGTGAATGCCTACACAGCAATGTTGTTGTTTTTTATCCGCACAAAGCAAGGATGTAGCTAATACTAGCTCCTAACAGGTCTCGTTTTTTTGTTTCTCCAGCTGTCTCGCGTGGTGTCATGTATGTATGTTGAACTTCTTTCACACCGTGCGTAGGCAATCATGCTAATCGGAGGTGCGGGGGAAGGACAACTGAACAGAGTGTGTCTGGTGCACCCAGACGCATCCCACCAAACTGCCCACATCATGTACGGCCCACACTCAAAGAGGGGCCCCACATGACGCACACACACACACACACAGAGTTAGGGTGCCATGCACCTTCCCAGCGAATGCTTGTGTCTCCCAGAACCTTTTTACAAAATAAATAGTGCCGCGTCAATGATGTTGAATCCCCCCACGTGGCAACGTGGGGGTCGTGGAGTTGGGGGGGGTGGGTGCTGGAGGCTCTTACGCCTACAGCTTCGTCTCATCCCTGAAGCCGAGGCCTCCGTCCATCTGGGCGTTGATGTCGTCTCTGTTGCTGCACGAGCCCGTGCTGCTCGACACGTTCGCCAGGGGGTCCGGCCGGATCAGGTAGCTGTGCGCAAGAGATGAGGAGTAAAGACACGATGCAATCAGAGGCGCTACCAAGCGGTGCCAGCCGGGCCCGATATGCTGTGCGAACACAATGCTCGCAATCGTATTACTTACGATTGTGTTCACATTATAAATGCTCCTTTGGCTACTATACGGCGAGATGTTAACTCCCTCGCCAGGTATACAGGAGGTCGTGGGTTTGATCCCGACCCTGACACCTGCTGTATATTTGGAGTTTGTATGTTCTCCCCGTGGTCACGTGGATTTTTCTCTGGGTCCTCTGGTTTTTTCCCCTCCACATTTAGAAACATGCATTGAGAGAATTTTGGCTGCTCTACATTTCCACGTGATAAGCCACTTCGTTGCGCTATCATTTTTGCCCAGGTCGCTTCTGAAAAAGAGCTACATAGCTCAGTGGTGAAATAAAAAAAAAACTGTTTAATTTATTTCATATAACAGAATCAGGTAGCTGTACAAAAGAGACGAGGAGAAAAGACACGCGGCAAACAGAGGCTCTCCCAAGCAGTGCCTGCTGGGCCCGATATGCAATGCGAACACGACGCTCACAATCCTATCGCGGACGACTGTGGTCACATAAACCCCACGGCCACTAGAGGTGATAACATTCACCACTGTTTAAAATATAATGAGTCCTTGAGTTGATTCACGACCCTGAATCAGAATAATTCATCACATTGCTGGGGAGTTTAGGGGCCGGGTTAATTATTCTCACCTCTACTTATTACCACAACATTAATTTTACATGCAATTTTAATAAATGTTTCTCCCAATTGTACAGTAATTGTGCTATTGTCATCATGTCATGTTACGAAGAAATATCAATTAGGAATTCGAACCAACCACTTTTCCACGAGTGGAAACTCGCCTCTAAACATTACAATGTAAAATGTAGGCAGGAAGGACATTTAATTTAACGTCACATTTCTTTTTTGCAACACGGTCTTGACCTCTCACTCAATAAATATTTATTGGAAATGTTTTTAAATATATAAATTAAGAACTTGGAGAGTAATAGAAACACCACTTTGCAACAAACTTCAGCCGTACTTTACCGAGAGCAGAGGCTAATTCAATTGCACTTGAATTCACAAGTGTTGACTGTCCATGGAAGATAGATCAAAGAAACATCAAACTCCGTGCAAAAGTACTTCTGAAATCCCTTCAAGTGACATCTCCTCCGTACTGAGGGTGGCTTGGTTCCCTGTGTAATTCCCTGGACGCAGCTCCTCCACACAATGAGCGGCGGTGCCTTCTGCTATGCTGCGGAACGCCTCACCTAGACTTCGTAAATTCGGACACAACTGTGGTGTCCGAAACCTGCCTAAAGACACGTTCACTTTTTCTTCAATTCGGTGGTTCTATGATTTAGCGTCTATTAGTCTTCTTAGGTTTTTCTTCCCATGGTCTGTGTTTTTTTATTATGATGTATATAGCACATTGAGTAGCTTATAGAGATGTGCTTTATCAATGTAATTTAATATTATTTATTATATTATTACACAACTAAAACGAACCTATTTTTATTTGATCAGGTAAGACCCACTGAGCTATACTGCTCTTTTTTTCCAGAAATATCTATATAGCTCAACGAAGTAGCTTATCATGTATCGCAGCGAAATTCTCTCAACGGATGTTTACAAATGTCGAGAGGACAAAATTGGAGGACCCAAAAAGCAATCCACGCGGCCACGGGGAGAACATGCAAGCTCCAAATCTGCAGGCGTCAGGGTTGGGATCGAACTCACGACCTCCTGCATACCGGGTGGTGCTCTTCTCCACATTCCCTGCTCTAAAAATGTTCACCTCGCGAAGAAAACTATATGTTAGACTCTGAGAGATGGGGGACTTTTTATTTAAAAATTTAAATGAAAAAAAATATACGTTTTTTTTTGTGGCGCAGTCACATCAGTGACCAGGCTGAGACCATCAACTCAAAAATGGCTTAATCCCAACTTAAAACCCAGGATATTATGTGCTGTCAGCTCAGTGTTCTGATTTGTGAGGCATTCGGCAATCTCCAGAGTTGTATTTATAAAGCATCTCGATAAAACCGCATCTCACAATCTTAACGTACTGTGGCGCCCCCGAACAACCATGTACGGCCTTCGGCCAGGAAAGTCACAAAAAAATTGCACACGAACGACGCATTCACGCAAGCACCCGATGCTCCGTTTAGAAGTTTTAAAATGAAACATCTTTGAATTGTATTGTTTTGAATTAGATAATTGTATTTCTGCATTAAAAGCTTATATAATTTAACATCTGGAAGACTTCATTGAAAACGACATTTCGTGTGAATTTTCTCTCGTCGTTAAGTAGATGGCCTTGCTGGGGGTTCGGTTCGATGCGGACTTTCACCCGTTTGGGATTGCGGGATCGAGATAAGGCGACATAGAGCTGCTGGCCGTGCGAAGACCGCCGTCTGCAGATCGATTCCAACGTGATCGAACGTCGGTCCCTGCGCCTCCATCGTTCATGCAGGGGGCGCGTAGGTTTGCAGCGCCCCCTGCATGAAAAGTTTCAGTTTTTCATTTATTTGGAACGACGGAAAGTGCAGCGTTCATCACAGATAAATAAAGTTGTGCGCTTATATAAGAGTATTTTAGCCTTTTTTCATATTTCAAATGTGCCATCTGATGTGCAGTTTCGTGGTTAGTTTGCTAAAATCCCCAAAGTAAATAACACATTAGAGCGTATCAAATATAAATACACCGTAATATTAGCCAAATTTCACCATAATTTAATGCATTGAATTACGTTTGGTCTGGAGCACATTCATTGTCCAAATCTTTAGGGTTTATTTGATTTCTCTAAATCAGCATTTCTAAAACTCCCGTGCTCACAGCTCCCCACGGTGCAGCCTTCTGTGATTGCCAATCATCAAATGTGTGCATGCATAGTGGTTAATTTGCATATGAATGCAAAAAATTGTAAACTTTCAAAGGCACACAGCAAGGGGCCTGCAATGGCTGGAGAAATTATTCTTCAGATATCAGTTTCCAGGCAACTTCAACATTAACGCAACATATTCTTACATTTGTTATTTAGATTTTAGCGTATTTTGTATTATTATAATTACAACTAATTTTAATACGTAAATTTATAATCATGCTAATTACAAATATATTTTTTACAGTAAATTTAACACGCCTAATCTTTCGCGAGCAATATTACGATTAATAATGAATGTTTGGGTAAGATTGGATACGTAGATTGTGTGTCAAAAACCCTCCACCAGACACAGCCAATGAATAAGTTTGTCACGTGATGAACAAACATGCATATTTACTATTGCTGCAGCAGCAGCACCAGTATGTTGTACAGCAATCAAGAACATTTAATTTTCGATTTAAAGCTTTCGTGACTGCAGGGATTCATCTTCTTGGTTCTTTCGGTAAAGTCACGTAGAAGGGAAATAATAAAATAATAAAACATAATGAAATAATTCTCACGACGTTTCGGCCACAACGCAAGCAGCCGTCCTCAGGTGAAGAACAGGTCTGTCAGACGCTGTCTTTCCGACAGACCTGTTCTTCACCTGAGGACGGATGCTTGCGTTGTGGCCGAAACGTCGTGAGAATTATTTGATTATGTTTTATTTTTTTTATTTTATTATTTCCCTTCTACGTGACTTTTCCGAAAGAACCAAGAAGAGGAACATTTAATGTTTTCCTGGTAGTTATAATCGGCATCATTTAATGCCCGAGACTGGAGGACATTTTCCTGATTCTGGCAAACTGCCTGATGATGTTGGTTGTAACTACCAGCAAAACGTTGTACCGAATTGTTAATAAATCTTGATTGTTTCGTCTATTTTCTTTAACTTGTTTTAAAGTATCGTAATTAAATTGCAATGTTGTGATTTATTAATCGCGCCGTTAAGACAAATACAATTTCTTGCGATCGTTTAATTTCATTGAGCACTGAAAATGTGCAGACTACATAAAGTGTACGCTTTGGCAAGGTCTTATAAACTACGTCGTTAATCTTGTACTCAGAATTCACCGGCCATGACCTTGACATATCTGTATGCCTGCGGGTAGCAACAATAAGCTTTCAACATTACTTTCTACAAGGTGGGGGGGGGTATGGATGCAGGCGAGCGGGCGGGCAGTGGGGGTGGCTTTACTACCTCAGTTGAGAATACTTTACGAAAACGAGATTTCAATATAACACGTAGGCTTTCGCGACCAATATTATTAATAATAAAGGCTTTTTTGGGTTATATCGCGTAAGTATAAATGTTGTGACGTAACCCTCCACAACCCGACGCATCCAATTAGTAAGGGATTTGTCACGTGGACAAAACGCCAATTAGATACTACTTCAGCCGGGCAAATCGCCAGATGATGCTGGATGTAATTACCAGCGAAACGTCTTACTCAAATTGTAAATGCTGCCGAGGTACTCTCCAACACACCTTGTGGGGGAGGCTGAGGCTGTGGGGGGGAAGTGAGGGAGGGGTCACACCTGGGACGGCCGATTCCCCTCTGCATGTACGGCGCTTTGACATTGCTAATTTGAAAGGCGCTTTATAAAACTGAGTTCATTATAATGATTATATTACGAGCTATACATGCTCTGAGACGTGCATTGTCTTTGTGCTGTTCGCCTTTTGGCGAGACTAGGCAATAAAGAAGGCCGTCTCTGGTGCAGTTTCAAAGACAATGCCGTATTTATTTATCAGAGCATGTTTGTTTGCATGTTCACCACAAGTACGTGTGGTTAATGCAGACCTGATTCCTTGAAAAACGGATACATTTGGTGTTCGAACATCTTCACACAACTCCTGTTTTATTGCCAGAAAGGGTAAAAACGTTATTATTATGATTGATCCGTCAAATTAATTTGATTGGAGGTGCCTGGCACATGGATGGTGTTCAATTGCGATAGGTATGAGCGTGTCGGTGGCCACCGTGTGAACAATCCACAACCGCTTCAACTCTTATTTCTATGGTGAAGAGCTGTGGAGCTCAACAAATTTGGGGAGACAGGAATCCTGTGACGAAAATCTATATTCTGAGCACTGCCAGAGAGGAGTTATTCCATGTCAATTTATCTCCCGCCCCCCTTTATTATGCATCACTTAATGGGTCGGGCAGGACAAGCTAAAATCGCGATCAAAGGAATGTATGACTCCTTCCTCGCACAAGTGTCTGCTCATCGTCGCAATGTAAAGTGTGATGAATATATGAGACACATGCATTGCATGTACGTATGTAGAACTTCCTTTGCTAATCGGAGGTGGAGTTCTGAAGAAGTGAGATTTCAATTTCAGAAGAATTTATGTTTTCAATTTAGCAAATGCGCAGTATGTACGAGGTACGGATGTAGCGTTTCCCGATATGCTGGTACATAACGTGTGCAGTGTTGTGCGGATTATAAGATGCTCCGGAAAGTAAAAAGACCCTCCCTCGCATTTTTAGGGTCGCTTTGAAAATAAGTGTTTTATAAATTGGGAGAATGCGGTGCTACGGAGAAGTCACTATCTTCCAGAAGATGATTGCGCTGCCCTGAAACCGGGAGGAGATATCTTCTCGAATATGATTTTGAACAGCTGGCGATGTCTTCTGTAACCTGCGTGCTCAAGATATTGCCAGGAGAACTCAGTATGATGAATGAGTGTTATGATTGTTATGAACAATTCGATTCACACATGTATCCCAGAAGACCAATGCATTCCTCGGATTACAAGATGCACCCCCTTCCCCCCCGCCCCCTCCAATTTTTGCATGAAAACACCGGGGAAATAAGTCGGTCATCATAATCTGGAGAGTATGGTATTTTACATGTGGAGGCAGCGTCTGAATGTGTGCTTCCCACCCACGTGCACGTACCAAGTCACGCGGTAATGTTTCAGCAGACGTTGGTATATGACACGCACGTATCTACTACGGTGTGTTGAACTTCATTGACACCGTGCGTAACCGTGCTAATCGGAAGTGCGGGGGAAGGACAACAAACTAATCAGAAAAAAGCGGTTCTAAAAAAAATTGTTTTAAACCTAAATTAAAAAGTGCGTAGCTCCGGTGGCTTTCGAATACCGAAAGAAAGAGTTGATTCCAGACGGCCACCGAAGCGCATCTGGAAGCGTGCGATGCAGTGACCGTCTTTGTTTGATGGCTCGCCGAAAGCTGCTGCGAGGATAGGTTAGAGTTCGCGTGATGATTTGTGTTCCTTGACGAGATCACCAAGGTATTGTGCTTCAATTGCGGCAAGCATTGCCAGGAGCGCGACCTTATAATAATGTATTAGTTCGGCAAACCGAAAGCCAATGCAGCTCAGCGAGCACCGGACGGACATGGTCAGATCTTGCAGTACCCGTCACTACACATGCCAAAGAATGTTGTACTCGTAACACACATCCCAGTGAACGCTGGGCCACTGGACCAACGTTGTCTGATCGTTGACCCAACATTCCACGTCCGCTGGGTCGTACACGGCACCCCCTGTGCACCGTACACATTCACGTGGTGGTGTTTCACTGGGCGAGGTTACTCACACGATGTCGTTTAGTTCCAGCCTCACGTCGGGAGGGGGGTTGATGAGCACGTATGACAGCGTGTTCTGCTGGTCGTTGATCTCATCTGCAAGGTGGCATTCACACGAGCCGTTATTGTACAGCACTGCTATGTGACCGTTTAAGAAGCTACTACATTCTTCACATTACTGCAGTGCCAAAGCAAGTGATGATTCGCCGTTGTTGTAAACACTGATCAAAGTCGAAAGTTTGCCTCTTAGCTCGAGTAAGCATTAGGCGCTGCTCCTCACTGTTTTAGGTTCTGAGCCAGTGGTGGAAATTCCACGTTCCTATGGCAGATTCGAGTCTGTCCAGGGGACAACCACAAGTGATTTTTCACAAAGTGGTACTTTTCGTTTTCCAACCTCAGATGGATGATTGAATGAGCTGACAATGAGGTGGGAATTGGAACTTCCAGTCAGAGTCCCTATAAATATCACGTGATGAATGCCATTAGATTGGGAGAAAAACAAAAACGGACCCAAGCTACTCCCCTGCACAGCGTACGTAACATGACTCCGCATCTTTGTAGGACAAAACATGTCCGGGGACATTAATAATGGAACAAGACAACTTTAATAGGAGAGATAAAAAAAACAAATCAACATGAAAAAAAATATTTTTGTTTGTTTACATTTCTAGAAAGGGGTAGAGATATGAAAACGAGTGCTGACTAATTGCAGCAGGGCAGATCATGCGAAGGACTTGCAGCCGACATTTGCAAACATAAATAAGGTCATCGTTCTAACAAGGCTTTCATTTATGATTCATAATCGATCTTCAGGTAGCATAAGCAAAATTGTGCGTCGTAAAACCTCCTCCCCCTGACACGGCCAATTAATTGTGAAAATAAACTATGAATCATAAGATCATCATTCATTTAAAGGTTGCTCTTCAATTCCTTCTTTAATTTTGTAAAATATTGTTTCAGACAGCCGACGAAGGTTCTGCATCGTCATAAACTGAAACGAGTGGTTCCCTGCTGCTCAAGTGAGGTTCTAGGCGGTGCTCACTCCCGCTCACATCCCTGAGCCAGTGGTGACAATTCCACATTCCCATGGCAGGGGCGAGTCTATCCACAATACCACCACGATTGACTTTTCCACAAAGCAGGGCCAATTTGTATCAACCATGGAGGGATGATGGGCTGGGTAAAGCCTCAATCAGGATTTGAACTCGTAACATTGGTATTGCGAGCCGTTCCCTCTACCGTTCTGCCGACGTACGGCGCGAAAGAAGTTCAACAGACATACGCAGATGCACTCCTGCGTCGAGGGGGGAGCTGGTAATTTCGTGGACAATACCAGGGTGACACCCTCTACAGCACGCACCTGTGGGAGATCGCCAGGTCATTGAAATGCAAGCAGCGTCCCAACAACGATGTTACGCTTCGATTTTTTTTTTGAGGAAATCGAAGTTGACGTTACTTTGTACGTTTTTTTAAAATTGTCCTGTCAATTGCAAATTAAATATTTTACATTTGTCCGATATACATATGGGTGTATTTTTTTTTTATTCAAGGCTAACGGCAACGGTTGTGCCAGTTAATGCTCTAGATTCAATGAAATCAAGGAGAACATTTAAGGAGATATTCTTGGTTGGAAAAATAATTATTTCGGGGGTGTTGCTCGCTAACAATCGCCAAAAGCCAATGCCCGTATTTTGTTCCTATGGCGGGGAGTTGATAGGCAACGTGTGTATACGTCCGTGCCGAGGCTGATGGAGTGAGCAAGCGAGCGAGCGAGCCAGTGGACGAATTCAGGAGGAGCCTGATGAATACCTGAAAACGCTGACAGCGAACGATCGAAGCTAACGCCAACGCCACTCGAACACAACGGACTTGGGTCTCGCAAAATGAAAAATGTGGATGCTGCGCTGCACTGCGTAGAGCACAGTTTGCTAGCCCTGAGACAAGACAGCATTTTCACAACGAGGGGTACTAATTGCCATAATTATTGCACAGTGGGGCTGCAATGTCAGGTGCTACCAGTGGTACATTGGTGCTGGGTATATGCACACAACAGCTTGCTGTTGCCTAAAGCAGGTTGCCGGCGATTGTTTGGTTCGTTTTGTGAGCTCAGGCTGATGGGCTTTCGAAAAAAAGACAGCAATTGAAAGCAACTTTAACTTTTTAATGACCTTTTGTTTTTGGAGGGAGGGAGGAAGGGAGTGCAGAGGAGCAAGAAGGACACGTGAACACAGCGTGGATAGGACTGACGGTCGACCAACAATCGACACGTTATTTTGAGGCAGGCAGAGGAGCGATAGGAATCGTCGCACTGCGTACTTGAGAGAAGTCGCAAACAACCGCGGAGGCTGCGGAGGCCTGAGAACATTCAACGCTGGACATTTACTGTACCTTTCAGGTATCCCAGGTTTACACGATTCATCACATCAGAGGCAGTTATATTAACAATATCCTCTACAGTTGGGGCGGGGGGGCAAACAGAACAAAACATATGAATTATGTCAGAAAGGTGGTACAGGAACAAGCGGCGGTCGCGCGTGCCTTCTTGAATTACGCCTGCAATGAAGCGAGCAGCCTCCGTGCGCCTGTCACACGCGAACGGCAGCGTGAAGTATTTGAGCTAATGGGCGATGCTCCAAAGCCAACACTTATGATGTTCAGTCTAGCTAATGTATATCATCATGATCGTCACTTAATATTTATTCTGAATTTTGCTCCCATGTGGTACATCTCAAGATGCCCTGTGGAAGTCTAGCAAAAAGGGGACCTCCTATTGGCAGCTGTCCCTGTGTGATACAAGTGAAAAGCAGCAATGACCTGCAAGTTGCCATTAGTCTTCCAATGAGGGGTAATTGCTCCATGGCTTTTCCCAATGAAGCAAAATATCAAATCTGCCAAAGTTAGACCGAATATATGTATATACATAGAAGCAAGTGATTGTAAATGTAGCCAATTGAATCGGATTACGTAACATTACTTTCAAAAAGCAAGATATGGGATAATGTTCGGTCACTTCTGAAACGTCATTAAGAATGACGTTGATTACTTTGTAACACTGAGCCTCCCAACACTGAGTGTAGTAGCCCATACAATTGGGCTAACAGTTCCCATCTTAGGTGTGGCATTGGTCGAGAGAGGATGGCGAACGTATGGAACGGGAGTCGAGCGTGGGTGTATGTCTGGGTGTGAGTTTGTGTGTTGCGCGTTGCATGACCAAATAATAATAACACGGGAATACCACGGACAATGATAACAGCCAATGCGTCTTCCTCCTGAAGAGCTACGTGAAGTGGTGGTTATCTCCATTAGTCGCCAGTGAAGGAAATATCTTATTTCCATGGCTAACCATCGTTGAAAGCGTTGCATCAATTGTATTCACTCCAGAGCGGTGACAGGCTGAACGGCATACAAATTTGTCCTCCTTGGATTGCGAGTCCAAGCGCTCTATCCCAATACAAAGCAGCAGCCCTTTGTCAATATATTTCAGAATGAATGCCTCCCCACACCTTTAAAGTAAAAAATAAACAAGTTAGCGTTACAAATTTCCAACGTGCAGTTTCCGCGGATTTAGATGCGCGGGACACAGACGAGCGGAAAGGCAGCCTGAACTGACGCCAACAATTTCCCAAGCTCTGTGGCCCTACATTGAGATATTTTGCTGAATGTTTGACCTGCATCACCATGCAATTCAGTGCAGGTTGATGAAATGGGATGCCCATGACCGGTTTAGACACCACTCACCACTGATATTAACCGTGGCTGGCAATCGAACTCTGCTCGGCGAGTTCACAGTGTTGTGCATTGGCCACTGACTGCGGCACTGTAAAAGAACTGTAATGAGATTGATTGGAATTTAGAGATGCTGGACTTTTAATGACGTACGTGTACATCATCAGTATCTCTTCCAATTCCTTTATCGGCACGTCTTCGGGTCGCAAGACGCACCGAGGCTCCCACAAGGTGTGTGGCAGTTTGGCGCCAGCTATCAGAAAAGTGCGGTCGTGTCGCGAGAGTTCGCCACGGTGAGTACAATGTCAATTGCGCTACTACGCCTCTCTAAATAATATTAACGCTAACCGCTTGCGCGTTCCGAGATTCAGCGGTGAACGGGATCCCGCACCTTGCAACTTGCGGACGTCTCAGAATGGGAAAGGGTTAATAAGACGCCTCGCGATGGAGCAGTTAACGGGGCCTCTTGTCACCTCCATGCCGGCAAAAACGAAATGGCTTTCACCTCATCTGGACTTGACAGGCGAGATTGATGTAAATCCACTGCATTATTTACTCTGTGCAGTCAACCCTCCAATGTGAGACTTAGCCACGCGCACGGTGGCATTAATGAGATCAATAAATCAAGCCAACTCGATTCTGGGCACGCTATTTTCTGACAGGCTGCATTTATATTCACGTGAACATTTAAAAAAATATATATATAACCTGATTTTGAGGCAATTGACAGGGTTATCTTAGCCAGAATCTTGCATACCGAACCAGATTTGTTTTTTTTTGTCACAGCACTGTACGTCGGTGATCTTAGAAGGTACATTTATAATATTGCTGTTGATTGGAAGTTTGCAAGGTGAGCGAGTACTTTGTGCCTCCTTACAAGTGGGTTTAATTCGAGGCGTACAAAACAGAACGTTTATTTTTCAGAAGAATTCTTAAAATATTAATTTAACGCGTTCAAATACCAATAATTTCCTTATTCATTAACGACGTGTATCGCAACACACCAGAACTATTGTATAAGTCCTGCTGAAATAGGTTTTGATGAAAACACATCTGGGAGCTCTGCAGCACAATCGCGAAATTAGGAATGATAAAAGGAATAATCTATTTTTAAATCCTTTATATTAAGTTCGCTTGCTTGCTTGCGTGCTTGCTTGCTTATGACCGTGCAAATCTTTCGGTCGTTTTTTAACCCACTTCCCGTGATCCAATCGAGCTCACATTTTGCACACAGACTCGTTGTGCGTGACAATTAATTTTCGTGAAAACATTTTTCCAAAATGTTACACTTTTTAGGAAAAAACGAAATTATATTTAATTACCAATTGCTTAATGGTGGCAGGCAATCATCTGACCCATAGGTGGCAGCCATCTCAAGCCAGAGGACGAGAGGACTCTAGCCGCCACGCATATAAGGGATTTATAGTGAAAAACTTTGTTTTTACGGGTTAATTTTTTGTTGTCTCGTACATACATCGACCGTGTGTGCCACGGTTTCCCCAAAAGAGGGCTGGCACTCACACGAGGAGTCAAAGAAAACATTCTCTCACCTATGTGATCAACAGCAGCAGTGATGCGCTGGCTTTAACCGGAAATTTGTTTTCATAAAAATACAAATAAACTGATAGATGGTTTCACTACAAATACAACTAAATATGAGCGTTCCTCGACTTTCTGAATAATCCATCACACGCGTTTTCAGCCACAGAACAATTACTTTTTCACTCTTCACGGGAAATTCTATAAAGAAAATCTGTTATAAATAGCGGTCGGGCTTGTGGAATTTAAACAAACAATATCTGAATCGCACCCCCTTTGTTAGTCCACCGCTGGATGAAGGCCTTTCAAAAGGCTGGGTCGATCGATTGGGCTGTTTGACCATGCCCAGGTTGGTGAAGGGGGTGCTGGGAGCAGGGGTCAGGGGGTGCCAGCACCAGTTCAGATATCGCCACCAATGTTAGCCGTGGCCGGGAATCAACTTCATATCAGCCGGGTTCACAGCCAAGTGCGCTATCCAGTGCACCACTGCTCTATACCAAACGTACAATCTGAATAACAAAAAAAAAACTAAATCCAGTGGCATAAATTCCACAATTCCTATGGGCAAGGGTTTGGCCTCTCCAGTGGAGAATATCTACTGCCTCCCCACAAAGTTGTCAATAGTTTTACTGAACGCAGAGGGATGATGGGCCGAGTCGAGCCCCTTGAACGAGGTTTGAACCGGCAACTTTCGGATGTGACTCGAGCACTTTAGCCAGAGTGCCACTCAGCCAGTGCGCATACAATTAGGCAGAATAAAACGAGCAGCTCTCTAGACTTGTATCAACTCTAAACTAAACTTTTAACATTGCTAAGTAAGGCCCACTGAGCTATATACATCTATTTCAGAAGCGACCTGGGCACAAATGATAGCCCAACAAAGCGGCTTACCACGTGTCAATGGACAGGAGACAAATACTCGAAATGCATGATGTTGATTGTAAATGTGGAGGGGAAAATCGGAGGAACCCGAGAAAAATCCACCCGACCACAAGGAGATACACACAAACTCGAAATATAAAGGCTTCAGGGTCGGGATCGAACCCACGGCCTCCTGTATACCAGGCGAGGGAGATAACATCTTACCACCGCGGCGCCCCGCACCCCCTACACGGTGATTCTACGAATCGTGATATATAATTATTACTTTTACGATCTCATTTGTATTGCGTATCGTGCTTTTCTGCCCCTTTAGCAGCTGTGTTCGATCAGTTAGCCTACATTTTTGTTGGCATATTATTTATATTAATTGTAAACTCGTCCGATTTTCAAGAAAGACGATTTGACGTACGCGCGTAATACAAGCGCAAGAATCACTTGTCTTAGCAACGAATCGGCACCTCGTTTTACAACGTAGGTTTTCAAGGTTGTGCTGTCGCTGTATGATTCTCTGACGTGTGTTCAGGTTGCACCACGTGGAGTGGAACATCGGACATCGTGCCAAACAAAGACAAAGATCCCCCATATAGCCTTAACACACTGCTGGGGCAAGTGCTGTTAGCGAGCACCTACGGAGGCCGACACAGTACGGGAGGGGTTAGGTGGCCAGCATCACGCCCGACAACCTTTGTCTCCCGAGTGGCGATGTTTTTACACATCAAACAAGGCATTAATTTGAGGCTGAGTCGACCTAGGGGAGGCCCAGGATCGCCACCGGTGTCGGCCGCGAGCGGGAATCGCCCTCGGGTTTGTAGCGCGATGCGCTGACCGCTGCACAAGCCCGCGAGCACGGGGCGAGTGCTGTCAGCGACAACGACCGGCGCTCCGACACAATGTCCGTCCACAGCTTCGCTCACCGTATCCCGTCGTGGACAGCCCGAGGTGCTTCATGCGGTTCTTCACGAGCTCCGACAGCTCCTGCCGCTCCGTGCGCTGGTAGAGCGTGCGCCGCTGCCGCCCGATGTTCTCCGCCGCCGCCTTGCGCCCGCTGCCGCCCCTGCCCGCGCGGCCTCCCCCCTTGCGGCTGAAGCGACGGGCCCAGTGCATGGTCTTGTGCCGCAGCAGCAGGTGCTCGGAGGGGTCCGGGGCGGAGCCCTGCACGGAGCCCGCGCGGCTCACGTAGTCGTGGCTCTCGCGCGCCACCTCGTCCGCCTCCGGGATGCCGATGGAGACCTGGGACTTGGCGGCGGCGGCGAGGGAACGCGCGGAGGGGCGGGTTGGGCCAGGGTCAGCGCGTCGGCTTTACGGGGGCCGCAGCCCCGGGGCGGGGTGCGGCCCGCCACAAATGTGCACACGTGGCCACGGCCGGCCCAAGGGTCTCCCATAGCAAGGAGGAGCTTGCCTCGAGGGTGACCGAGCTCGAATATAAGACGGTCAAAGATTGAGCTTAAAGGGGGTGTGGCAGAGGTCGCAAACGGGTTTTGATTCCTTACCCGTACCCTACCCGAAATGAGTGACAAACGGTTACTCACCAGTGACTCACGGCCTACCCGTACCCGGCCGCACCAGGGTCGCAAACGGCTACCCGTACCCGGCCGGGTACGGGTAGCCGGGTATCGGGTAGGGTACGGGTATCGGGTACCCTGTTGCGACCTCTGGGCTGTGGTGGAGGGATATGCCTGCGCTCTTTCCGTGGTGGTGGTATGAATGAGGGCAGCGCTGAGATTGCTTGTTCGCACCACTGCAGGTGGAGGGGCCTTCAATGCAGGGGGCTCTTTGAGAGCCTCTTTGGAGGGTATTTGGCCTACTCTTTCAGGCTGGCCAGGTGTCTTGGAAGAGGTCAGAGTACCAACAATTTACTGCACCACACACGATCCGCCCGACTGAATGTGTTGTCGCGATTAATTCTGCCGGGTGGACAGAGGCAGTGGGGGGACTTTAAGAAACTTGTTTCAACTGCCACTCCACCAGATCTAATTGAACCGGCGACCTCTGGATTACAAGACCAGTGAGCTAACCATCACACCATGGCAGCTTCACGTATGAAATGTATTGCTTAAACATCCATTGCATATAGGTTAACTATCCATTTGCTATTGATCCAACTGCTGGCCACTCTTTAGCTAAAGAGTTTAGGAGCTCCCAATCGAGTCTGCTGTCAATGCTCCAAATTAAAATCATGCATAACCACACTAGACAATCGGATCGTGTGGATTTAATTACACTCATTGGACTCAAACGGAGAATGTTTCCACAGCATAATACTAAACTTGCAGAGGCCCTCCCACCATTATATAATTCTAGTAGTTTGCAAGCAATTTGCATAATGCCCATGATTAACTTTTCATAAATAGTCAAATGCATTGTTTACTTTCCGTTAGAGGCCGACCGAAATTCGGTTTCGGTGCCGAAAGTTGGAAAATGGCCTCTTTCGGCATTACTTTCGGTTTCGGACAAAAGTCAACTTTTAACTTTTGGCATACTTTCGGTTTCGGCCGAAAGTAAATGTTTTTCTTTCGGTCTAGTTTCGTTTTTGGCCGACACTGATATTGACTTTCGGTCGTCATTCGTAAACCGAAGATCTATTTTTCGAATATAACACTAGTGCTACGTCTATCACTCTGCATATCGGCCGGTCAGTCGGCGGTAGGCAATCCTATGCGATCGACTGCAAACACACAGACACGTCAGCAGCAGCAGCTTGGGAGCGAGGTTACAGCCGCAACCATGGTTTGCTAATGTTTATACGACCGGTCAACAGACGGCAGCCTGTCTGGCTGAAAGCGGAAAAACTGTTGTTTCTTAACTACATCATTCGTTTGTTGGATATAATCACTAAGTAACACCTAAAGATTTTATATTTAGCGACTCTTACTGCAGGCTCTGAATGATTAGTTCTAGATGTCTTTTTAATTAAAGTAGCATTGCATCATGGCATATTTCATAAATCTTGTGTTCGGTAACTTCGGTTATATACCTTTCTGTTTCGGTCTCGGTCGAAAGTGTAGTTCAATTTTCGGTTTCGGCTTCGGTTTCGGCTGAAACCAGAAATTCAGTTTTGGTCGGCCTTCTACTTTCCATACGGGCATTTAAAAATTGAATGAGCTATCGCTTTAAAGCTTACGAAAGCCTTAGACAATACCCCAACAAAGTGGGCAGTTTTAATCCTCATGCACTCCCGTGGTTCTGCAAAATTTGCACAAAGTATTAACTTTACATATTATACCAATTATACCAACCTCGCGCCTCCCTCCCCCGAGTCAACACCAACGTGGGCGCACAGCGAAGGGGCTTTGACTAACTGAGCAGCAGGAATGGGGGATTGGAACAACTGTTTCACCTGCAAGCCCGGCAGCGGTTTGCAGGTGAGGATTTGAGTGGGGGATTACGCGAGCGGAGTTGGGTTTGCCTGTGCGGTGAGTGCCGGCGGTGGATTTGAGTGGGGGATTACGCGAGCGGAGTTGGGTTTGCCTGTGCGGTGAGTGCCGGCGGTGGATTTGAGTGGGGGATTACGGGAGCGGAGTTGGGTTTGCCTGTGCGGTGAGTGCCGGCGGTGGATTTCGCAGGGTCGGGTTCGTTTAAAACGAGAGCATTGCTGGTCCACGTGGAGAGCTCAAGTGGCAGCCTCTGCCTAAAAAAACTCCCACAGCCAACAAGATCAACGGCCGGTCGACTTGTCAGCTGCCAAGACCAATACACATTCTGGTACAATTGGTGATTATATTTCAAATGGAATGCTTTTTTCCAGGAATTGTTTTGGCACCCAGTCACATCCCTCTTTGCATTATTTTGTCTTCGTGATACCGCGGTGGTGTTTGCGGTGATGCTGGAAATATGTGCACAAACAGCGCTCAGGGTCGCCAGATAACATTCAGGACAGCATAGTACAACAATGTAGGATTATTGTCGATAGGCGTACCTTGTAATCTAGTGGTCGTGCCTTATGGCGATAATGCCTAAAAGCATTCCAGAAACTACCGAGTGAGAAATTAAGCTCTGGGCACAAAAGGAAGATCCAACTTTCGCGAGGATTTTTTTCAGACAGGGACCCGGCATCTTCATAGCCCAGCTGATGCCATGTGAGCAGGGAAAATATACATTACAAGACCATATAGGGCAGAAAGGGCAGCTGAACCCCACACTCTAAACTAAAACTAAACTAGTTGTATTTTACCAGGGAAGGCCCACTGAGCTATATAGCTCTCTTTCAGAAGCGATCTGGCCACAATATATCGCTGAATTATTTTGACATGTGGAAATTTATAGTAGCCAAATGCTCTCAATTCTTGTTTCAAAACGTGGAGGAAAAAACCGGAGGACCCAGAGAAAAATCCACGCGACCACGGGGAGAACATGCAAACTCCAATCATACAGGTGTCAGGGTCGGGATCGAACCCACGACCTCCTGTATACCAGGCGAGGGAGATAACATCTCACTCCGTTTACCCAGAAAAACCCTCACTCAGTCTCGAGACTTTAATCGAGAGGGTTCCGCTAAATTCTCGCAGTAAGGAGGTGACGATTGCTGTGTACGTTCCAATTGGGACGTGAAGCAGGAGTGGTGGCAGTGTGGAGGGGGGGGGGGGAATCGGCTGACCTCGGAGGGGTTGAAAGCATGGGCCTCTGTGCGGTAAATTCCGATCGGGATTTCGCCCGTGGATGAGCAGAGCTTCTGATAGAGTCGTCCATACGTACGGATCCACAGGTCCTCTTCATTCACCTTCATCTGCGTCATCGTCACCACCAGGTAACATCATCATCATTGTCATCATCGTTAAATATTACGTATCAAAATCAATGTTATTCTGGTCTGTGTATTCTCTTCTATTTGGGCGATCGCTGTCAAATGCGTACGCCGTGGGTGTAATGGCGAGCACACTGGATTTCTCGGCGCTCACAAATGTAGGCTGAAGTGTATTTTTTTCTGCGGGGTATATTTGTTGAAATTTTATAAATGTGTGTTGTCGTATTCAGATGCAGACAAGCGGGATACGTGGGTGATTGCATCTGGTTCTGATGCGGTGCCTCTGTGGTCATTATAGCAGGCGACGCAAATGCTCCCTGACGGAGCACTGTCGGCACAAAGTGCCATCGCCACATGACCTCCCACGTATGTTCCGGCCTCGTGAAGTTGTTTCAGCCATCTCGCCCGATAATCGCGTGAAATGGAAGGAGACGAGAACACAACGTCAACTTAATGTCACTGTCCCTCGAAAGCCCTTTTTTGGTTGTATGTTTTGTTTAGCCGGCCTGTCCTCTCGTTACGATCGCAGAAGGACAGAGAGACGGCACGGGTCAGCTACAACCTGCATAGCAGCCCCCCGCTCCCCGCATATTTACCAAAAAACTACCGCCGGGACTGTGACGCATTGCGTCCAACAACTGCGGTCAATCCACTGCTGGAACTAAATCCTCAAGCTGCCGCCGTCCCTCGTGATCCTTGGATGGATCAATCCATCCAGCAACTGCAGCTGATTTCATCGCTTCACCCTCCCGATGGATGCGTGCCATTCCTCGGCTGCACACTCCATTTTCATTATTCTTGACCATCGTCACTTTTGGTCATTGACGTGTCCAACCCAAGCCCACTCACGCCGAAGGGTGTCTCCGTGTCTGTGACTCTGTCCCTCTGTCTATGTGTGTCTCAGTGTCTGTGTGTGTCTCCTTGTCTGTGCCTCTGTCTCTGTTGTCTTCGCAACTCTGTTTCTTTGTATCGCTCGGAGAGACACAAGGAGGGACAAAGACCCCCCCCCCCGCCGCTGTCTTTGAACATTTCGATTAACCACAATTCTTTTACAGGTAAGTGGAGTCGTGTGGCAAATTCATTCTAATACCCACGAGTTTTTTGTGGTTATTGGACGACTTTAAGCTTATGTCATTACTCCCATTGTCCACAAAATGTTTTCGTGGATAAGTGAAGTCACGCAGCAAATTTTCAGATAACAACACGGATAACAGGGCACACGATACGGGTCTCCGATATCAAAACTGATGAGACGAGTTCTGTAAATGTACTGTAAAAATGTATATTTCTACCTTCTGTCCGTGCTTTAAAAGCGGTTCTTCCTTTGATATGTCCTCTACAATAAAACCTCTGTTGACATGCTAATTAAGCGCCGCATGGCACAATTCTGTGTTGTACAATATTCGTGCCGAAGGAATCAAGAGCATATTTTATGTTTTATTTGATTACCAATACGCAGCCTGCAAGAAGCTCATATGACCGATAGATGGACAGTGACACACAAACAGTGGCGGCTCCTGCAAAATCTCTCAGGGGGGGCAAATGTCTGGATGATTGATAAGGATAAGGTCCACCCATGCAATGGATAAATTAACAGCTTAAGCATGTAAAGGCAACTTCACTTCTTTAATATTAATGAAAAATAAAGTGACTCTTACAAGACATCTTGTTTGTTTCTATACTCACTATTAAAACAAACCACTCAAGTTTATTTTATTAAAGATTCCACTAGGTGGCGATAAATTATATTGTTGGATGAAACGTGCTTACGTATGATGACGCAAGCACGTATGATGACGTAAGCACGTTAGGGCGAGCCCTCCCGGAAGCCATAGAGAATGCATTGCAGCGCCCCGTTCGAAAAAAAAACATCTTTGAATGTAAGTCTTTGGGGCCACTCGGGGCGATTCTCAGCTGGAGGGAAATCGCCTAAAAAGAGGCGGTACTCCACAGAACGTGACATGACGCTGATTGGACTATATCCAGAGGCACAGTGACGGCTAGCGTGACTCTGTGGTTGAATGACATTGGTGGTGCGTCGCCCAATCGCCCTAATGAAGAAACCGCCCCTGCACACAAAGCTGCGATATTTAAACAATCACTGTAAGCGCGAGGCAATGCTATCCTGTATTGAAGTCAACAAAAAACTGCCACAGTGATTTCTACACAAATTAAATTTGAAAGAGTGAAGATTAAAAAAATCGCAATTTTACAGGAAGAATTTAGCGGCCCCCTGCTCTTAGTAGTTGGGATGGGAGTGCTACTCAGAATCAGAATATTTATTTACACAGGATGGAATCCGATGAACTGTATAGTTCTTTTTCACAGCTGTCCATTAGTTTCACACGTGTCCAGTCGCATAGATCCCGCACTTGCGATTAGCACGGTCGGCTACGTGCGGTGAAAGAGAAGTTCAACATGCACACATTCTGGCATGATGCTGGATGTAATTACCAGCGAAACGTCGAACTCAAATTGTAAATGTTGTGGATTTACTCTCCAACACACCGGTCGGCTGAAGTCGTAACTAATTGGTGCACTCGTTTACGTGACAAACCTTACTGGCTGTGTCGGGCGGTGGAGGTTTAAGACACCCAAAAAAAAGCTTTGTTGTAAATTACGCGCACATAATTCAACGTGCGAGAATGGTCACTCACTGCGCACAGGTAGCCGGACCCTGGCGTAGTGTCCAGACCCAGAAGAAGCCTTGTGATGGGGATCATGTAGTCCTTGACAAACGACTGCAAGGGGAGAGAGCACAGGGAAACGAGGGCGGGTGCGCCAGTCTCCCACGCGCCGTTACTGGACCCGCAAGGCAGGGTATGCTCACGAGAGGTTAATTGTGTAGCTGGTAACAAAGATGTTTGTTTTGAACAAACACGGCCTAAGTCTATAAGATGTATATATTTTAGCTTGGTCCTTATTTGTCAAATTACGTTTCGCGATCGGGAATGTTGATAGTTGGCGAATTATGCACGACCCTGACATTTGTATTAATTACGCATTTCCGTGAAATTATGCTTGAAAGTGAATAAAAAACACGGACGGAAATGCCTTGGTTTAAAATCCTCCTCTTCATGGGGCTGAGGTGGCCAAAAGATGTCAGTGTGTACTGTCACCCCCTGTGTTGGGTTTCTCCGGTAACATTTAATACTTCTTGCATACGCCTGATGATGTTGGTTGTAATCACCGAAACGGCATACTCAGTTGTAAATGTTGTGGGTTTGCTCTCTTACACAATGGTGTGCTGAAGTAGCAACACATTGGCATGTTCCGTTCACGCAACAAACCTTACTAATTAGCTGTCGGGTGAAGGTGGGTTTACGACACGATCAAAACCCAAATAACTTTTTCATGAATTTTTCCAGCTGCTTCAGTTACTCCCACGTGAAGCCAAAAGCTCATCAATAAAATTGGGCAAATATCCTGATGCAGCACAACCCTCTTAAAAAAGTATTTAAACCCTGTGAGGCATTATTTATTTTATGATTACGCTCTTGGCATTTAAAAAAAAAAATCAATAGAGTCCTGCCAGGTTCTCGCAGTAGGGGGTCGATTCATGCTTTGTGTAAATCCCAACTGAGTAATTTGCAGGCAAGTCTTCACATTTAGATTTAAAGCTTTCGTGAATGCAGGGATTCATCTTCTTGGTTATTTCGGTAAAGTCACGTAGAAGCGAAATAATAAAATAATAAAAATAAAACATAATAAAATACAATTCTCACGACGTTTCGGCCACAACGCAAGCAGGAAGGCGGCTTGCGTTGTGACCGAAACGTCGTGAGAATTGTATTTTATTATGTTTTATTTTCATTATTTTATTATTTCCCTTCTACGTGACTTTACCGAAAGAACAAAGAAGGAGTCTTCACATGCGTGCAAATTCGAAGACATAATGGAAGCACGCGGTGGGCTACTCTTGACGTACGATGTCACGTGGTTTTTAACGTCCACTGTGCAAGCAGACGGCCGCGTATTTTACGGCCCATACAGCGGCAGTATTAACCAGGGCGGCCACTGGATTCGGATCCGTGAACCTCTGCAACAAGCAGCGAACGTGTTACCGCTAGGCAAGGGATCGGCAACCAAATAACAAGAAGATACACATTTTTTTTTCGAATTCGGTACAATAAAGATAAATCGTCGATATTTCAAGAGCCACAATGCCACGCGGTGAATACGAGACGCTGTTCCTTTCATAAATAACGTCAATGAAGTCGTCGTTAAGGAGCCTGCCGCATGTGGCTCTGGAGCCGCGGGGGTTTGCCGACCCCTGCGCGAGGCTACACCGCCGTCCTAGACGCTCGTCAGCCGGTGCATGCCCCCTCTGCGGTCTACAACGAGGCTAGATGCGGGGGGATCTTTTTGTGAATGCGTGGAGGCGTACCTGGTAGAGCAGCGTGTCGAGCATGCTGACGCTGAACACTCGCCCGGCGGCAAAGGGCAGTCGGAACATGAAGGCCAAGTTGGAGCCTTTCTCCCGCTCCTCCTGAGCAGCGGAACGCACGGGGCACATTTCAGTTACAAAAACTTCAACAGATGCGAACCATTGCCGGCGTTCACGAGGGCACCTCGCGCAAACTCAACGCGGGTCACCCCCCCTCACCACCTCAAAGAAGCGGGTCACAAAAAACGTTGCGTAGCCGACGTGTTGTAAGCGCGTCTGTTAAATGTACGCGATGTGAAAAAACAAAGACGTGAAATCAAAAGCGCTCCAAAGAGACGGTCGCGCGCTGAGATCAAGCGACGCATCTTTGATCGCGCGCTCTCAAGATGCCCCCAACAGCTCTGCGCACCCCGAGATGCTCGGCGTTCATCTCAAATCGCTGCGTGGTCTGTTTCGCGCAACGTGGAAAATACGCAACACACGTCCAGAGGCAAATTTTCAAAAGGCTTTGTGCTACTCACTGCACTTGTGCTGGCATCGCATTTAGACTTTCAGTTATTGAGATGAGGCGTCAACAAGTCACAACTCTGACTGGGAGCAATCCATATTCTAGCTCCCATTTCAAACAGATCAGAGATGTATTACGTTTTTACACAAAGAGAGAGGAGAGAGAAGGATGATTCTGCTGTAGACAACGCTAGCCGAGGTCTTTTTCAATGATTCAATAATGTCAACGTTGGCCGAGAATTGGGCACGTCTGGAATCAATGCTGCACCCCCCCCCGACCCCGATCGTGGAGGACAAAGCCAACAATCTGTTTAATCCGTTACAATGAACGGCTTTAGCAATGACCAAGTGATCCCATTATCCACTTAACAGATCACATCTCTTCCCCAATCTCTGCTCAAGCCACCCCCCCGCCCCCACCTCAGATCATAGCTCTCGTCTCGATTCAATGTGCCGACGTTAACATCACGCGTTCAGTCATGGCAGCCCCTGAAGCTATGCTCGACGCTGCTAAGCGCGCTATCGCACGATCACCTGGTAGGACAACGGTGGCTAGGAGATGTTAACTACCTCGCCTGGTATGCAGGAGGTCGTGGGCTCAATCCCGTCTATAACGTGGATTTTTCTACCGGGTCCTCCCGTTTTTACCTCCACGTTTAGAAACACGCGTTCAGAGTATTTGGCTGCTGTAAATTTCCACGTGATAAGCCACTTCGTTGAGCTGCCATTTGTGGCCAGGTCGCTTCTGAAAAAGAGCTACATAGCTCAGTGGGCCTTATGATGGCAATAGTTTAAAAAAAATGTTTAAAAACTATTGCCATCATTGAATTGTACTTATTGCTTTGAGTCAAGGAAATAGCGCTATTGTCAGGCATTGATTGGAACTGTCTCCACATTTATGTGTGCATTGGTTTGCTGCCAGTGGCGGCTCCTGCAAAATCTCTCAGGGGGGGCAAATGTCTGGATGATTGATAAGGATAAGGTCCACCCATGCAATGGATAAATTAACAGCTTAAGCATGTAAAGGCAACTTCACTTCTTTAATATTAATGAAAAATAAAGTGACTCTTACAATACATCTTGTTTGTTTCTATACTCACTATTAAAACAAACCACTCAAGTTTATTTTATTAAAGATTCCACTCGGTGGCCACAAATTATATTGTTGGATGAAACGTGCTTACGTATGATGACGTAAGCACGTATGATGACGCAAGCACGTATGATGACGTAAGCACGTTAGGGCGAGCCCTCCCGGAAGCCATAGAGAATGCATTGGAGCGCCCCCCGGTCGAAAAAAAACATCTTTCAATGTAATACTATGGGGCCACTCGGGGCGATTCTCAGCCGGAGTGAAATCGCCCAAAAAGAGGCGGTACTCCACAGAACGTGACATGACGCCGATTGGACTATATCCAGAGGCTGCAGTGACGGCTAGCGTGACTCTGTGGTTCAATGACATTGGTGGTGCGTCGCCCAATCGCCCTAATGAAGAAACCGCCCCTGTTTGCTGCTGATTTGAAGTGTAGCGCTGAGTCAGTGGTAGAAATGTCACACTCATATGGTGGGGACCGGTACATCTCCATAAAGGCAAAGTAGTGAATATGTGTGTCTGTTCAAAATGTTTAGCGTACTTCCCGACATGCAACAAACTTTAAATTTGCCATGTGGGTACTTTCCAGACTGTACACCATGCAACAATTATAAAAATACACTTTTTTTTGGGGGGGGGGGGGGGGGGGGGCTCAATAGTGCGTTGATTTTTTGCACGGCAAGTGAGCTGTGACGTCAAATCTGTCACGTGACCCGCGCATGTGGAAGCGAGTTCGATTCCCGCTCACGGCCACCACCGGTGACGATTCTTTTAACTGGTCCTGGGCCTCCCCTAGGTCGACTCAGCCTCAAACGAGTAACTAGTGTGGTGTGTGAGCATCGCCACTGGGGAGACAAAGGTGGCCGGGCGTGGTGAATCCAAGTCCCGGGCGAAGCCGGGTAGGAAAGCTAGTCTAAAAGAAAGCCACTGCTAATTTTTTTGCATTGGTCATTCTTCCGTAGTAGTAGTAGTTTGCGTGTGGTGGCGCACACTGCCGCCTTTTCCAAGACAACCGGCCAGAGCGGAAGAGTAGGCCAAAATAGCCTCTAGAGCCACCTCTAAGCAGGAGGCCCTTCCACCAGAAGTGCCTTGAGCAGGTAATTCAAGTTCAAGTTCATGTATTAGGTATAGCCCTGTGAGACATTCGGCTCTTGAATCGGGTGCAACCGCAACAAACAAAAAACAAAAACATGAACAAAAAACATCTTAAAGTGAATATGTGACTAAGTGCAAACAGAAAATCCAAGAAAAGACAGCAAAATAATGCAGAAAAAAATGCGGGGGAGCTACAACATTTAACCCTTCCGGGAGGGATCGAAGCGGAGTGTCCCTGCAAAATGAACTTGGCGGCGAGCTTGCCAATCAAAGGGCCACCCAGGCACCTCCTCCCTGTGTTCTCTCCTTGTTCTGGCCACACAAACCCAGCGATGATTGACGATCACTTCAGGAGTGCCGCCGAGCGTAATTTCACACCATTCATTGGGAATAATCTGGATAACGTATTGCCCCTTTCGCTAAATACTCTTCTAAATGCAAATTGCCATTGGTAACAATCGGGAATGTTTCATATGTTCACTGGGGCACGATTGCACGTGATAAAAAACACACACATACAAAGGACGCGCTCTGGACTGGGCGAGAGCGCTATTCGGCAAAAGTTGCGCTTCGCTTTTGAGGTGATGAATTTTATAGCGCGTTGGTGCCTTTCACTGCAAAGGATCATGGTTGGATTGGATGTTTGAATACAAGCAGCACACAGATGCTGTTTCTTCTCAGTGTGCCTCATTATTTAAGTAGGGTCGGTGAAGACGAACAGGGCGTTCTGGACGGACACTCCACGTTCATCACAGATATTCTCAATCGTCAGCCTCTCGTTGCCCCCTTTAAGTTCCCAAATATTCAAGTGTACAATTTGACATCTGCGCGCAATTAATCTATCATCATTGGAACATGCGTCTGAGTTTAAACAAAAAAATGTAACCCCTGACCGTTGGGAGACATATGACTAATTTTCGAAAGCTTCTACTCCCAATAACGATGGAGGTGTGGATGCTGACACACAAAACTGGACGCTTATATGAGTAAAAATTCAGCTCAGAGGTCTAAGTATTACATCATCATTTCGGGGAACATGAAATAAATACTAGTTTGTGGGTTGTCAACAGTGGGTGTCATTCTTGATTTGAAGCTTTCGTGACTGCAGGAATCCATACTCTTTGGTTCTTTCGAAAAAAAGTCACGTAGGTAGAAATAAAATAAAATCAATCACGACGTTTCGATCGCAACACAAGCAGTTGTCCTGCTGTATCGGTTCCGCCTGATGACGGTCGCTTGTGTTGCGATCAAAACGTCGTGATTTATTTGATTTTATTTCTACCTACGTGACTTTACCGAAAGAACCAAAGAGTATAGTGGGTGTCATGTCTGTAGACTGGCCCTGAACGAGTGAAGGATGGGAATTTGTTTACCTTTCTTGCACTTTGCACGCCTATCGTGTTTTGTATTGTTTGTTGTTGTAACGTTCTGACCCACCCCTACCTGAAATCCGTCAAAAATGGCTTATTAAATCATAGGATTCATCCAGTATAAACACATTCCTGCGGAGGGAGCTGGTAGGAACGTTGGTTGCTCGGTCAATGGCCAGGGTCAACGGCAGCGTGGTGTATTCCGTAAATATGGGCGACTGTGAGGGCGGGCACAAGCCGGCGTGAGTAGGTTAAACGTTAAGTTTTATAAAGGCACCACGGGGTGACCAGCCCCTCCCCACTCTCCCCACCCTCCCCTCCCCACCCCAGCCCCTCCCCACCCTCCCCTCCCCACCCAGCTCCTCCCTCCCCACCCAGCCCCTCCCTGCACGACGGACACAATAATCCCCTGTGGGCTGGTGTAACCAGGAGGTTCCTACCAGTAATACATATTCTGATTCTATATATTTAAAGGGTTCTTTGGTCATTAAGTATTATAATACAAGTAAATATTATTATACAAAAGTGCTCCTTTTAACAATAGTTGTCCTATGCAATGTAGGGGTCTCCCACCTTCGGAATGTGGAATTACCACCATTGGCTCAGGGCTGCTGATAGAGATGACCATCATCTCGAAGCTTGTTTGAGCAGGCATACACTTTGCATGTTTGATTGGAGTTAATCGATGTGTATTTATCTCGGTGTTCACTGTGTAAATTAAACTAATGCTGCAATCACATGAGTGTTTGTCATGCTGTACCAATGTAAGTGTTTTCATAGCTGTACATGTGGCCGGTTTCTTCGCTGACTGTCAAAGGTGCTTCAAAATAAACCAACGCGATGATTGACTGAATGCGCGATACGCAGATACTGTAAAATCCACGTCGCACATTCCTTGCCGCAGAAAGGGGCGACTTCAAATGCCAGACACAGTTAAACTATAAGCTAACTAAAAACACTATCAACTAAACTATTAAAACTAAACTTTTTAAAACTATTTTAATTTTACCAGGTAAGGCCCACTGAGCTATATTGCTCGTTTTCAGAAGCTATATGGCCACAACTGATAGCTTAACGAAGTGGCTTATCAAGTAGAGCTTGATAACATTCAAACACTATCAACGTTTGTTTTTAAATGTGGAGGGAAAACCCGGAGGACCCAGAGAAAAACCCATACGGCCACGGGGAGAACATGCAAACTCCAAATATACGGGCGTCAGGGTCGGGATCGAACCCACGACCTCCTGCCTACCAGGTGAGGTAGTTAACATCTCGGCACTGCAGTGCCCTATGGGGGGAGAAGTGGGGGGTGGAGGGGAGAGATGGGGTGGGCGTAGTACCATCTGTATAAAAGTGAACAGCATTCATTACCTTCTCTAGTTTGGAGAGAGCGAGTGAGTAGCAGTCCTTGGCTCGAAACTGCATGAAGCGCATGTTGGCCGGGTGCGTGAGTTCTGTGATGATGCTGAGACTGGAGAACAGCCTGCAGACAATGAATCATATCGCGAGTACGTTTAATAGCGCAGTGCTATCACGAAGGAGCTACGTTTCACAGGCGAGTATAGTTCACATTTGTTCCACATTGGGGAGGGATGTTTTCTTTTTTGCACAATTAGTTGGTGATGCTGCATCGGCGGTGTTGCACAAGCAAAATTTACAAAAAACTCTACACATTCGTCAATAACACTGCGTGACCATAATATGGCCCTTCTTTATAGCACTTGAATTATCCAATTGGGTAGTTTGCATGTAATTTGGTTTTAAATCTGTCAAAATTTGGAACATGACACTAGCAGCACATATGTAAACTAAGAAAACAAAAGTGCTTAATCTTCATATTTTTTTAGTAAAACACTAGTATTGCATACGGTATTCCCTCGTCATCCTCGAGGGATACGTTCTGGAGATGCTCATGAATAACAAATTTTGCGGATAATGATATTGACCTATGAAAATCTATTCGTTTAATGAATTGCCTTAAATAAATACATAAATAAGCTGTTAAATAAGTGAAAACTAACACTTTTCACATCACGTTCTCTCTCATCACTTTATCTCATCACTTTCTTTCTCTCTCTCTCTCGAGATGCAGTCGTGTAGAGTTTCAGATGCGATTCGCGGACAGCCAAAATCGTAGACAGCGAGTTAATAAATAAATAACCACCTTGGCATAGACGCAAATATTTTTCCCTGTCGAATAAGCAGCCTCACTATCCCATCTATTGCACCCTTACCCCCCACATGTAGGTGAATCATGGTGTAGCAGCCCCGTATCCCCCGTCCAGCTCTTCGCTCGGTGAGGAGAAGGCATCAGACAACGCAAGAGCTCCACTTACGCCGAATGCCAAGTAGGAAAATTGCCCGATTCCCAATCAACCACTTTGTCAAAATGTGGTCGCACTCTGCTGCCCCCGAGAAATAGGGCCGCACATTGCTCAAAGACTCAAATTGAATGCTTTTCCCTATCCGCCACGTTGATTATCTGTTTAATGTTTAATGAGTGTTTATCGAAGCAATAATTGCAGCGTTTGTCGTACAACATAATGCTTCCTCGCGACGTCTCGATCGACGAGTAGGATTGACATTACCGTCTGGGTCATTTGCCGAACCCTGGTGACTCAGTGACAGAGTTCGCGGCTTGCAAGCCAAAGGAATAGATTCGAATCCAGTTGGGGGGGGGGGGGTTGACTCAGCCCATCATCTCTCTGCAGTTGATAAAATGAGTACCACCTTGTGGGAATGTCAACAGCAGTTGTCCTATGGATAGACTGGCCACTGCTATAGGAATGTGCAATTCCCACCAGTGGATCAGAGGGCTGTAAACGAGAGATGTTCTTTCGAGCAGGAAAGCTTTTTTATTATTTTTTATGTTTTACTATGTGTAGAAGTGTCGTGTCGTCTTCCTGGCAGTGCCAAACATGAATAAATCAAGTTGCAGTTGTGTCTAAACCTGACGCACACTGCGCCGGACAAAGTAACAATTCAATTTGGATAAAGGACAGCTGCCAAAACAAGTGAGAGAAACACATTCGGGATTCGATTGAAAGAGCAGGGGGGGGGAAGAACGCGCAAACTTCAAGTACACATCGGCATCGTCAGGGTCGCGATCGAACCCGTGACCTCCTGCGAGGGAGCCAGGGTACTCGCCAGCGCGTCGGCGCCCCACCTGAACATTGTCTGCACGTTGACGATGGTCTTGGCGTCTGCCATGTAGTCCTCCTCGGCGCTCATGGTGCTCTCCTTGTCCACCACCACCACGTTGTCCGCGTAGATGATGCCGCACTGCAGCAGGTTGTCCAGGCTGATGGCGAGAGCAGCGGAAGAGGACGGCGGAGAGTGCAATCGGCAACGCGAATTGCCCGGTGATGATGGATGCAATTACCAGCGAAACGTCGTACTCAAATTGTAAATGTTGTGGTTTCACTCTTCAACACACCGGTGGGCTAAAGCAGTGAACTATTTGTCTTTTGTCAACGTGACACTTTTTTTACTGATTGGCCGTGTCGGGTGGTGGAGGGTTACGACACATTTATAAATAACGCGATCTAAACCCAAAAACGTTGATTATGAGCGACGCGTTGTGCAAAGCAAATGGATCATCGTCGTCGTCGAAGTCAGAGGCATCGTTAAATTGTCATCGACGACGTCATCGCTGTCGGCACTGTCGGTGTCATCATCAGCACCGTCATTATTCTCGTCGTCATCAGCATTGTTACAATTTTTATCGGCATAATTGTCGTTTTCGCCGTCATTGTCACTCGGTATCTTCGGTGTAATTAGCATCAGCATCGTCATCAGTCGTATCATCATCATTCTCCATCTTCTTCCTGACCATTGAGCAAGTAACGTGCAGCATGGCTGTATGTTTAGATGCAATCTTAAAACAGTGTCATTGCAATGCACAGGGGGTTCAATTACCCCTGCAAATCATCACATAATCAACCGGTGCACATGCAGTTGCATAGGTAATGAAAACAGCGATGAGTCTACAGTACGGTGTTTGAGATTTAAAGGGCTGAGATTCCTTGGCAAGTCGATTTCTCGGCTGCCCATGTTTCATGTTATTAATTTCCGCGAAGCAGCGCACCAACGCATGCGACTGTCTGCAGGTTAACAGCTCACAAAGGAGATAATATGCACCGAGAAGTGGCGACTTGGGAGTGGAGGTTTACAAGCAATGCATCGTGCCAATTTTTTTTTATTACGGAAAACTAAAAATATTTATATCATCACGATTGCTGATCAAAGGCCCGAAGATCGAAAACACCAAGACGCCAGTTACAGACAGCACTATTGTAGGTGTATTAGATCAAGCATTATATTGGTAGGAACCTCCTGCTTACACCAGCCCACAGGGGATTATTGTGTCCGTACGTCCGTCGTGAAGGGAGGGGCTGGGTGGAGAGGGTGGGGAGGGGCTGGGTGGGGAGGGTGGGGCTGGGTGGGGGGTGGGAGGGGTGGGGCTGGGTGGGGAGGGGCTGGTCACCCCATGGTGCCCTTATAAAACTCAACGTTTAACCTACTCACGGCCGGCTTGTGCCCGTCCTCACAGTCGGGCATATTTGCGGAATACACCACGCCGCCGTTGACCCTGGCCATTGACCGAGCAACCCAACGTTCCTACCAGCTCCCTCCGCAGGAATGTGTTACGGTTCTTGAATTGAGTACAATGAACTCATCGCAATGAACTCACTGCGCTCTTATATTAACGTAGATAGGAACCTATCTATGTGACTTTACCGAAAGACCCACGAATATGAATTCCTGCAGTCACGAAAGCTTTAAGTCAACATTTTACTGCACTCTGACTGATGAGGGCACAGAGGGCATTCATTGGGGGGTTACAGATTAAATGTGCCTTACAATTGTAAATTATTATTGCCACGCGCGCCTAGAGAGCTTTGAATTGTAAATGCAATAAAATGCCAAGTCTCCTGTGCATGAGATAACGACCTTGATTCTGCACTTCTGTAAACAGAGCCTGATGATTGAGTGTTGAAGTGCACGTCCCTGACACCAAGCTGAAGTTTCACGTGGTTGGCGGTAAGGTAATCCAAGGATTTAAGAGAACAGCATCTTCAGATGCGGAGCTTCTGTAAAATTATATTATGGGATTATGTTTGGCAGTATATAACTGCTCGACTAGAGCTATGAATGCTTTGACATTCGCTTTGTCTTCGTGCTGTTGGCCCATTGGCAATCTGCCATCTCCCGTTGTTGGTGTTAGGCCAATACATTTAAAGGACAATGCATGATGATGATTGCTTGTGTTGCAGTCGAAACGTTGTGAGAATTTTATTGTTTAATTTTTTTTCTTATTTTATTGTTTCCCTTCTACGTGACTTTACCGAAAGAACCAAAATATGAATCACTGCAGTCACGAAAGCTTTAAATCGAAAAATGCATACATTATTATCAAAGCATTTTCATTTGCACGTTTTACCACAAGTATGTGTGGCTAATGCAGACTTTATGTCACGATGATAAGTGTCACTTTGGTGTTTGAAAATCTTAGCACCTCCCCAAATTCTTGACGGGAAGGGTAAAGCCTACTGCTGTAACATATTACATTTGCAACCTGTGCAGCTGAAGAACAATGCATTTGAACAACTAGTGCTGTGCACCACCAGGTTGCTTGTGAGCTCGACTCCGCTGTGATTTTCACGAGTGTCGCCTGGACCATCCCGTTCCTCTTCTTGACACCGCGCAAATGTATTTGACACCGGATAAGCATGCACTCTATTTGTTGGAGATTTCAAACATGTTTGTATACGTGTCATGTATTTGTTTTTCTTTTACCAGGTAAGGCCCACTGAGCTATATACAATTGCCCCTTTTCAGAAGTGATCTGGCCACAAATGATAGCTCAACAAAAGTGGCTTATCATGTGGAAATGTATTGGAGCCAAATACTCTAAATACATGTTTCTAAATGTGGAGGGACAAAACCAGAGGACTCGGAAAAAAAACAATCCATACGACCATGGGGAGAACATGAAAACTCCAAATATACAGGTGTCAGGGTTGGAATCAAACCCAAGACCTCCTGTATGCCAGGGAAAGTGGTGTGCTTGCTATGTACATATTACTTGACACTGGATATCCTTGAAAATTAAATGTTCCATCCCAACAGATTATGCAGGTAAATTATTTGAATAATTTTTTTCGATCCACATTTTATTCCTCACAAAAGCTCTTGGCCTCACAATTCCATTCCATCCGAGTCATAAGGTCCGTGTTTTGCAGAACCCCAAGTCACTCCGGCAAGTTACGTGCACATTAAGGCAAATTTGATTAAGATTCTGCCATATAATGCAATCAACAATGCACAGACGAATATTTCTGGAGATTTGAAGCTTGCGCTGGCTAACTTGCATGCCTAAACTGTGTAACAAATCCTGCCAGAGGGTGGCATGATTACACAAAGGCCCTTTTGAGTTGCAAACGTCAGCTGCCTGCTGGCATCATAAAAGGCGCATCACCTGGTGCTGTTGTGAGAGAAGTTCAATGTATTGGCAGTTGTATCGATAGTGCTTTCTCGGTCTCGTTAATCAGCGGTGCCGTGAAAAAAAAAACGTTTCCCACGTGAAATTAATGAAGGGGCAGCGCTCGCAATTATCTCCGTCGGTGGCTACGAGCCACTAACAGTGGGACAAATTCCACGTTCCAAAGTTGGGGGCCAGTCCATTCGTAAGGCGATCGACAAAATGGTTTCTGACTAATCACAAAGTGTTACTCATTTTGACTGACCTGGAGGGATGCTCGGCTGATATATATGCACACAATATTGATTGTGATTTCATCATTGTAATCGGATTACTAATAATAGTGATTGGAATTTAAAGCCATTTTAAATCCACTGCTGGTTGAAGGCGTGGAGGACCATAGCTTTGAATGCTGGCTTATGTGAGTTGATCAGGGCCAATGATGGCAGCCAGGGTTGGGATTCGAACCCAGGTCATCGGGTTCATAGATAGTGTGTACATCACTCCACACAGCAGTGTGCATAAACATACAAAACAAAGATCCTCTGCAAGCCTTTCACAGACTCTTGAGGTAAGTGCTGTTAGTGAGAACCTAATTAAGGCCAGCATGGTACACGAGGGGGGTGGGTGGGTAGCACTACGCCCAGCCGCCTTTGTCTCCCTCGTGGCGATGTTTACACATCGCACCAGGTACCATTTGAGGCCGAGTCGACCTGGTTCCAGTAATCGTCACTGGTGTTGGCCGCGAGCAGGAATTAAAACCCGGGTCGCCGGGTTTGTAGCGCAGCGCACTAATCACTGTGCCCCCACTTGTACATACTTATACCCGTAAAAAAATACACATGCGTTTTGCTGCCCAGATTAATGAGCATTAAACTTACTTAAACTACGTTAATCTCCAAGTAGGTGCCTGCACGCATATGCATTTCGATTTAAAGCTTTCGTGACTGCAGGGATTCATCTTCTTGGTTGCTTGCATTGTAGCCGAAACGTCGTGAGATTTATTTTATATTGTTTTATTTTTATTATTTTATTATTTCCCTTCTACGTGACTTTACCGAAAGAACCAAGAAGAGGCATATGCATTTGTTAACAGCTACCGACGAAGCCAAACGTGGTTAATCTAAATTCCGACCGCCTCCGACAAGACTCGATCCCGCCGTGAATACAAATGTCGAGTGGTCAATGAGGCATGTGCTTCGTGTGTCCACACAGGTCCAGTCTGATTCACCTGAGCACACCACGGAGGTGTGAATAACGCGGGGCAAAGTGTCACGCAGGCGCTGTGGAATATTAAGCCTGCGAGGCTGCAGGTACCAATTCCCCGCCTTCCCTCGCTTGTTTGGCCGGGCGGTTACGTGGTGAGAGCACTCAACTCAGAATTGGAAGGTAAAATCACAGCCCTGCAATGTCTTGCTCGTGCGACCACTAGCAGAAGGGCTTCCACTGAGCTGGAAATGCAGAGATCCTGGGTTCAAAATCCAGGCAGCTGGCTGTGATTCAACTGGGTTTTGTCGTACAGAACAGCGGTTCTTAACCTGGGGTGCACGCACCCCCTGGGGGTGCGAGAGGTGGGCAGATTTTGTTCGAAGGTAAATCATCGAAACACAAATTAAGCACAGGCACGTAACTACAACTACTTTGTTTCAGTGGGGTGGGGGGGGGCACGTGCCCCCCCCCCAATGAACCGATCGAAATCCCTAATTGCGATCTCTAATTTCGATCAGATAATTGGGGTTCGTTAGTAATAAATCGGCATTTTGCGACTCCCACTGCCACTGTGTAGCATATTATCACGTGCCAGGGACTCTATGAGATGATAGGACAATAGTCTGAGTCCATAATTGGCAATACGTAACGGCAAAGCAGTTATAGGTGACTCACAGAATTGTGCGCAGTTGCGTATATGGTACACGACTTCCCTGAAGGCATTCACCTTCAGCGAGCGCGATGCCGATCACACAACGCGGTTCGAATTCGACCCTCGATCGACGGCTGCGCCATCGCCGCACACGCGTCGAATAAAAATTAAGGGACAAGTCCTTACTCACTAACAACTCCTCTATCATTTTTCACTGCTGGAGGGGTTGTCCCCCTACCTGAGAATCCTGGCTCCACCATTGCATGTATTTATTAACATTATAAAAAAAATTAGAACCAAAGGGGTGCATGGCTGCAATAAAGGTTAAGAACCACTGTTACAGAGAGTGGATGGTCTCAGCCCAGTTACCAATGCCTGCACAAAACAAACCCCGTCGCGTTAACTTCGATACTGCACCTAATTTGACTTTCGTTTCGTTTAATTTGTGCCAAAGAGTGTGTGAGAACTTACTTGTCGATGGATCCGACCATGTAGTACACCATGGGAAAACAGCAAATAGCCTCCAGAAAGTGGCAGTCAGGTCTGTGGACGGCAACACAAGTAGGAGCAAGTTTACGCTTGGTGGCACAGCAAAACAAATACACAAGACGCAGGCAACAGGCTGCCTAGAACCACGTAAACCAGAATTTGCTCGATCTTGTCAGATGTACGCACGTACGCCGCACGTTGTGTTGCACCGTACGTAGCCAACCGTGCCAATCGGATATTGAAAGCTAAGCAGGTTTGAGCCCGGATAGTACTTGGATGGGTGACCACCACGCATGCCAGGTTGCCATAGGCTGCAGGGTTATGTGATGGGCAACACAGGGCAGTGCTAAGCGACCACGGGGAGAACATGCAAATTCCAAATGTATGGGCGTCAGGGTCGGGATCGAACCCACGACCTCCTGCCTACCAGGCGAGGTAGTTAACATCTCGGCACTTCAGTGCCCTATGGGGGGAGAGAGGGGCGGGTCTGAGGGGAGGGATGGGAAGGGGGTAGTACCATCTGTATAAAAGTGAACAGCATTCATTACCTTCTCCTGTATACCAGGCTCTATATAAGAACGGGAGACACAGCAGAGCCTCACCATTCTGTCGAATTGCCCGATGATGCTGGATGCAATTACCAGCGAAACGTCGTACTCAAATTGTAAATGTTGTGGCTTCAACACACCGGTGGGCTAAAGCAGTGAACTATTTGTCTTTTGTCAACGTGACACTTTTTTACTGATTGGCCGTGTCGGGTGGTGGAGGGTTACGACACATTTATAAATAACGCGATCTAAACCCAAAAACGTTGATTATGAATACCAAGCGAGGTAGTAAACATCTCGCCACCGTCTCCTTTGTTTCCGAGCTGTTGCGAGATCGGGTGAATTTGGTGCTATTTGCTAACAGTCAGGCTGACTCTTGTTTTGATGATATGCGTGAAATAGGTACAACTGCACCGTTGCCCATAATCCACCGTGCTCACAGTCATTTACGCTGCGCATCAGAACACGTGGCAGGCAGTGCTCTGGGCGGGGGAGTTGGGTGGGAGCCAAGGCGTATGACCGACGCAATGACTCTAGACTCGCTGTGAAAGGAAATGCACTGACAATTTAACTGACTATTGCCAACGCGGAGCATCTGTCTCTCTCTTTCTATCTCTCGAGTCGGAACATTGCGAATACAAAACTTCGCCTAACTCACGCGTGGCTGGAACATATTCTACCGACGTGTTTTTGTTTGTTTTAATTCAGCAGAGGTCAGAGGCACCCTAGGGCTGAGCACTGCAATTAAAATTGTTATTGTTTAAAGGGCGTCACGGTGTACCACCTCAAAGTTGTTTTCTCAGCAAGTAACACCACTAATTACCACACAATGCCAATGACAAAACTTCCGGTTGTTTTAAAGAGCACGTCGCTTTGACGGTTGTGCTGTATATCCCTCCCGTGCGTTTTCGGTTTGTACCGCATGTTGCTTTGAATGATGTCCAACTGAATTATGATTTTTTCAGTCCGAATTATTGTCAAACACAATCGTGGCGGAGGGAGCTGGTTGGAACGTTGGGTTGCTCGGTCAATGGCCAGGGTCAACGGCGGCGTGGTGTATTCCACAAATATGACCGACTGTGAGGGCGGGTACAAGCCGGCGTGAGTAGGTTAAACGTTGAGTTTTATAAGGGCACCACGGGGTGACCAGCCCCTCCCCACCCAGCCCCACCCCTCCCACCCCCCACCCAGCCCCACCCTCCCCACCCAGCCCCTCCCCACGTAGCCCCTCACCACCCAGCCCCTCCCTCCCCACCCAGCTCCTCCCTGCACGACGGAAACAATAATCCCCTGTGGGCTGATTTAACCAGGAGGTTCCTACCAGTTTTATTTGTGAGGCAAAGTGGCCTTGCGGTAGCACATTTGCCACTTGCTGCAGAGGTCCACGGTTTCAAGCCAGCGGCCGCCCTGATTCACGCCACGGGTGTATGAACTGTAATAATCTGCGCTGTCTGCTTCGCAGTGGACGCTGAATGACCATGCGGCGTCATTCGCAAGAGTGGGCCACGGTGTCCCGGCATCATGGTCAAAATTTGATCTGTTAGAAACTCACCTGCACATTTCTCAATTTGGAATCTACATGACCATCATCCAGACCCTCTTGAAAGAGCCATGAGACTCAGTGAGGCTTTTCCCGGGTGAACAAAACGCTGAAGTAAAATCATTATTTAATTTCGATTTAAAGCTTTCGTGACTGCAGGGATTCATCTTCTTGGTTCTTTCGGTAAAGTCACGTAGAAGGGAAGTAATAAAATAATAAAAATAAAACAAAATAAAATAATTCTCACGACGTTTCGGCCACAACGGCTGCTTGCGTTGTGGCCGAAACGTCATGAGAATTATTTTATTTTGTTTTATTTTTATTATTGTATTACTTCCCTTCTACGTGACTTTACCGAAAGAACCAAGAAGTAAAATCATAGTTCATGAACATCTTGGCCGGCACATGGAGCGAAGTGTCGGACACCACGCGGAATAACAAGTGGAACAAACCCATTCACACATCGGAGAGGCATTCATTGGTTTGTAAATTGGCGATTGCCACTTTGAATACGTTACCGATCAGCATGGGATTCCAATTTACTCAGCAGCAGCAGCAAATCATTCACTTGCATGTTTTGTTTTACTTGCTTAATTGTCAACGTTAAAAGCTTTCCGAATGAGAAAAACATAAAATGTGGAGAAAATAACTTTCCCGGCGAAATTTAATTTCTTCAAAGTTGTTGCTGATTGATATGTAGCTGGAGGTTTGACAAAGGCTGAACGACAAAACTGCTGTTTGTCAAACTCACTAACATTGTCTGACTCACTAAAATGCCGTGCACAATTGCATGACAACTTCAGCCTTTAAATTAAATCCACATCGACCGTATCATATTTCGGAGTAAACCTGTACTGTACAGTACTTGTATTATTTGTCGTCATCATCATCATTAGCCATGATCCATCCACTGCTGGATGAAGGCTTCCCAAACCGTGCCCCATCTCTCATGGTGCTGAGATAGACTAATCCACCTAGGATCTGCACGTGTTATTTTTTGGCTGCCACTCCGTACTTATTCTTGGACATCCGCCATCATCCATTCTCACCAAGCTTTCTAGCCAAGCCCCACTGACATTTCCTCACATATTGAATGATGTCATTAACCGGCGTACATTCTCGAATCCATGTGTGCCTCCTCCTGCCTCTCAGCGTAATTCCAAACGTGTATCACTCCACATTTGTTTTCTTCAACACGATTTTCACTTTTTGTTTCATTTTGTCTGTTAAATGACACTGTTTCTAAACCATGAGCGAGTAATGAGCACCAATTGTAAAACAGGCATGTTGTCCACGATCCCACCGTGCATGTGCCCGGCACGCCCTTACGGGTTGTCGAGCAGCAGCACGATGGGATTGAGCTCCCTGTGGGGTCGGTAGTAGGCCCGCAGTGGCACGATGAACGTGTAGAGGCCGTTGCCCGCCGTCTCCGCCGACACAATGATCAGCTTGTTCTTGAAGCTGTAGGCCTTGGCATCCTCGTAGCTGTAGTGTTCGCAGCCCTGCCGGGAAGAGAGACACGGCAAACGGCCGTGAAGATTTTCAGAAGCGACCTGGCCACAAATGATAGCTCGACAAAGGGGCTCATCATCACGTGGACATTTATAGCAGCCAAATACTCTAAATGTAGAGGGAAAAAGCGGAGTTCCCGGACAAAAAATCCACGCGACCACGAAGAGAACATGCAAACTCTAAATATACAGGCGTCAGGGTCGTGATCAAACCGACGACCCTCTGTAAACTAGGCGAGATAGTTAACATCTCTCACGGTAGCACCCCACTGTTTTGCATGCACGATAGCTTTATCTTAATTTGAATCGGTGCTCTCCATCTCATGTGGGTCACACACACCTACGCACACAAAGATATCTATCTTAATTTAAAACTGCGCCCCTGACATCATGTAAGATGTGTGTAGCAATTATCGGGCTTGTGCAAGCTTTTAACAACACCCATTTATGTTTGAATAGAGGAGATAGGTAAATGTGGAACGGTGTAAAGTGGTAGTTCGCGAGATCCGGAGTTTTGAAATATCTTTGTATGAAAAAAACAAGAATATGTTTTACCTTTTCTGGCAATAAAGCAGGTGTTGAGATGTTCAAAAACCAAATAGAAGCTTTTTGCAAGGAATCGAGTTTGCAATAACCACACGTACATGTGGTGTTGCGTGCAAACAAACATGCTATGTTTAACACGTAGGCTTTCGCGACCAATATTATTCATAATAAAGGTTTTTGGGTCAGATCGCGTTATTTATAAATGTGTCGTAACCCTCCACCACCCGACACGGCCAGTCTTACAAGTGTAAGATCAGACAATGCATATATTATTAGAGCATGTTGTTTGCATGTTCACCACAAGTACGTGTGGTTAATGCAGACATGATTCCTTGTAAAAGGTTTCAGTTTGGTGTTTTAACATCGTAACACCTGTTTTGTTGCCAGAAAAAAAGGGGAAAACCTATTCTCAGACAAAAATTATGTAACTAAAGAAAAACTGGTTCATTTATTAATTTTGACAATTGGTGTCAATGATGCTAAATATAATGCTACTGTCTGTGATCTTGCATGCTGATGCTGCTTGCTTGATATGTTGATGCACACACTCATGTTGTAAATGTACAACAATAGAGCATTATGAAGCATTAAACTAATTATTATTTTTTGCCCGTACTGAAACGTCTGTACGCCGTATGGACCTGAAAACTCAATTTCCCTGCACAAGAATACGGAGTAAACCTCATGGGTTGACAGCTATGCAAAAGGTTGAGAGTTAAAATCCTAGTCGGGCGTTGACTCAAGGCCATTCATTATTCCTTTAATGGGGAAATAATACATTTACCACTTTGTGGAAAATTAACAATGGTTGTGCTATGGAAATAATTATCCCTGCCATAGGAATGTGGAATCTTTACTGCTGGCGCAGGGCTGCTCCACCCAAGGCTTAATTGAGAAGTGAGACATTTCTATTTTGTATTTTCCTTTGGAAATGTGGATTTTACACCATGTGTGTTGAGGCAATATTTTGTTTCTGTTTTTCAGTTTTGACTTAACCCTTATCCTCACGAATACACTTTCAGCACTGTGGCGTGTTGCAAACATGAGTTTGTGGGCTATGAATTCTGCATGCTTGCATACACTCCAGAGGTCGCAATCGGGTACCCGATACCCGTACCCTACCCGATACCCGGCTACCCGTACCCGGCCGGGTATCAGGTAGGGTACGGTAACCCGGGTAACCCGTACCCTACCCCCGGCCGGGTACGGGTACCCGTTTGCGACCCTGGTGCGGCCGGGTACGGGTACGGGTAAGGAATCAAAACCCGTTTGCGACCTCTGATACACACTGACCTTATCCAACCGAAGGCAACAGAACGGAGCCCTCTTCCTCAGCAGATGGCACAGCGTGGGAGAGCTGCCAATGTACGGGGAGTTGGGTGGGTAACCTTTTACCCGGCTATGACAATAACAGTCCGCAAACACACGCACCGCACACAAAGATGATCAAACACAGATCACCCATATCGCCGCCGTCACGGACTGTTGGGGCAAGTGCTGTTAGCGAGTAGCCGGCATGGCACACGAAGGTGTGGGTGGCCAGCACCACTCCCCGACTGGGTTTGTTTCCCTTGTGGCGATGTTTACATACCGCACCACGTGGTACTAACTCGAGGCTGAGTTGACTCAAGTGAGCCCCAGGACCGGCTCAGATAATGAATTATCACTGGTGTTGGCCATGAGCGGGAAATCAAACTCGAGTCGCCGGGTTCGTAGCGCAGCGCACTTACCACTGCGCCACCACTCCCCAGACACGAATCATCATCATTGTGATCATCAGTCATGATCCATTCACTTCTGGATCAAGGCCTCCCCATGCCATGTCAGTCACGTTTTTTAACCATACTTCACCATGCTGGTCAGTGCGGGTCGATAAAAGGGAGGAGTGCCCCCAGGATCAGGTCACATTATTCACTGTTGTTGCTAGACACGGACGGGAATTGACCTTAGGTGGCATAGTTGATAGCACAGTAAGTTCAACACCGCACCACCACAAGTCATACATTATCATTTTTGTAATTTTTGAGAGAGAAAAAATCATTAGTAATTGATTTTAACCCACACACAATTCAATACTTGCACCCTCAGCATACAAATCAATGTTGATGGATGAACTTATCCAACCTGGTACACACCTACAGCTAGCCAAATGTGGCCCAAAAAAAACCCATCGTATTATATTTATTCTTAGTCCCTTGGCCTTTCGAACCATTGAGGCATGCCCGTCTCTTGATTTGAATCTCCATGCAGTGTCTCTCCACTTCTCTCTGTCCATCTTTCAACTGAGCTAGCGTCTATCCCGTCCAGCATTTGATGTTTTGTCGTCAGACAGATCGAGGACCTCCACTGCCCGCTTGGACCTTCCGACGTTCGCTCCATCACCATCCTTTGAAGATGGGTCACCGTTCATCCTGGTTACATGTCCAATATACTACTGCCGTTTCCGGTAATTGATCTGCCGTAAGTAGCATCATCATGGCAACAAAAAAAAGGGGAAAACCTATTTTCATATTTTGGTACTGGCAAAGGAGGTCCAATGATGTAGCTGCTCACCCTAAAGCTCTCATTACTCTGATAGTGCATTGTCTTTGTGCTGTATGCCTTTTGGCGTCCTCTGGTCTAACACCGTTTTGAGACTAGGCTCAAAAGAAAGTTGTCTCTGGTGTGGACCAATCAGTTTCAAAGACAATGCATATATTATCAGAGTATGTTTTTTGGTTTGCATTCTGACCACAAGTATTGTGGTTAATGCAGACATGATTCCTTGTGAAAGGTTTTAGTTTGGTGTTTTAACATCTCAACACCTGTTTTATTGCCAGAAAAAAGGGGAAAACCTATTCTCATAAGTAGAATAATGTCTATGCCTTGATGCTTAATGTTACATTTTTTTTTATAAATCAGGTACAGCTATGCTCTGAGTTGTGAATTGAATACACGCACTGCTGACCCACCCATACTGGACAACTCATAGGGTTACTCCTCCAGCCTAAATAAAGCTTCTGATTCTGATGCTATTGGATGATTGACAGGCGAGTGAATCACTCTTTAGTAGGCAGGAAGGAGCACCGTCTGTTATTGGACAAACAGAACAAAAGGTGATCATGCGCTGGCGCACAAGCAACGCACACATTCCTCGATGATACTGCCCGACAAGAGGAAACAATACGTAATTAGAAAAAAGGTGACATTTCAGTCCATGGCTCTTTGATAGCAAACAGGCGAAGAAGTGCCATTACTCAAAATGTCACCTGTTACATAATCTTACTTTTTAGGGCACGGCTATTGATCCATGTGTTCAGTTCACATTCATCACAGGATGGCTGTTATGTGTGCACCTTCATGCCTTTGGCACATAATCATTCGTGAATACCAGCAATTGCATTTTTTGGTTGCTTAATTTTTAGTTCAATAAAAACTTCATGAATGTGGCTCTGATTTCACCATGCTTTGGGGCACGGTCTGGTTCATTTGAGTTATCGGCGTTTACATTGTGAAATGAAAACATCCATATTTATACCATCTTGCCGCTGCCGCAGTGTGCATTAAATATTGACGACATAGTAAAATATGATCTAAAACCACACACATGAATATATTATAACAACAGTGATGGAAAGGGTGACCAGGCTCGCTGACCATCAGGACAACCACTGTTTTAACATGAGCCAGGTCCAACACCGTCTGCGAGGCTCTGTCAAACCCAAACCCTGGTGGCACCAGACGACAAAAGCTTCGGCAAAGAGTTCTGACAACTGACACCTGGACCAGTGGCAGAGAGTGAAGCGTTAACTCGCAAGGCTACTGGACCACACAAACCCAGCTCTCACAATCATTCGTATTCAGACAATTAAAACACTGAAGTGATTGATTAGCCGATGAGTCGGGTAACATTTATTAATCAGTGCCCATATCTGAATGAGAGGGTTCTTGCCTATAACAGTCTGCCAATTCGCCAGCGTTGATTCAAGAAAAGCCTGCTGATAAAACACTAAATGTCGACACCAGTCCAGAGTTGGCTTGTACTGAATCAACGCTTCTGAAAGTAAGCATTCCCAGAATGCAGTGAGGCCAATGAGTTATGTAAGAAACACTTTTATTTCGCTACGTGGAGGGACGGACATAAGTAGAAGACATCGTCTATGTTTGTGTTTAGTTTGTTGTCCTTTCCCCGCACTGCCGATTAGCAGGGTTGGCTACGTACGATGTGAAAGAAGTCCAACATACATTACATACGTGTATGATATTCCTAATTATGTTCTTCTTTGTGTTGGGGTTAGTGCTCCAAACCATGGGAGCATCATCAGGCTACTGTTTTTCTACGTACATATAATTGTCATTATAATTCAGTCGTGCTTTAGGCAATCATGCAATGTGTGTGGAGGGGGGGGGGGGCGTCGCAAAAAAATTGAATGCATGAATAAATAGTTAAATTAAACGTTGTGGGTTGTTGTTTGTTTATGTGCCACTGTCAGCTCAGACCGTCAACTTTATATCGACCTTAGATTACACGGTTAGGTTTGTTCTGGGAAAGACAAAGGTGCAGCCCTGCAATTTCTTGCACATGGCACTGCTGGCGCTCGGGCCTTCACTTCGTCAACTAAATTGGAGCTCTTTTTAAGACAAGAGACGGCAGAAACAATGCGCAACGATGACGCTCTAAAACCAACATTGTTCATGAGGACAACAAAAATGTTTCGCGAAGCCTTCCACATTAACGTCCGTGGCTTACTCAAAGTTGACGGTGCCTTCCTCGTCCGACTGGTTCGCTTCATCCTCCGAGGGGTCGTTGAAGGGGTCAGAGGGCTCGGCCTCCAGCACAGGGTCAGCGACCTCCAGCACGGGGGCAATGCTGGGCCGTCTGCCGGTGCCCGATCGCTCCGCGGGCAGCGAGAGGCTCCTGCCCGCCCCCGCCTCGCTCGCCGGGGCGGCTGTAACGTGCACGTCGGCCGGAGGGGCCGCCTGGCTGGGCTCCGTGCCGTGCAAGTCCATCGCCACCGAGCCTGCGGTGCGTAGAGGGGCGGGCATGGTGGTGGTGGCTCAGTTCGGGGAGGGTGGGGGGGGGCGTGCGGTTGAGACGTTGGGTGCGCCTGGTAAAAAGTGCCACCCACGTAAACCCTCCCGCTATTGTGCCGGTGGGAAAAGATGAATTGTTGGAGCACAACCGTGATATCAATAGTATTACAAATTTCAGTTTTTACCCTTTTTTTATTTATTCCCACTGTATTCTGGGTTCTTTGATGACAAAAAAAAAACGCTTCTGAAAAAAAATCAATTTCGGCGGCACGTGGCAAGCCATCAAAAGGAGGCGCGATGAGTGGGACACTTGTATCGGCAGGAGAATGCCAACGGAGACGTTACCCAGGGAGGCGAGGATGCTCTGCACGGGAATGCGAGCGCCTCTGGTAGCCGATCCGTTGGAGAGGCCTTTCTTCTGCTGCTCGTGCTGCTTGAAGATGAAGGCCGAGTTCTCCTCCTTGGTGATGTTGATGTAGAAGCACGTGTCGGAGGTGGCCATGATGTGCCGGGGGCCCGGGTTCAGCAGCATGCTTCGCTTGTCCTCTTGTCGCACGCCAATCAGGCACACGCCGTACCTGTGAAAAGCAAGCGGAGCATTTGTTTTACCATGTAAGGCCCACTGAGCGATATAACTCAGAAGCGACCTGGCTATCACATATGATTATTCGACGAAATGGCTTATCGCGTGGACATTTATAGCAGCCAAATACTCTTAAACGAATGTTTTTAAATGTGGAGAAGAAAACTGGAGGACCCGGAGAAAAATCCACCCAACCACGGGGAGAGAGAAATGCAAACTCCAATTATTTAAGCATCAGGGTTGGGATTGAATCCACGACCTCCTGCATACCAGGCAAGGTAGTTAACATCTCGCCACCGTGGTGCCAATATGGCTAGCCACTACGACTCGCAAGAGTACGGTTAGAGTGTATTTTATTTACAGCCAGGTGAAACGCAATAAAAACACAACGGGCATATGAACATCGTAAAAAATGATATTATCAACAATATGTGGAGCGGGCCCATCCCGTCTCTCTCCCACTGCGATCGTAATGAGAGAACGGGCCAGGACAGGCAAGACAGATGTTATTCTACGTTGTGTATGTCTCCCCTCCTGCGTTACATGACAGATTGAGATCTTTGAGATGCAAATACTCATTACATGGACTAAAACGACTTAATATATAGAGGAGAGCAGAGCTTGTGCAATTGTTGGCACCGGCTCACCGTTCCCTGTGCTCGAGAGCGAGCGAATAATGTGCGGCGCATTCCACGAAGTTGAAATCAGAATTCGTATTATTAGCTCGGGTGCCCTGGCACGATTTGGCTGCGTGAACCACTCAGCCACCACCACGGACACCACCCTCCCCGTGCGTTTCGTACTTCTTGTGGGAGTGGAACGCCGCGAACGTGAAACTCTTGCCCTCGTACTCCCCGAAGAACTTGCTCTCCCCGAGCCGGATGTGGTATATTTCGTTGCCCGAGCAGCGGCCATACATCCTCTGCCACTGCTCAGGGGACTCTTGACCCTCCCTGTGGAAAGTTTGGTGTTTCACAATCAGCGGTGAGTTCATATCGACGTACCTGTAAATAATGCCTCCTTCCCATATTTGTTTCTCTGCGTGAAAGTAAAAAAAAGCACAAGCCTTCGGCCGTTTGGCCTTCTGGTAATGCATCTCACAGCAGCATTGGTTCAATACATGAACACTCTGGGACACACGTTTCAAGATTCAGTGTCTCATCATCAGTCAGGCTTGCTTGAATCAGTGTTGGTGACCTGCCCGATGTTTAACGGCAAGGGGCCCTTTTTGTTCATAGCTTTTTTTATTTCTTCCAATAATTAAGGGCCTCCTGACAAAGGCTTTTAAGTTTTTGTCTTGATTGTAATTACATCTGGAACAACAACAAATGTTTAGCCTCTATCAACAATTATTCAGATTACATCACTGCTCCGCTGTAATGCCAGCTCGTTTTTAGTTTTTTACTTACTTAATTAAGGGCCTCCTGAAACAGGCTTTTAAGTTTTTGTCTTGATTGTAATTACATCTGGAACAACAACAAATGTTTAGCCTCTATCAACAATTATTCAGATTACATCACTGCTCCGCTGTAATGCCAGCTCGTTTTTTGTTTTTTTTACTTACGAGGAGGCGATGCAAATTGTATACAAGTGCGAGATTTGGACAGCTACAGAGAGCTGTTGGTAGACGACTTAATGAGCAAATGCAATACGATCCCGCGCATCAAAACGAGTCAAAGGAGAGACAGCTTACTGGCCGCGGGAGGTGTGGACCAACAGGGTGATGAGGGTGGACGTTGCTGGGCAGACGCAGTTGAGCGCCAACATGGCGTACTTGAACTCTTCCTCGCACACTACGTGGTCTGAAAAAACACGGCGATGATAAATGGTGTTTTTTCACGGCTGCGTCGAACGGCCGATGAGTGTTTGGATTGTGCGGCGCGCCGCTCAGCGGCTCCACGGCTTCTGAAGAAGCTTCCGGCACCTGGGGCCGAATGTCGGGGACATCAGGCCAAACGACACTACGTATGACCCCACAACACGTCAGAGAGCAATGGTGCTTCACTTACGTATAGCAAATCAACTTTACCAGCAATATCATTCAGTTTCGATTTAAAGCTTTCGTGACTGCAGGGATTCATCTTCTTAGTTCTTTCGGTAAAGTCACGTAGAAGGGAAATGATAAAATAATAAATTTAAAACATAATAAAATAATTCTCACGACGTTTTGGCCACAACACAAGGAGGACGGCTGCTTGTGTTGTGGCCGAAACGTCGTGAGAATTATTTTATGATGTTTTATTTTTATTATTTTATTACTTCCCTTCTACGTGACTTTACCGAAAGAACCAAGAAGAAGAGGATGGCTTGACGACGACATCAGGGATTGGTACCAGAAAGATGTGGCCCTTTACTGGAGCATATTAACACGAGACAGAGGAAAGTGAAAAGAACAAATGACGAAATGTGCAGTGGACACCTATGGGCGATCTGCCTATGGATCGTGATGATGATAGAGTCACAATTACGTTCAAGCTACGATGTTTTTGTTTAAATTTTGCCATCTCGTTTGTGCTGTTTTTTTCTCGCCTTATTTGTACAGCTCCGTTTGCTCTGTTAGCCAAGAGTTAACGTTTACTCATATAAAAGGCATATCATTTATATAGATTGTAGGTAACTGATGCTCACGTGTATGATTTGATGCGTATATGAATGCATCCGTCAATGTTCAATCGACTTAATTGATGCACTGATACTTCCATTGATTTATGCCGTATTTGTTTATCTGTGACACGTACCGGAAATTATTGTGCTTACAAATAGCGGCACACACACACTCCAATGCACCGCAGATCCAGGAACGGATAAGCAAATGGAATGGGCTCCATTTTTATTGCGCATTTCCATTTCCTATCGAAATATGCGTGAGAGTACGGCTTCACATTTACGCAGGATTCGTCGTTTTTCTAATTTTTCTTCAATCTGAATGATATTCATCTTCTTGGTTCTTTCGGTAAAGTCACGTAGAAGGGAAATAATAAAATAATAAAAATAAAGCATAATAAAAAATATTATATTTCGATTTAAAGCTTTCGTGACTGCAGGGATTCATCTTCTTGGTTCTTTCGGTAAAGTCACGTAGAAGGGAAGTAACATTATGTTTTATTTTTATTATTTTATTACTTCCCTTCTACGTGACTTTACCGAAAGAACCAAGAAGAAAAAAATATTATATTATGTTTTATTTTTAAAAAATGTATTTTATTATTTCCCTTCTACGTGACTTTACCGAAAGAACCAAGAAGATGAATCCCTGCAGTCACGAAAGCTTTAAATCGAAATTTAGCCATCCTCTTGTTAGGTCTTCATCTCTTTCCGGTTCCTTCCATATTTCCGAGTAACGCACTTTTAACTGTCCTGTTGTTGTCCATCCTATATATGTGTCCAAATAGTGCCAGTTTCCATACCGTGGCAATTTATCGAATTTGCTGGAGGGGAGGGAGTGGATTATTCAATGCCTACAGGTTGCGTTCTTGTGGAAATGATGATATTTAAAGCTTTCGTGACTACAGGAATTCATATTTTTGGGGTCTTTCAAAAAGCGACGTAGATAGAAAAATAAAAATTTCACGACGTTTCGATCGCAACACAATCGTCATCAGCAGCTCTCCCGCTATATTTTTTTCACCTGATGACGATTTCTTGTGTTGCGATCGAAACGTCGTGATATTTTTATTTTTCATTATTATTTTTCTATCCACGTGGCTTTACCGAAAGACCCAAAGGATATAACAACGATGATAATCGTGAATGCGCTTGAGCATGTTCACAGGCAGTCACAGGAGCGCCACGCTCGGACTGCGTGTACCTCCTTCAAAGAACGGAGTCACCGACACGGAGCTGCGTGACCCAAGTAATGGGAGCATGAATATGTGCACTTGGGTCACCGTGACATTTGACGTCATCCGCCGAGGCGCCGGCTTTGCATTAAGGGGCGCTGTCGTGAGGCGGTCGGATTGGCCAAGAGATCGTCGCAGTGCTGAGTTTGTGCCTCTGTGAGGATCCTTGGTTGCAGTCCATGCAGCTGTCTCTGGCCGTATGTCTTCTTCAAACTGAACGATATTACTGAAAAAGTTTGCGTTTAAATATTTATCTAAGTGAAGCACCTTTGCTCTCTGATGTGCTTTACGGTTGTTATCCAGTGTCCCGGGAATGCTCAGTGCAGGTTGGTTTGTATGTCGGACTTCTTTCGCACAGTACGCAGCCAACCGTGCTAATCGGTGGTGCGGCTGAAGGACAACAAGCTCAACACAAAAATTAGTTCTCAACTGGATTCCCATGTGTAGGGAGTTGATGATTTCAACTAAATCGCCAATTACCGTTCAGAAGAAGCAAAACGCATCACATTAAGTTCGATACAGCAATTAATTTGACTACTTAAACAAAAATCATTAGCTGGATAATGCTCTAAAATGGAACATCTAATTTGCAAGGATGATTAAATTCCAGCTGTGAGAATTAAACAGTCATGTGACAAAACGTTGCTCTCTGTGTTAGACCGTGTGGGGATGTTCTGCACACTATTTTTGTTTTGTACACAATTGACATTCATCACTTAAATGAGCAAAAACGCCACTTCTGAGATTGCTTACATCACTTTGGCTGTGACGAGATCATATTGCAGGGGAGTGTGTGGGAAAGTGTGCCCATGACTGCGTAAAAGGGTCAACAGACCACTTGAAGGATTTGTCATAAGAAGCCATTCTCTGAGCCGTAGGGTGCACCACTCTGCAAGATTTCCAAATTGATTGAGCTCATGACATGACACGGATTGCACAACTGGAATAAATTGTGTGTTGTGGGGGGGGGGGAAGATAAAAAAAATATATTGCAAAAACTGTAAGCCACCACAAATCTATGGTACCCTAACAGTACCTGCACATATTTCGACCAAATCAAAAGTAGAAAAAGTAGCATCAGGACACAATGTGGTACAGACGAATGCGATCTAAAGCAGCAATGAGCAGTAAAAAAACAACAAGAAGAAAAACAAAGAAAGTGAACGGCACACAAAAAATACCTGCAAACTTTACGTGGAACTTATTTTCAGGCTTTAGGATCTGCACGTAGAGAGGGCAGCTTGGAGCAAAGTCTTTGACGGCCCAAGCTCGCAGGATTGTCTGATGATCCTTCACACAGAGGCAAGGCAACAACAGTGAGCTCTGCACACATACACACACGTCATCATCAGCCAGCCATGACTTATCCACTGCTGGATGAAGGCCTTCCCAGGCCACCACCACCACTTGGGATGGTTTTGACCACAACCCTGGAATGAGCATTCTTCACGCCGGACGAAACCCGGAGTATCCGGAAAAACCCACCATGCATACGAGGGGATAACAACTCAAAGCTCTCCACAGATGCATGCTAAAAAACTTTCATGGTAATGACCAACCATCTCAATTGAGGACCCACGTGAAAATAACAGCCTTGAGACTCAGTGAGGCCCTCCTCTGTGTGTACAAGGCTGGAGTAGTGTTGTAGTAATAGTCACACTGGATTTATAAACCTGGCTACCAGGGTTCAGTTTAAGGTCATGGCTAACTTCAGTAGTGAGTGATATCTGAACTGGACCCGAGTCCCAATTCACAGGCCTGCATTAACCATTGTGGTGAAGTATAGTGAAACAACATGGCCAACATGCCCTGGGGAAGCCTTTATCCAGCCTAGCAGCGGATTAAGAATGGTATTAGTGAAATATCTGAATGTGTCTATTCAATAAACACAAAAAAATTGACGGCACTCTATAAATATGAAATTACATTACATTATTAAAACGCATTAAATTAATAGGTAATTTGTAAAACCGCACATCGATCTTCCACCGGTGATTATCGCATTTGAGAGGAAAACACGTTCTGGCTTCTTGCAGGAAACCTTTAAGAGCACCCAGGCAGACACACAATTACGCAAGCGCCAGACAGAGACCGAACCGCACTCTGCCTGCACACAGGGCACTCAAACAATGTCCCCGTCGAGCGGGTTTCCGTGAACGGGGGCAACAGGCACGAACTCTTGCATTACTCTCCCAATTTCATGGCTCCCCCGCAACGCATTAAGAAGAAACGTTCCAGGCCATGCATGCAGCGTGTGATGAGAGAGAGAGAGGACTTACCGCTGCAGTGCGGTCCACCTCATTCCTGCTGGTCAGGATGAAGCACGCCTCAGCATCATCGATCCTGGAAAATGCAGCGCGCAAAAGTCGCTCATAGTCACGGCCGGGTTTTTTGTTTTTCCAGTTTGTTTTTTTGTCATTTCTAACTTCCCCCCCCCCCCCCACTTTGCGCAAAAGCGCAGAAGCGTGGTCAACCACATCTACGCCTCTATGTAAGGAACGAAACAGTTATACTTCTCCACAAATCTGACAGTCGCCTGATGAAGCTAGTTGTAATTACTGGCGAAACGTTGTACTCACATTGTAAATGTGTGTGTCTCTTGAAGCAGACGATTGGTGCTGAATACATAAGTCGCATTTGCAAAATGTGATTTGTAACTTTCATCCCTTACCTTTTTATCGATAATCTTTGTTCTTTCGGTAAAGTCACGTAGAAGGGAAATAATAAAATAATATAAATAAAACAGCAGCAAGAACATTGTCTTGCTGTGGTTTTCGCACCTGACGATGATTGCTTGTGTTGCAATCGAAACGTCGTGAGAATTTTCTTTTTTTCTTTTTATTATTTTATTATTTCCCTTCTACGTGACTTTACCGAAAGAACCAAGAATATTAATCCCTGCAGCCACGAAAGCTTTAAATCGAGATGTTTATCGATAGTTCAATGTCAATGTGCCATTGTACTGCTGCGTGGTGTTATCTTGGTGTGGTCTGGGTTGTTGTTGTTGTTGTTGTTTTTGCCGCCTTGCCACAGATTGATAAATCGGACTTATATAATTTGTGCATTTATTATTTAGTTACATTTCGTGACTTGTTTACCTTTTCCCCAATTTGCACTCCTAAGCGTTTTATTTTGGTATTGTTTGCTGTTGTGACTTGCTGACCCGCCCCGATTGGAAATCTGTGTAAAAGAGCTTTATAGCTCAACGGATTCCTCCTCCAGTATAAAGATTCTGATTCTGCCCCCCACCTCCCCCGCCAACTCGTTCCCTCCCTCCCTCTCTCCCGTCCCCCTTCTCCCCTTTTATGTTAGCTATCTCCTCCCTTACCTTGCCCTAACCTCTTGATACAAACTTTCACTTCTCTGTTAGAGGCTCCCCCAGTCAGCCCAATCTACCCCTTTCACCAAACCCTGCCACGCCAATCTTGGGCTTTTTGCTCGCGTGATTAATGCCTCCCTCCTGCCCCCCTCCCCCCCGTTCTTGTTCTGTGATCGGTGCCTTGTACCGGTCTCTGAGACAAAAAGATTCTCGATTCTGCTGTCGTCTCACTTGACTCGCACGAGGTCCTGGTCCTTGAGAGCTGAGCCCTGCAGGTAGATGACGCGCTGAGCCCACAGCGGCACGTGCAGCATGCGGCGCACCTGCGAGTCCATGTCCGTGGGGCACAGGATCACCGTGTAGAAGTCCTGCGTGTGTTGGGTCGCGCGGGAGATGATAGCGTGGGGGACAGCACGGGTGAGCACGGGGGAAGCGCAGCGGAGCCACGTGTACAACGTGATAGAGAAGCGTGGGGGGGGGGGGGTGTAACAGAATTGTGCAAGAAGGGTTTGGGAGCACGGGAGGAGCATGCGGGAGGCACAATAGAAGCACAGCACGAGCAAGGAATGTGCAGGACAGGCACACGTTGGGTAGAGGAGAACGTGGGGGAATAATGGGAGAGCATCGGGGTAACACGGTGAAAGAGCAGGGAAAGAACAGGGGGAGCATGGGGTAGGGCAGGGAAGTACTGCGGAGAAGCATGGGGAATAATGGGGGGGGGGGGCACAATGGAGAAGCACAGGTGAAACACGAGGAAGTAAGGCAGAAGCATGGTGGGTAGCAAGAGACGTGGAAGGATAATGGGGCATGGAAGGAGCACAGATATGTGGAGGAACATGATAAGAGTAGCAGAGAACACACACGGAGCGTGAATGGAACATGGGAGAAGTATGGGGGGAAAGCACCCAAGAACATTATAGTGTTGGCCCTCGATCGATATACATTAGGGACATCATCACGGCAGAGGTGATTACCCAGTGCTCACTCATTAGAGCAGCTACGCTGCGATGATGCGTGTTGGGCTCAGTGATGAGGCAAGTCTCATCACGAGATGTACCCCAAACGATGCTTCTACTCCGACTGCACGGCAGATGCGGCCAGTCCCTTGCACCAATGGACAATTCGGAATAGCGCTCCCAATTGTGAGTGCGGTCATCAGTTTAAAACGACGGACCGCATAGCAACACCGCCGCTCGCTTCGATCATCCGCCAGCAGCGTCCTTAATGCAAGATATGGGGAGCGGTAGCAAGAATGTTGAACTTCTTTCGAACCGTACGTAGCCGACCGTGCTAACCGGAGGTGCGGTGAAAGAAGCCGTCCGTTGGCTCACTCACCAACATCGACATGAACGTATAAAAAATTAATCCGTAAAAACAAAGTTTTTCACTATAAATCCTTTATATGCGTGGCGGCTAGAGTCCTCTCGTCCTCTGGCTTGAGATGGCTGCCACCTATGGGTCAGATGATTGCCTGCCAACATTAAGCAATTGGTAATTAAATATTTTAAAAAAATTCGTAAAATGTTGAAAATTTTGGGAAAAAAATTTCACGAAAATAAATTGTCACGCACAACGAGTCTGTGTGCAAAATGTAAGCTCGATTGGATCACGGGAAGTGGGTTAAAAAACGACCGAAAGATTTGCACAGTCGTAAGCGCGCAAGCAAGCAAGCAAGTGAACTTAATATAAAGGATTAAAAAAGTTGCTTACAGAGTCCTGCCCTCCCCCCCCCATTGCCATATGGAAGAGAAAGCCCAACTGCTGCGCTTGCCCTTAGGGCTGCTACTGATCTCCATCGATCTCATCGGTGACGCCGGACAGCCGACAACGGCGGCAGCAGCGGCGCACGCAGGCGGACGGCTTTGAAACAAAAGCGTGTATCTGCTCTGTAAACAACCTGGCAAAATTGATAAATAGAGGCAGGCACACAAAGCACACTCTCTTTTTGTTTGTGATACTGCCGCCGGCGGGCAGTGATGCATCAGCGCAAACAACAAAACTCAACGCAATTATGCGTGTTGTTGTAGAGAATATAAACAACATGCGGGAGATACGTCTGCTTATTTATTTTTAATGTCTGATAATGATCACTTTTGAGTTGCGTTTTAATCTAAATTTGTACTTTTTTTTACGTAATGTATAATTGACAAATGTGTCGAGTGTCTGTGCCCAAGCACAGGCGCTCTTCTTCCCACCTCCCCCCCTCTAACCCAGCTTAAATATACGCTCCAAGCTTGGTGGTGTTTCATTCTTCGCCTGAGGACGGCTGCTTGCGTTGTGGCCGAAACGTCGTGAGAATTGTTTTATTATGTTTTATTTTTATTATGTTATTACTTCCCTTCTACGTGACTTTACCGAAAGAACCAAGAAGATGAATCCCTGCAGTCACGAAAGCTTTAAATCGAAATTTAGTATTTATTAGTTTGGAGAAAACAAGTTTGGCGCATACGATAAAGACATTTCTGCATGGCGTAGGGGCCCACGTATTGTTGAATTTATTTTCACGTCGGAATGCTTTAAAACTGCGTACAAGAATAAACACACGCTTACCCTATATTCAGTCAATTAAAAGCGGATTAATTTGTGCTTTCATTTGAACTTTCACCTCGGCTTTAGGAATGCCCATTGGACCATCATAAGACTCTGAAGAACGTGAATAGTAATGCGACAGGTATTGAGGCTTAGACATTGCATTCATTGCAGTCTTGTCAAGGCATGCCCGGCGTTCCTGATGGGATGAACATTTAAAAAAAAAAAATGGGTAGAAATTGATTTAGAATTTTAAGAATATTTTCTCTTGTGCAAAAAAAAGCCCAAAAAATAAATAAACGACCGCACCTACGTAGCATCAGCGTCGCCACGTTTAAATGAGTGTCGAGTGGGCTCGCATTGAAATGTGAAAATTCCATGTGCAGCCGTAGGTGACCAGGGCGGGACTATTAACTCACTGCCAGACCTGAGAACCCGGGTTTAATCACAGGCAGCTTGAATTGATTCAAACCCAGGATCTCATCAGTGTCAGCTGAGTGCTCTGACCTCTGAGCCTACCCACCGCCCATTGCTTGTATAATAAATACGGTAAACTACACGAATCGTGAATTACTCTTTGGTTCTTTCGGTAAAGTCACGTAGAAAATAAAATCGAATAATAGAATGCGACGTTTCGATTGCAACACAAGCAACCATCATCGGGTAAGAATGAATGATGAAAACACAGACACGTAAACAACTTAGGCAGACACACATGCAGAGAGAGACACACACAAAGATACACATCCTTCTGTTTGTCTTGGTTTGTCTCGCTCGCTGTGTCTTTGTGTGTGTCTCTCTCTGCATGTGTGTCTGCCTATGTTGTTTCCGTGTCTAGTGTTCTCATCATTCATTCTTACCTGACGAAGGTTGCTTGTGTTGCAATCGAAACGTCGTATTCCAATTATTATTTTCTTTTCTACGTGACTTTATCGAAAGAACCTGCAGTCACGAAAGCTTCGAATCTAGTTTGAATAGTGAACTCACTCACGAATTCATCGACTGACATCTAAACGCCGCGGCGTGCCGCACCTGCAGACGAGGGTGAGCGTAGAACTCGTTGAGGAAGTCCATGAGGAGGTCGAGCTTGAGCGAGCTCACGCAGAGCACGACGTGCTTCTCCGTCTGCGCTCTGTAGCGGCTGTAGTTGCCGCCGGACTTCTGCCGCTCCATATACAGGTAGACCAGCTCTTCGAACTAACACAGGGTCAGGGGGCAGAGTGGAACACGGAGCCTGGAGGATCTCGCCAAGGAGCAAAAACCGTCACGTGAACTCTGGTCATCCTCGCAGCGGCTTTTGTCGAGCCACCGAGCAAAGACGGTCACCGCATCGCGCGCTTTCGGACGCGCTTCTGCGGCCGTCTGGAACGCTCTTCCTTCCGATATTAGGAAGCCATTGGAGCTGTGCACTTTTAAGTGATCTGGATTGAAAACTAATTTCTGTTTAACTGCTTTTTGTATTTAGTTTGTTGTCCTTTCCCCGCACCACCGATTAACGTGGTTGGCTACGTACGGTGCAAAAAATAAAATAGATCACGACGTTTCGGGCGCAACAAAAGCGTCCGTCATCAGTTGGGAAAGCATGGTCTGCTGCTGATGCAGACCTTTTAAAACAGTCTGCATCAGCAGCAGACCATGCTTTCCCACCTGATGACGGACGCTTGCGTTGCGCCCGAAACGTCATGATCTATTTTATTTTCTACCTACGTGACTTCACCGAAAGAACCAAAGAGTATGGATTCCTGCAAGTCACGAAAGCTTCAAATCAAGATTGGTGCAAAAAAAGTTCAACATACACGCATACATACAACAAACGATGGGGCAAAAAGTTAACTGCTGCCCACCCAAGACCATTGAACGGCAGCGGCAACCAGCGACATTTAAACATACAGCACTGGTTCCAAAAGTGTGGACAGCGCTATAATCTGGCACAGACTCTTGAAAATGCGGTGGCTTTTATATTCTCGTTCAATCCACACCGCACTGTATTGTATGCTATCCTCTTTTGCTTAGTCGGTTGGTTTGCTCACCACATTTTCAATGTTTCCGGAGTAAAACGGAAAAACAATCAAATCATCTCCACACTCAGGGGGAGTGTCCAGTGGCACTCATCCTTCTTGGTGGCCAAGAGCGAGCGGTGGGAATTCCTCATTCAATTGCCAGGAGTCATTATCTAGGCAGGACAAGAACAAAGTGCTCCTCGTGTTACCGACCTGAGTGGGACATCACTTGCTTTTCTAATATGATAGGCGCATTCGCGTGCTCGTTCCAATATCATGCCTTGTTAATTTGAGGAACCCCCCGATAAAAGCGCTTCTTGTGATATTGAGAATGCATATTGAAAATAAAAAACAATCTGCAGTGACATCCTGGACACTGTGGCGATGAGAATGTGATGCCCTACCACTCCAACGTTGGTGCATCGAGTAAACGAGCTTGGGACAGGAAGTAGTGCTGCACGCCAGAGGTCGCAAACGGGTTTTGATTCCTTACCCGTACACCCGTACCCAGCCGCACCAGGGTCGCAAACGGGTACCCGTACCCGGCCGCACCCGTACCCTACCCGTACGGGTATCGGGTACCTGATTGCGACCTCTGGGATGAAGCCATGTTGCAGGCGCGGGTGGGTTGATTCTAGGAACTTGAATTGTGAGAAGAGACGAGACGTTGGGAAATGAGTGACAGTTACTCACCAGTGACTCACGGCCTACCCGTACCCGTACCCGGCCGCACCAGGGTCGCAAACGGGTACCCGTACCCGGCCGGGTACGGGTAGCCGGGTATCGGGCAGGGTACGGGTATCGGGTAGGGTACGGGTATCGGGTACCCGGTTGCGACCTCTGCTGCACGCCTCTCCAATGTGTTTTCGGGTTGTACCGTGTGTTTGTTCGGCACGATGTCTGGACCGAATTGTTTCTGCATCTGAATAAAACTCCCATAGTACGTGGAGCGAAACGTCGGACGGCATGCCAACAACAACAACCCGAAAGTACATCGGAATTTGAGAACGCCTTTCATTCTCTGCTTGACTATGGGATAGAACACATTACTGTTCAGTAAATAATTGCTACTGTGAGCATTTGATGGCAATTGTGTTTGGCATTTGCCTCATGGGCAGTGAAAAAAGCGAGAGAGAGACACACACAGCAAACACAAATAAAATACTCTCCATGCACTTAAGCTTCCGTTAGGGTACAGGGTTCATTGCTCCACAGCAAGAGAACACCGCCCTGTTGGCATGGCACACTCGGATGCGTAATCTTCAAGGGTAAATTGCATTGTGCAACAAACAGCGCCGGGACGGCTATTGATTATCCGTGCCACGGTGGTGGCCGTGCTTTGTGAAGTGTTGCGTTTGAAGTCTAATAACACCGTGTGGGAGTACGCCCGTGAAGGCGCTTGATAAATGTACCGCACGTCCAGTACTTCACCATTGCCACCAAATGGGTGCGAGGGGCTGCCTTACTCAAAAAGGGGCTTTGCGGAAAGGTGCGTTGGTTTTAAACTAAAAATTTAAACTAGTTTTATTTCACCAGGTAAGGCTCACTGAGCTATATAGCTCTTTTTTCCGCAGTTACCTGGCCACAAATGATAGGTCAACGAAGTGGCAGCAAAATAATCGAAACGCATGTTGATTCTAAATGTGGAGAGAAAAACTGGAGGGCCTGGAGAAGAATCCACGCGACAATGTGGAGAGAGACACGCAAACTCCAAATATACAGCAGGCATCAGGGTCGCCATCGGTCCGACGACACCTGTAAACCAGGCGAGGTTGTTAACATCTCGCCACCGCCGCGGCGTACACTGCAAACGAGCCGCGGAAATGTGCACAGCACAGGATCTGCTTGCGACGGTGAATTTACGTTGGGTGACAATAATGTTGGTTCTTTCGGTAAAGTCACGTAGGTAAAGAAATAAAAAAATGAAAAAATATATAAATTAAATCACGGCGTTTCAGGCGCAACACAGCAAGAAACAAAATCTAGAATAGCTGACAATATTCAAACGTCAAATTTGTGGGAAGCAGCATGCTTAAGTTGGCTTGCAGCAGACGTTGTGTTTTACAACACCGCACCTGCGCAGTGCATTAAGCTTAGGTCAAAATGCGTCTCCAAAATGTGTTTCGGAAAGATTGGATACAATTCTAGGTTTGCCGTCTTCATGTTTAAAGACACGATGAATGGTGACTGGCTGCATACAATAGTGGATAGTGACGGAGAGAACACTACCTGGCGTTTGGGGAAGGGGGAGAAAATTTTAGAAAACGTCAAATACTGGACAGGTTGAAAGCTATCTCAGGTGGAAGATGCAGAGACGGACAGAGGGAAGTGGAGAGACAGACCACGGGAAGAAAAGTTATGCTCCACTCAGCTGAATATAAAAATAACAAGGAAATAATGTTTGTATACGTGTCATTGACTGTTTGCTATATGTCACTTGACATTCCCGGATACCCATTGCAAACAAGAAGTTCCACCTCAAGGGATTATCCAGGTTAATGTGCTCGAATAAATACATAAATAGCCCAACTGCCCAAAAAGGCCGGGACTAAAATACGAACGAAAATTTTCCAACTGTCACTGAATTTCTACTCAGAAATAGGAGAAATTACTCAACCGAACAGGTGAGTGACTTACCATTTTCCAACATGTATGTGCTTACACCATTGGAACCTCATTTGCCAGTAAAAAATATGATAATTGTTTTTTTACCCTTCTATCTGGCAACAAAACTGAAACCTTTTTTACAAGGAGTCATGTTTTCATAGACCACAATACCTGCAGCCATAATGCAAACAAAAAACATTATGACTGCAGGTATTGTGGTCTATGCAATCATGACTCCTTGTTAAAAAGGTGTCAGTTTTGTTGCCAGATAGAAGGGTAAAAATCCAATTATATGTTTTACTGGCAAATGAGGTTCCAATGGTGTAAATGCTTAACCCGAGCTCTCATACTCTGATGGTGCATTGTCTTTGAGTTGTGCGCCTTTTGGCGTCATCTGGTCCAACCCATGTGAGACTAGGCTCTAAGGAAAGCTGTCTCGGGTGTGGACCAATCAACTTCAAAGACAGTGCATATATTATCAGAGTTATGTTTTTGTTTGCATTATGGCTGCATGTATTGCGGTCTATGCAAACATGACTCCTTGTAAGAAAGGTGTCAGTTTTGTTGCCAGATAGAAGGGTAAAAAAAACATTATCATGTATGTGCTTCTCGTTCATGGTCACTATCATTCCCCTGTGTTGTGATGAATGCGTTGGTTTTTACATCAGTCTTAAAATTACAGAGTGATCCCTCGGTTTATGATGCCTTCGACTAACGATATTGCGATGAACGATCCGCATCAATGTGGTGCCATTGTTAATGTAATGTTTTACGATATCACGCGGCCGCCAATTTGGGCCAACTGGAACGGATCCTGAGGTGACTCACCAGAGCTCAGCCAACCCCGACTGCTCCATCAACCCCTTAAACCATCGGTCGGGAACCTATGGCTCGCGAGCCATATATGGCTCTTCTGGTGATGGCATATGGCTCCCAGACAATTTTGAGTTGAAAAAAAATACAAAAATCAGTTTGGAACTGATTTTAAAATACTTGTGATATTGCTTAATAATACTGTGTCATTTTAAAGTAAACAGAAATTAGTTTTGAAGATAAATTTCACGGGTCACGCCTGCATGAAGCTCAACCTCACCACGTATGAACCAGACTACAAGGCCATCAGCAAAACCATGCAGCACCAGAAGTCGCATTAAAAGTGATACATATTTAATTTATTATACGTTAAAAATACTATATGGCTCTCAATGCAATATATTTAGAAATATTTGGCTTTTATGGCTCTCCCAGTCAAAAAGGTTCCCGACCCCTGCCTTAAGCCATCCCTCTTCTTAGCCTAAGGTAAAACAATGTTATTTCATGCTCTATGTGTGCATCTTTTTACGCTATATTTATTTTTAAAAACATTCATAATAATGTTTTAATATGTTCTTATAACGTTTATTTATAAAAACTAAAGACTTCCGCTCTGTGAACTTCCGACCATCTTGGAACAAATCAAACCTTTAACATGTATTTCCTACATTCGATTAACGGCCATTTCAATGAACGATGGTTTTCGTGGAGCCAATTAATATGGTAAACCGAAGGACCTCTGCACTGTATTTGCCTGTGATGTTGCACACAACCCAACTGACCATTATTGTTTCCATTTAAAGCATATTTGCTGCATCATAAATGCATGTATTCAATCAAATTTCAAGGATGCGTAAATTTGTATTCCCTTCACAAGAAAGGTAAGGCTATCGAAAAAGGCGTGCATTTTAATCCGTCATATCTGTTTGGCCAAGTAATTTCTATTCAAATAAACGCCACTTGTTCGAACGAGTGATGTTTATTCGTTTCCATGAACGTCACCCACTTGTTCCTCCACCCTTGTTGAGGCCTCAGTCTACCAGACCGCTGACTGTCTCATCTGATCCACTCTGTGTTAAACCACCACCATCACCACCACCACCACACTGCGGGTCACAACGCAACATCACTCTGCTTCTCCCCTCACACATTTTTTTTTTAACCAGGTAAGGAAGGCCCCACTGAACTGTGCAGCTTCCTTTTCAGAAGTGACCCCACGACAAATGATGTCTCTTAGAAAGTGGCTTATCATCACGTGGAAATGTATTGCAGCCAAATGCTAAATGTGGAGGAAAAAACGGAGGCCCCGGAGAAAAATCCACTCGACTACGGAGAGAACATGCAAACTCCCAAAAATACAGCAGCAGGCGTCAGGGTTGGGATCGAACCCACGGCCTCCTGTATACCAGGCGAGGTAGTTAACATCTCCTAGCCACTGTGATGATGATGACAGAGAGAGAGAAACTCAAACTCAAAATACACAGCAGGTGCCTGGGTCGGGATCGAACCCACGACCTCCTGTATACCAGGCGAGGTAGTTAACATCTCCTAGCCACCGTGATGATGATGAGAGAGAGAGAGAATCTCAAACTCCAAATATACAGCAGGCGTCAGGGTTGGGATCGAACCCACGGCCTCCTGTATACCAGGCGAGGTAGTTAACATCTCGCTACTGTGGCACACTGTACCACTTTTAAAATACACCCCAACAGCTCTTTTATCACGTGTTAACGAACTTGCTCAATTCGAGGGAGATGTTAACTTTGATCCATGACACATTCAATAGCGCTGATTGTTGCTGGTCGCTTGGCATTTCGGGCAACAGTGATTTTTAAAAAAAGCATAAAAAATAAATGTTCTTGCGTACGATGGCAATATGCTCAGGAGAGAAATGCTATTTTTTGGTATGGAGCTAAATGCATGCAACAGATTGATATAGGTTTTCCAAGTAATGAATTGCCTCCCCTGCCATCAGATGAATTGTCAAGATTCGGGGGGTCATCGTTCAATAACTAAATATTGTTTTCACGTTTCGGTGATTGTAGCGCCTCCATTGGATACAGGGAATCACAAAAACCCCATTACGATTGTGAGTGCGGCAATCAATTGTAACTGAACAATCGATGCAGAGTAATAACATTTATGAGATGTTTTTTTCTAAGACAAATTATGTTTTATCTAACATTGTTTTCTTCGGACCATTTGCCTTTATGTGTTGGTGTTTCGTGCACGGGAGGCTCTGAGAGGAAGTATAAAACAAGAGTGGCATTGGAACACAAAGAGATTTGACAGCGACAAATCAAAAGGCGCCTTCCCTCTTGCCTCATTATGTCTGCCGTTTTCCTGCTTTGGGACTATTTGCGATTAACCTGCCAGAGCCATTCATGTAATCTGAATTGTCTACTCATTATTGGGGCACCTAAACGTTTGTTATTCATTTTAGACTACTTTATATTTCCACCTCGGGGAATTCTCTGGACGTGTGTGTAAGTGAGTGCGCAAAAGCCTGAAGGTTATTTTCACACGGTGCCATTAGGGTGTCGCGGTGGCTCGGCGTTTACTACCTCGCCTGGCATACAGGAGGCCGTGGATTTGATAGCGACCCTGACGCCTGCTGCTGTATATTTGGAGTTTGCGTGTCTCTATCCCCGTGGTCGCGTGGCTTTTTCTCCGGGTCCTCCGATTTTCCCCTCCTCATTCAGAAACACGCATTTCGAGTCGAGTATTTGGCCGCTAGAAATTCCCACGTGATATGCCACGTCGTTCAGCTATCGTTTGCGGCCAGGTAACTTCTGAAAAAAAGCTTTATAGCTCAGCGCAACTTACCTGGTAAAATTAAATAAATAGTTTGAACAGTTTAATGTGATCACGTGCAACCTGTGTAGGTTTGCGCGCTCATGCTACGGCTCTCCTGTGTGCTTTTGGTGTTGTTTTACGTGTTCGGGCAGGACGTTTCACCCCACATGCTGAGAGCTTGTTCAGGCAGCGAACACTCTATTCGCATTCGGGAACTCACCGCATCTCAGCCGTGCTCTGACATGGTAACAGCCCAGCAATTAATTTTCTTACGTGACTCCTGGAAATAGGGCCTCCATTCGAGTGATTGCTAGACAGCCCCTCTCGAGGGTAGTTGGCCTCCTCTTCTACACTGGCCACACCTCTCGGAAGATGTGAAAGTACCTACACTGCATCCCACCACGCACACCCTGACAATTGTCTGTAGCGCACCTATTTGAACTATTGGGTGGACAGAGGCCAGTGGGTTTAATTTTAAAAAATCGTACCCATTGTTTCAACTGAATGTTGTAGCAGTACTCTCTGGTTCTTTCGGTAAAGTCACGTAGATAGAAGAAGAAAAAACAATAAAAGAACACGACGTTTCGGTCGCAACACAAGCGTCCTTCATCATGTGAGAAAGAATGATCTGTTGTTGTGGCTTTATATAGGCACGGGAGGGGGGGGTTGTAGAGTCGTGGCTGCAGGAGTTCACGGGGGAGAGGGGGGAGGGTTTGTGGCGTGCAGGGACAGGTGGAGGCTGGAGAAATTAGCCATGAGCTTGAATTAGAAAACGAAAACAGCACAGGTGGGTGAGAGAAAAATTTCGTGACTTTATCGAAAGAACCAGAGTGTATGGATTCCTGCAGTCACGAAAGCTTCAAATAAAGATTGTTGTAGCAGTCACAGAAAATCCCATACCCGAGATCCCACGTGGCTTGCTAATGTTCTGTGTAACAGTGCGTATCGTTCCAAAATGGAACCTGGCATTGGTTAATGACACGTGCCCGTTAATGGTGCAAAAATCCAAGGGATGGGATCTGCTGTGAACTGGGGCACGTGCTTGTAAAATGTGCACCAAGCTCCCTCTGCAGACATCATCATCATCAAAAATAATGTTGGTGGGAGGCCATCGAGACAAAATTTTAATCTACACTTTAGGCAAAAAAAGACCCCATAAGGCCCATAATCGATCATGTGAAACCATAGCCAGTCAAACATCGTTGAATTGAAGCTGCCGTGCAAGGTCAAACAGATTATATTTACAGCCACAATTATAATCAGAAGCAAATATTAATACATGTGGTAGCAAACATCCACAGTACAGTATCAGTTGCCTATATGAGGGTTGTAAAGGTACATTTGTACGTTGCAGAAAGGTTAAGTTTCGCAGCAGTCTGACCTTTGTACGTGTGGGTGGGTTCGATTCCATGAGCCCAACATGAAATAAATTACATTTGCACATTTGTCTTTTGATTTTTTGTATAAAACATTTCCTAATGATTATTCTGACTGTGCCATCAGACGAAGAATCCATTCAGAACTCTTGCTGAGGGCCACAGAAGGAGACATCGGGGGGGATTGATTGACTTGTCTTTGTTGCGTGTGTTGATGGTCAGTGCATCGTGAGGATGCGGCGTCACGGCGTCGTCTGCACGTGTCTCGACAAGTTCTTCGCGTGCGACGTGAGCGGCATGGCCCGGTTTCTGCAGTGGAAAATGGCCCGGTTGGCTTGGCACAGCCCCAGCTGTTTGGCTGTAAACTAAACTATTATTTCATTTTACCAGGTAAGGCCCACTGAGCCATATAGTTCTTTTTCAGAAGCGACCTGGCCACAAACGATAGCTCAACGAAGTGGCTTATCACGTGCAAATTTATAGCAGCCAAATACTCTAAATGTACGTTTCTAAATGTGCAGGGAAAACCGTGGAGGACCCGGAGAAAAATCCATGCGACCATGGGCAGACAGAGACATGCACACTACAATTATACAGCTGGCGTCAGGGTCGGGATTGAATCCATGACCTCCTGTATACCGGGCGAGGTATTTAACATCTGGCCGCCGTGGCGCGCCCGGTTGTACAGCGAGCGGAAAAAGAAAAGCTTCTCACCTGCACGGGCAGTACCATGAGCGCCACGCAGATCATGATGACCACAAGCAGCTGGGACGGCCAGATCTTGGGCAGCACGTCACCAAATCCCACGGTGGAGAAGGTGACGATGCAGAAGTAGAGCGACCGGAAGAGGGAAATATTCTCGGCCGCTCTCTCCAGATGCTGGAAGCCGCAGATGCTGCTCGTGGCAGGCAAGGGCAGGGTCGGGGACGTCCGAGGGAGTTACGGTTCGGGGCCGAGTTGGCGGTGAAGGCGGCGGGGGGGGGGGGGGGGGACGAGACATCAAAAAGTTCGGTTCAGAGAAAGGAAAGCGATCGAAACGCGGGCAAGACGTCAATGGTGTAAGCAGCGGGAGAGATGTAACACTTGGGAGACAATAGAAACAGCTCAAGATCTAGTAGTAGGTTTTTACCCTTTAAACTGGTACAAAACTGACACCTTTATCATGATGACCACAAGCAGCTCAAGATCGTCAAGCTAATTTATGTTTTTGTGCAGGTAGAACCCACTGAGCTATGAGCAATTGTTTTGAGAAGCGACCTGGCCGCAAATGAGAGCTCAACAGAGTGGCTTAACACGTGGACATTATAGCAGTAGCCAAATAATTGTCGTCACGGCCCAAGCCATTGATGCCACCACACTTGCCGACGCTTCGTGCCCTCGACCAAAGCCAGCAGCGACTGCACAAGAGAGGCACGTGACCTCCAAGATGTGTCCTTACAGTATCGCACCGTTTGGTCTCTTGTCTTCTTGGTTATTTCGGTAAAGTCACGTAGAAGGGAAGTAATAAAATAATAAAAATAAATCATAATAAAATTATTTTATTTTATTATTATGTAGAAGGTAAGTAATAAAATAATAAAAATGAAACATAATAAAATAATTTATTTTGTTATGTTTTATTTTTATTATTAAAATAATAAAAATAAAACATAATAAAATAATAAAAATAAAACATAATAAAATAATTTTAATTTATTATGTTTTATTTTTATTATTTTATTACTTCCCTTCTACGTGACTTTACCGAAAGAACCAAGAAGATGAATCCCTGCAGTCACGAAAGCTTTAAATCGAAAAGTCTTCATCTTGGTCGCTGAACTCATGGGGCAGACTACTCCACTGTTTGTGTCTAAAACACAAACGCGTAATGCTTCAAGCATTCTGGCCGCTTCTTGCACACATTATGTAATTCACAGACGCACTTTTTGGTGAAGTGTGCTCGTTTGCTTAACTCAATGGAGCATCCCTATACCCCTACAGCATATGTGCTATCGTTATTCTGACAAAGAATAATTCGAAGTTGGCATTGGAGTAAACCAAATGGTAGACAGATGGTAGACCGTTATGCATTCATGTACAGAAAATTAGATACCAATGTCCCACAAAATAATGATGATACTTTAATTGCTTCTTAGGTAAATGGACAATTTACTGAGCTCTATTCAGCCAAGAAAGGCTTGTATTGTGTCTTAAGATGTCTGTGAGTTTGTCTTCCAAAATCGATCGCAGGCATAGCCATCCCATTGGCAAAACTACATTACGTAATCTCTCCCAGTGGTAACCACGGCTGAATAAGCGTGTGAGCGAGACAAAGAAAGCCAGTATCGCCGAGGCAAGCTGCTCACTCACACCTTGGGTGCGATACCGCATTGAGTCTATGCATACCGCAGCAATTCATATTGCGGTCAAAGAAAATGCCGCTCGCCATCTTGGCGATTTGTCTTTGTGTGTGTGTGTACGTTGAACTTCTTTTGCGCTGTACGGAGCCAAACGTGCTAATCGGAGGTGCTGGGGGGTGGGGAAGGACAACAAACTAAGCACAATAAGCAGTTGAAAAGCAATTCGTTTTTAATCTAGAATGAGTTTTCAATCTGTACAACGAATGTAATTTGCGAGCACAGATTGTTACTTACGTTTAGGGGCTACCCACCCACCTCGCGTGCCATGCCGCCCTTCATAGGTGCTCGCTAACAGCACTTGCCCCAACAGCCTGTTAAGGCTATATGGGGGGGGGGGGGCTTTGTCTGTGCGTAAAAATAGTAAGACGTTTATGGACATATTGATCGTTTCTGCTCAAATGGAAACTTAGGCTCACAAAACACTCAACGAATCATTAATGTGCGAATGGATAAAAACAAGTTTATGCTAATTAGATTAAAATAAATCTACTACATTAGGCTTATGGACTGAATAAAACTGGAGAAATTACACGAAAAAAATATTTTTAAAATATCGATTGCTGAACCAAATCCTGATGCTCTCTCAGGAAATTGTATTGAATCCCTTAAGAGTGATTCATGACATACCTAATATACCGCACATATAAACATTGTTTATATAGAAATGCAAAACGTTGTGTCTTCACTGTGACCAATCTCAACGCTTTAGACAAATTTCAAAATTAATAGTGTGAAGTTAGACCCAACCTCATCGCGCGCACACACACCTACCAGATCACAATATGCACCACCAACCTTTGCTTTCAAATACTGTGCATGGGGAAAAAAGTGCAATACAATTCAGTGAATATGGTATATATATAGAATGTGTTTCCCCATAACCGAGGGAGAAATGAGTTTACGCTCATCTCCATTGGTCGTCTCTGAGCCAGGCGTGGAAACTCCACATCCCTGCGGCAGAGATAAGTCTCTCCGTGTGACAACAACCGTCAAGCCTCTTCCAAAAGGTGGCAGTCATTGCACTGATGGATTAGCACAGAGTGCAAGTGGCTAGAATTCATAGAGTTCAGCAAGCTGAAGAACAAATCAGCCTCAACAGAAACGTCGAGGCATAGGCAGCGCCTGGCTGAATTTTGGTCAATTCAGAGCTGCGTCCGTGTCCCCACTAAAACGCAACGCGCGCTTCCCACCACCACCACCACCACCTCCTCCTGTGCGTCATGAGTGACTCACAATGTGAACATGAGGCAGAACAGTGTGCAGATCAGGATGAGCACCTGGTTAAACATTGCTGACTGCGTCCTCTGGATGGCTCTGTGCAGGTCATTCTGTGGGGACAAGAAGGAGGGAGGAGAAGGAGGAGGAAGACGAGACAGAGGGGATGAGAGGACACGGTGTGACTGTGTAGATCTAGGCGGTCATCCTGTATAGCTTGCAAACGTGTTTTCAGGTTGTACAGAACTTTCTATGAGTACTTTAAAATTGTATTCTTCTCCCGAACGCAGCAGAACACCATATCGGCTGGCACACATCTGGCAACACTATATAATCGAGTGAGAAAGTGACTGAACTAAAAACTATTTTTTTTTTTTACCAGGTAAGGCCCATTGAGCTATAGAGCTATTTTTCAGAAGCGACCTGGCAACAAATGATTGATTCTAGATTTGAAGCTTTTGTGACTGCAAGGATTCATACTCTTAGTTTTTTCGGTAAAGTCACGTAGGTAAAAAATGAAATTAAAATGAATAAAAATATTATTATTTTATTTTTATTAATTTTTATTTCGTGACTTTACCGAAAAAACTAAAAGTAACAAATGATTGCCCAAATAAGTGGCTCATCATGTGGAAATTCGTAGCAGCCAAATACTCTAAACGCACGTTTCTAAATGCGGAGGGAAAATTGGAGGATACGGATAAAAATCCACGCGACCACGGGGAGGGAGAACATGCAAACTCCAAAAATACAGGAGTGAGGGTCGCGATCGAACCCATATGACGAGGTAGTTAACTTCTCGCCACCACAGCGCCCAAGTGAGCTGCTCAGACCAGTGAAGGAAAAAAGTCCCGAGCACGTGGAGAAAGAAACGCCGGACCTCGTGGCGAACGACACGCGGCACAAACCCAACACACGCGCGACGGAGAGCTATGGGAGGGCGGGCACCGATCGCAGTGGTTGAAATGTTCGATTACGTAAACGCACCCGGCTTGCTCTTGGTCACGAGCAAAACAAAAGATAAATCGATGGCATTTTGCCGCTTTGGGAATTGCACGTTGCACCCCTTGGATGGAAGGTTATTGCGGAGTGCAAATTGTGCGGGAGAACGCGGCGGTGCAAAAGATAACTCGGGTAAATTTGGCCGTGGAGAACGATCGCATTAAATCTCGTAGGCGGTGTTAATGAGGGTTGGGGAGCATGCAGTGGTAGTGGCAATTGTTATTTCTTTTTATTGCTGAGTCCATCTATTGAGCATTAATCACAATACAATACACTTTGGAATTAACAGAGCATTACGGTTTGATTCCGGCAGGCCTGGACCCGATTATTGCCGTGGGTGCATTAACCATAGAATGAGTGTCGTTCACCGTGGATGTTAAAGATCCTGTGACATCATTCGAAATGAGTAGGCCGTTGTGTGCCAGCCTCGTGGTTCAAATTCTAAATAACGACCCGCAATTTGGATTACACAAATCAATCGCGTGTGTATGAATGTTGAACATCTTTCGCACCGTACGTAGCCAACCGTGCAAATTGGAGGTGCTGACAGACTAATGCCCAGTTGCATGCCGGTGCCTAGTCGCCTTGTACCCCATGAAAACAGCTACCACTGGGGGTACCCTTAAAATGTTTGAAATTAGATGCGATGACGCAAGGTGCTTGAAGTTGCCAGTGCGTTTAAGCACCACTTAAAAGTGAGGATTATTACAGGGGAAATAGCAGAACGTTCTGATCCCGTGCCCCTTTTGGGCATCGGTGAAAATTTGCTTTTATAGCTCATCGGATTCCTCCTGCAGTCAAAATATTCTGATCGTGGTATAGTCTAACTGCTTGCGTACATCTATGCTTAGACGTTAAATAACTTTCTGCACGGGGGATACACGCAGGTATGTCATCACACTGAGATGAGGCTGGTAAGTGCTGAGCTATTAAATAATACATTTTTCGCTTGGAAGAATGCAATGCCGTGCTTGACGAACACAGCAATCAGTGGCATGTGAAGAAGCACACAGCAACTCAAGGAGGGAGAACGTTGCTTAGAAACTGCAGAAACAAACAATGATTATGGATATGCTGCGCAGAGAGCAGCCACGCGTGAGTGCGTGCATGCACTCGGGTGGGCAGTGGTGGTGCAGCGGTTAGCGCGCTCCGCTATGAACCCGGCAACACGAGTTCGATTCCCGCTCACGGCCAACACTCGTGAAAATGTTGTCAACCGGTCCTTGGCATCCCCTCGGTCGACTCAACCTCAAATGAGAACCTGGTGTGGTGTGTAAACATCGCCACTGGGGAGACAAAGGCGGTCGGGCGTGGTGCTGGCCATACACTGCCTCGTATAACGTGCTGGCCTTCATAGGTGCTCGCTAACAGCACTTGCCCCTACAGTCTGTCAAAGGCTTCACGGGGGATCTTTGTGTTTTTTTGGACGAGTGTTTCTGCCATGGTACTATATATTGTACAGTATGAGGTCGACAGTAATCGTGTACTGTCCGAGTTGCACAATCTCGTGAAATAGTGATTACATTTTGCTCATTTGATATTTCTTAAATATTTTATCGCGTACCTAAATATTCGTATACATAATTTTGAAATAACAAATGTGCATAATTAGATTTCTACATCTGTGGCTATTCCCCATTGAAATGGTTAAGTGCAAGCGGTCTCGGGGAGTAGTTGACGACATGGTGGTTATCTACTCCGTTTTTAATAACTGAATGGACATGTATTACTGAGTTGTAGCATGCCATAAGGAAGACTATGGCTGGCTTATGTTGAGGAAACTGAGGTTAATTTATGTCATTGGAACCTCATTTGCCAGTAAAAAATCTAATTGTTTTTTTTTTTGCCAGATAGAAGGGTAAAAAAACAATTATCATAATTGTTTATGTCTCTGGAAGTACAAAAAAATACTATAAAAATGCTAGACGTAATTAGAGTGAAAACATGATATCACGCAGGCAGCAAGGGACATGAATATGGTTTACCCGCATTATAATTGGAACTGTATGCGTGTGTCTCCATGTCTCTGTGTGTCGCTGTGTCTGTGTATGTCTGTGTGTATCTCTGTCTCTCTGTGAGATTGTATTCTTATACGTGGGTGTCTGTGTGTCTCTGTCTCTGTGTGTCTCCGTGTGTGTGTCTCTGTGTGAGTCTCCGTCTCGGTGTGAGTCTCCATAAACTTGACCCGTGGTATATCCAAATCTAAGGTGTGATCATCTATGTTGTATTGGGCTTTTACTCCAAAAACTTACGAAAAACAGAGACGGGGATAATCTCCGTGAAATTGAACATAATTTCTCATCGTGGAAACAACGTCGTGGCAATTTATTTCGTCGTGCGCTGATGCGCGAGTGCATCACGAACGAACACTCACTATTAGGTTCTGAAGGGCAATCTTCGCCAGCCAGCAGTTGAGAAAAACTGGGATGAAAATGTTCCGAAGGTTTGCCCAAAAAATCTGCAAAGATAAAGAAAAAGCGTGAGGTTAAAACGCTCGGCGGACATAATGAAGCGCTGAGATTGTTGCCTGTCATCGCATAACCTGGGCTAGGTGGTCAGCAGAGGGCTATGTGCCAAAATCAACCGTTGCATTGTACTGTGTTGCAATGCCACTGCTCCCCGTATTCAACCAGCACTAACCAGCATTGGTGAAGAACTGCACTTTGTTTTACCAGGTAAGGCCCACTGAGCTATCCAGCTCTTTTACAGAAGCGACCTTGCCACCATCACAAATAATAGCTCAACCAAAGTGGCTTCTCGCGTGCAAAAGTGTGGTGGTCTTGATTGACACACACGCGCCACAACCAGGGGGAGGGGTAGAACCTGTCCGGACCGGTCGGGCCAACGGCGGTTGGAACCCCTCTGAGGGGAGGGGTCTGGCAGGAGCTACGACCCCCCAGAACCCCGCCCCTCAGGGAGAAAGAGTATATAAGGCGGGTCCCTGAGAGCGCGAGGCAGTCCGTCTCAAGCCGAAGCCAGAAGCCGCCTGAAGAAGAAGAAGACCCTGCACCCCAAGCCGCCGACGTCCTTCTAAGGGTCGGGGCTCAGTGCGGTGCCAGGGGTCGAAGGGTTAGGACCCTGAGGTTCCCTCGGCCTGATGCCATTGTGAGGGCCAGGTCCGGATGGGCCAGTGACCAGGGACCCACCGGGCCAGCGGTGGGTCAGCCTCCCCTAGGTCTAGCCAGCCGGAGGGCTGAAGTAGGGAGCATCGTAGGTACGATAGCCCGGAGGCTGTACCTCCCCAAGTTGTGGGTGAAAGGGGCCATTACCCCTTTGTGTTAGGGATTAGTGTAAACTGTTTGGTGAAATAAAACGTGTTGCCTCTACGAAGACTACGTCTCCCTCCAAGAACATTAGAAATGTATAGCAGCAGCCACACACTCTTTACAGATGTTGATTTTGATTTGAAATGTGGAGGGAGAAAAAAACTGAGAACCCGGAGAAAAAGTCACGCGACCACGAAGGAGATAGACACGTGTCAACCTGCACAATGTGGTGAGGCCCTCATCCAGCGGTGAATCGACAAAAAAGGGGCTGTTCTCCCATGTGAAACAACCTTAAAGATGTCAGGAGCATTTTTGGTCTTCGGGCCTTCAAATGCGGAGCACATGGACATCTCCTAACTTCACCACCCACCTTGTAGGAACTGAGTCTTTGAGCTGCAGTGAACCACTGATTATGCCTGATTACTAATGTCTGATATGGCTGTTGCGCTCACAATTGCATCCAATAAAGAAACATGTGAACCGCTGCTATTGTGAACTATAGCCAGTAACCGATACACAACACGGGCACCCAAGAGTTATGAGCTGATGAAGGCCAAATTGCCACTGTAGGTGGGCAGCCACAGCTGAGACACATCAGGCTAAACCAACTGCATTCCAAAATTGGCAATTTCCACTTCACTTTGTTAAACATGCATTTTATCGGACACTTTTAAAGCATTTTATAACTCTCATCTCGCCAGGATGCGGTGAATGATGGGCTGAGTTTAACCCAATTTGAGCTTTGCAACTGCAACATTTTGTCAGAGTAATTGCTCCGTTACATCACCACCCTGCCAGATTTGTTTTAAATATATAAAGTGGCCGATGATAGCCGCATCATGGATGGGTACATCCAGTGCTGAATAACAACCCTGAACAAAGTCTGGGGCACTTTTCCAGGAATTATTTTGTCACGTCACATCCATCTTGCCTTTTTTGTCCTCGTAAAAAAAAATCTAAAGCTGTTCATATTGAGTAAAGCAAACAGTGGAAGGAGACATTACAATGGAGACTTCACAGCGGATTCACTCCGCTGCTCCTTATGCAGTTATCTCCTTTGACCACCTGAATGTGAAATTGTAGTTGTTGCTCTGCATCTACATCGGCCATACAAAAGAAGAAGGAACATGTGGGGTCAAATAATGCAGGATTTGTATGGATAGGTCTACCTTGTACCCTAGTGGGAGTCCTGATAATTTCGACAAACTACCACAAATGTACACAAAGCACCACGAACTACCGCTAGTTTATCTCGAACGACGACAAAGCGCCACATACGATCGCATATTTACTGGCCCATTTACCATAAATACCGCACATTTGCAGCAAAGTACCTCAAAGGCCCCCAATCCACCTACCCCCCAGATGCCCACCCTCTCGTGCACTCTTCCATAGCCCCCCTTCACTCCCGTGGTCCCCGTACCCCACCCCGTATTTCCCAAGCCGTGCTGCACCCATGGAACCAGGCTCCTGCGTTGACCCCTCCCCATGCACCCTCATGTTCCCCGTGCCACGATGAAACGCGCGTTCTGATTGGCTGCAGCGCGTTTTAATATTGGCTGCAGCACATTCTGATTGGCTGCAGCGCATTTATCTGCAGCGCGTCCGATTGGCTGTAGCGACTTCTGATTGCCAGTACTGCATTCTGATTGGCTGCAGCGCGTTGATTTTGTGCAACGCATTGCCTGCAGAGCGCTCTGATTGGCTGTAGCATATTTTGATTGGCTCCCGCGTATTCTGATTGGCTGCCACGTATTCTGATTGGCTGTAGGGTTTGGGGGGGGGGCTATGACACCCCAATACATATGCGGGACTTTGCAGTAGTTTGCAGTACTCTGTGGTAATTAGTAGTAGTGCCCTGCTCTGATAAACCATACTCCAAGCCAGCCTTGGCATCTCGGAAAAAATCGATTGAGGAATGAAGCATTGCATAGTATACTCTTTGGGTCTTTCGGTAAAGCCACGTAGATAGAAAAATAATAAAAAATAATAAATATATCACGATGTTTGATCACAACACAAGCAATCGTCATCAGGTGAAAAAATACAGGAGAACTGCTGTATTATATATAACTATATTTTATATATTATATATTTTTCCTGCCTCAGCAGTTCTCCTGCTGTATTGTTTCACCTGATGACGATTGTTTGTTTTGCGATCGAAACGTCGTGAAATTTTTATTTTTAAAATAATTTTTATATCTACGTGGCATTACCGAAAGACCCAAAGAGTGTGAATTCCTGCAGTCACGAAAGCTTTAAGTCTTGCATAGCATGTTCGTGTCCGTGGTCTTGCCGCACGTACCGTGATGATGAATGGGACGGAGGTCGTGAGCTCCAGGATAAATGAGATGTGAAGGATTTGCTCCCAGATGTTTCCCTGGTCAAGTTCACAATTTTTCGGTCAGAATGTCAGAGGTCACACAGAAAAGCCATTCATTGATTTCTTGAAACTAAGACAAAATGAAAGATTATCTCGTTGTTTTCCTCGCTAACCCGAGCTGTCATTTTAAATCACGCATACAACCGTCAATTTAACTGGCATGAGCTGAAATGTCAATTACATTCACTTAAATTGTATTCCTATTCGTAAACAAGAAAACACATTCATATACACTTTCTATATATACACCCAGGGGGTTGACACAAACAAATAACGAAATGTAATAACAATGACACATTAATCGCTATACATTTCAACTCATTGACCGTGAAAAGGCTGGAATGTATTATTTAATAACCTCTAAAGTATGGGGTATATCATTAAGTATAGGTGCCAACAATGGAAATTTATGTAATTTAGTACACAGAAAAAGGTTTGATGTATAGTCATTTCCAAACACATCAGCTGGTTATGCAAGTCTCAAATTTAGTAAATGATTTTTTTTTATGTGGAATAGTTTAATTCACTATCAAAGAGAGAGAATGATTCAGTGGCACAGGGAACTACAGACAAGTGGGAAGGCAGCCAACATCGGCGCCAGCAATTGCCAAAGCTCAGTGGTCCTGTGTTTGGATGTTTGGCCAACTCCATTAATGAGTGGCTCTACATTGCTATTTAGTTCTTTCGGTAAAATCACGTAGGGATAAAATAAAATATTATTTTTTTCATTTTATTTTATACTGACGTGACTTTAATAAAAACTAAATAAAAAATGTATTTTAATTTAATTTTATACCTACATGACTTTACCGAAAGAACTAAAGAATATGGAACATTGCAGTCATGAAAACGTAAGATCTAAACTGGTTCTACATTGCAATTTATTCTCATTCTCGACACTTTATCCAGGCCAATTCAAAGTGTCTTCCTGCTCAAGAAGGCAATGATTTGACACTCATTGCTATTCTGTTGCTGGAATTTCAACATTTCCATGGTAGAGGCCTAGGCACTCCATGGGGAATGATTGCAGTTTATTTCCCACAGGGTAAGTACCCATTTTACCAACCTTGGAGGGATGATGGAATAAAGTAAATTTCCGACCGAGATTTGAACTCACAGATGTGTGACATAACGTTCTAATGACAGTGTCAACGACTCTGCTCAATGCCGCCACCATTGCATAGCTTTTAAAAATAATGTTTAAAAGTGACTTTGAAAGCTGGGATATGCCCAGTGTCATTTGGCGTTCATGATAATTAGACAGATGTTGCATCCAGACCATTAGCGTTGCCACGAACACGACTAATGAAGGGACCTTAAATAGGCAAATAATATCATATCTGCTTCAGAGCGTTTGGGCGCAGTGTGATTATAAGCTATGTGGATATTTACTAATATTTTTATTTTACCAGGTGAGGCCCACTGAGTTATACAGCTCTTTTTCAGAAGTGACCTGGCCAAAGATTATGTGGAAATGTATCGGAGCTAAATACTCTAAATGTGTGATTATGTGGAGGGAAAAACCGGAGGGCCCAGAGAAAAATCCACGGGGAGAACATGCAAACTCCCAATAGACAAGCGTCAGGGTCGGGATGGAACCCACGACCTCCTGTGTGCCAGGCGAGGTAGTTAACATCTCGCCACCGTGACAGTCCACTTGTCCTCTTTGCACCGCACGCCAATCAGTGGATACACCGTCACGCATGGCTCCTTAATGGGCTTCATAATTGCGGGCCGCAGCGAAGGTAATAAGCTCTGAGGGCAATGTTTGGCCGCAGTAATTGCTGATGTAAATGCGTGTCCGATGGCTGTGCCGCACAAGGGCGCGGGGAGAGTGTGGAGGTCAGATAACCTTGCCCGGACCGATCGTCAATAGGGCCATGACGTCTGAGCTTTGGCTTGTGATTATTTCCGTGTTTTATTTCCTCTTTTTTTTACCCTATTGAGCTATCGGCGTCACGGGAAGAAAAACACAATTCCAAACCAAGACTTTCAGTAAATGATGAGAAAACCCATCAATACCAGAGGAGAATGCGTACCAGTTGGACACTAATAGATTTAACAATAGGCAAAGGTCTGTTACTCACAAACAGCAGGAAGACACGACTCCCATCATCCCTTGCATGCATGTCATGTGACCGCCACATCGCATGTATAGTACAATGCTCTCAGAATCCATTTGGTCATATTGGAGAGATGTTTTTTTTTGTCTCGATATTTTTTTTGGTATTTGTTTTGCCAATTTTTTTTCTAGTTGTGCTCTCAGAATCATGTTACGAAATAAATTATCCGTTCGATAATGTCACAGAGCAATATTCCCTGTGGGTCAGCCAGCAGCCAGAGAATATTTTTTTTTCTTTTGTATTTACACAGTAAAAGTATGGTCACACCTAGATTTGAAGCTTTCGTGACTGCAAGGATTCATATTCTTGGGGTTTTTTTCGGTAAAGTCACGTAGGTAAAAATTTTAAATTTCAATTATTAAAAGTAAAATAAAAATAAAATCACGACGTTTCGAAGACGGAAGCTCGTGTTGCCTCCGAAACGTCGTTATTTTTATTTTTATTTTACGTTTATTAATTTTAATTTTTTACCTACGTGACTTTACCGAAAAAACCCAAGAATATGGTCACACCGCCTCCATGACCAACACGGTGTGGAGCGACCTTCATCCAGCAGTGCGTTTGCAACATGCTGTACACGTACACAACGCAGCGGGAGCATTTGTGTACGTGTGTACATTTGCAACGGCAGAAAACTAATGTTTATTTTTATTCTTCTTAAATCTCATAGCTGGAATATTCCGAAGCAAGCGCGAAACAACTATTCATTGTGTTTTTACAATCATTGGTGACTGGGGCTGACAATCGACTCGCTATACTTGAGAACTCGGTGTAATCGCATGAGGATGAGATCCGCATCTGAATGCAGGATCTCAGCAGTTCGACACCGTGACCTCTGTTATATATTTATTTCTGGTGGCGTAAACTTACCGAGCTGATTCGACACGAGCTTCTCCGCTGCCTCTTAGCAACAGCAATCCCATGGATAAGACGACTATATATATATAAACACTCTCCTCCCGTGAGCTGGGATTTGAATGAACCCTACAACGTATGAGTTTTAGGCACGTAAGCCGCAATCCCGTGACTGTAGATTCAAAAGATAACAATGTTGTGCCAGACTTATAGGGAACCCTGCCCTCTACCAAGCTAGCTTGATCTCAGTGCCAAATCTAAAACAAATCAAAATGGATTTTGCAGATGACAGTTTGTATATTGGCACGTGCACAATTTTTCTGAGAGATTTAAAATGGTATCATACATTTTTGTGATTATTAACAATAGGGCCACAAATTAATGGTCAAAGATAGTGGCATGATGAAAAGGATTCAGCTGGTGTGTGTGTGTTTATCATTCACTATCTTGTGTGTGTTTTTATTCACGATCTTGTGCCCTTTTGTTGGGTTCTCCTGCTTTGCGCGCTTTCAAATGCGCTCCTGCGGCCGTCTGGAACGCTCTTCCTTCGCATATTAGGAAGCCACTGGAGCCATGCACTTTTAAATAATCTCGATTGAACACTCATTTCTTTAGCAATGATTTTTGTGTTTAGTTTGTTATCCTTAGGCCCCCGTACACTTCCGATTCGCACGGTTGCCTACGTACTGTCGTGCGAAAGAAGTTCAACATACAGGCAGCCCTGCAAATCCTTTCTCACGGCCTTTACTACGACAGCCCTGAAGATACCCACGAGAGGGGCACTATTCATCTTCCTCTCTCGTGGGGGTCATTTTACAGCGGTGCCGTGAGCAAGAAAATGCAGGGCTGCACCTTTATTTGCCTTCATCTGGTTCGTGTAAAATGTTGCATTCAGCTAAGCATGACCTGACCCTGCAGCCTTCCTGCTTTGCAATGAACCTTCTAACTTGTTAAAGGCCACTGAAAATTAACATACTTTTTTGGTTCGTGAATAATAAATATATTATACTTCGAGTTACATGTTTGCTTAACGTCACTCCGATCCGGGGAGTATTAGGATTGTCAGCGTGACACACTGCTAAGCGCACACCTTGTAATTGAGGTACATTAGAAGCAAAGTCTCCGTGAAGCTGATGATCGCCAGGAACACCTAGTGAAAAAAAATACAGAATCGTAGTTAGAAAGTGGACAGAGACAAAGACACCCCATATAGCCTTAACAGACATATGGGGCAAGTGTTGTCAGCAAGCACTTATGAAGGCCGGAACGGTACACGAGAGGATTGGCTACGTCCAGTCAGGAAGAAGTTCAACATACATACATACAATTGCCAATGTTGATCAGCAAACCTCGAACAAAAACTGACAAAACATATTTAATGAAAACAAACATGAACAATAACAAGCGTTTAAAATGTGATACTGTAACAATGCTAATGAGAATTTGGAGGTGCCTTACCTGACAGGCCCATAGCGGAGTACTTCTGTTGACCCATATAATGGATGTCCTATACAGCAACACATCGTAACACAGGAGCACAACGTGAATTACATTTTAATATTACCCCACGAAGATTGAAAGCGTTCATGCATTAGCAGTGATGGTCCAATGTGAGTGGAACTTTAATACATACTGTACAGTAGTTATGTTGCTATAATAGACTCATCATACAATATTTTTTTTAATCAAACATGGTTGCCCGCATGGGAGCGATTTGCAAATTTGAAAATATGTTTTACCCTGGCAATTTACCCAATGGCTTTTGTACTGCAAGCTAAATACTTCCGAAAACAAAACACCCATTGGAAAGCATTGCAGAATCCATTCATGCTAATGGTTTTCCTTGATTTGTTTACAAGATAATTTTTTCCAGAAAACAAAAAACGAGCACATTATCATCATTTGGAGGCGCACCTCCATTTACGCACGGTGCAAAAGACATTCAACATACATTCAACGTACATACATACATTGGCACGGGCGCCTGAGATAGTAACTTAACGAAATACTTAACATTACACGGTGCTTTGTCACTCCACTGCTGGATAAAGACCTCCCAATGCTGTCCTGGTCATGAGAGTTATTTGACCAAGCCTCATCGCGTCGCTTGCTGTGTGTAGATGTAGGTGGGTGGCTGTGTGTAGGTGAAGGTGTTGGCTGTGTGTAGGTGAAGGTGGGTGGCTGTGTGTGGGTGAAGGTGGGTGGCTGTGTGTAGGTGAAGGTGGCTGTGTGTAGGTGAAGGTGGCTGTGTGTGGGTGAAGGTGGGTGGCTGTGTGTAGGTGAAGGTGGTTGGCTGTGTGTAGGTGAAGGTGGGTGGCTGTGTGTAGGTGAAGGTGGGTGACTGTGTGTAGGTGAAGGTGGGTGGCTGTGTGTAGGTGAAGGTGGGTGGCTGTGTGTAGGTGAAGGTGGGTGACTGTGTGTAGGTGAAGGTGGGTGGCTGTGTGTAGGTGAAGGTGGGTGGCTGTGTGTAGGTGAAGGTGGCTGTGTGTAGGTGAAGGTGGCTGTGTGGGTGAAGGTGGGTGGCTGTGTGTGGGTGAAGGTGGGTGGCTGTGTGTAGGTGAAGGTGGCTGTGTGTGGGTGAAGGTTGCTGTGTGTAGGTGAAGGTGGGTGGCTGTGTGTGGGTGAAGGTGGGTGGCTGTGTGTAGGTGAAGGTGGGTGACTGTGTGTAGGTGTAGGTGGGTGGCTGTGTGTAGGTGAAGGTGGGTGGCTGTGTGTAGGTGAAGGTGGGTGGCTGTGTGTAGGTGAAGGTGGGTGGCTGTGTGTAGGTGAAGGTGGCTGTGTGTAGGTGAAGGTGGCTGTGTGTGGGTGAAGGTTGCTGTGTGTAGGTGAAGGTGGGTGGCTGTGTGTGGGTGAAGGTGGGTGGCTGTGTGTAGGTGAAGGTGGGTGGCTGTGTGTAGGTGTAGGTGGGTGGCTGTGTGTAGGTGAAGGTGGGTGGCTGTGTAGGTGAAGGTGGGTGGCTGTGTGTAGGTGAAGGTGGGTGGCTGTGTGTAGGTGTAGGTGGGTGGCTGTGTGTAGGTGAAGGTGGGTGACTGTGTGTAGGTGAAGGTGGGTGGCTGTGTGTAGGTGTAGGTGGGTGGCTGTGTGTAGGTGAAGGTGGGTGGCTGTGTGTAGGTGAAGGTGGGTGGCTGTGTGTAGGTGAAGGTGGGTGGCTGTGTGTAGGTGAAAGTGGGTGGCTGTGTGTAGGTGAAGGTGGGTGGCTGTGTGTAGGTGAAGGTGGGTGGCTGTGTGTAGGTGAAGGTGGGTGGCTGTGTGTAGGTGAAGGTGGGTGGCCGTGTGTAGGTGAAGGTGGGTGGCTGTGTGTAGGTGAAGGTGGGTGGCTGTGTGTAGGTGAAGGTGGCTGTGTGTAGGTGAAGGTGGGTGGCTGTGTGTAGGTGAAGGTGGGTGGCTGTGTGTAGGTGAAGGTGGCTGTGTGTGGGTGAAGGTTGCTGTGTGTAGGTGAAGGTGGGTGGCTGTGTGTGGGTGAAGGTGGGTGGCTGTGTGTAGGTGAAGGTGACTGTGTGTAGGTGAAGGTGGGTTGCATCGATGCGGGAGCATTAAAGTTCCGCACAATGTACAAAGATAGATTCTCCCGCACCATCCTCTGCTGCCTGCCCAAAACGTAGCCCCACAGCAGCGGAGGCCCTGGACCAGTTCAGGTATCACGTGCCACTCATACTCACCCTGGTCAGGTATTAAACTTAGAATGCTGCAAAGTTGGTACGGCGGTGCGCTAACAACTGTGCCGCTGCTCCTCCCAGCAACGAAATACGTGGCACGAAACCCAATTTTATTTCAGAATAATTGTTATTTTTAGACATTCGCACAAGTGATGGCGCACAAAACCGAAAAAAGGAATCGTCCTTGTAATTTAAAAAAGACGGATAAATGTGCTCACCAATCAATGTTTTCCGGTTGTCGTGATGTGTTGTTTCCTTTCAGGCCGTGCAGGCTGACAACGAACGAAAGGGAAGAACCAAAGAGTGGGGGAAAAAAGATTAAACATCAACGTGGCCATGCGGAGTTTAAGAAGAGGAGCGATGTGTTTTGGAACACAGCGCACAATAAGAGGATGCATGAATAGCTCCTCACCAAAGCCAATAGAGCCACTTTTCTACTTGTGCCAGCAATTCAAACTGACTGCCTGGCGCGGCTGCTGTTATATAATGTTTTACGATTAGGTAAGATTCAAAAATCTAATTTCGGAAAATTGCATTTTTGCAATATTAGTGCCCATTGCATTGGTTTTCTGCATGACTTGAACGTTTTTGAACTGCAGTTAAATCAACATAAACCTGACAAAAGGAATGATGATGATAATAATTGCACTATATAGCGATTATAATGCACATGCTGCCAGTCATACAACCAAACAAGTAACTGAAAATGAAAATTCTGACATTATAATTGCTATTCTGACAACTAAAAAGTGTTTTGCAAAGCACTCGTTTAATAGATAGTGGCTACATATTTACAACTTGCAATTATCCTGTATGTTAGTTCACACATTTCTTGTCCGAAATAAAATGTTTAAACAAAAGCAAAATGAGCAAAGATCAACCACGATGTAATTATGTGTAGCCAAACGAACAATACGACAGTCGTGTACCTTATATCGTACAATATATTGAACCATCATAATATCACCGTGTTGCACTGGCAACATTTATCAGCGTGAAGGACAAGCCTGAACAACCCTTTAAACTGGAGAGATGTTAACTAACTCGCCGAGTATACAGGAGGTTGTGGGTTCAATCCCAAACCTGACGTCTGTATATTTGGAATTTGCATGTCTCTCTTTCATTTTTCTCCAGGTCCTCTGGTTTTTTCCCTCTGCATTTTTTAAAACGTGAGTTTAGAGTATTTGGCTGCTGTACATTTCCACACGAAAAGCCACTTCGTTGAGCTATCATTTGTGGCCAAGTCGCTCCTGAAAAAAAGAGTTTCATAGCTCAGTGGGCCTTACCTGATAAAATAAAAATAAATGTTTAAATAGTTTGTAATCATGATAATGAAAACCCTGGTAAGTGACCTGAACCCTGGACAGCAACAGCAGTGATGAGAATGGGGAGAAGATTGTTGTGAAAACATCACAGATAACCACGACGAAAATAATGATGATATAATGCAATGAGGAAAAATGGCCTTGAGTTTGTATACCTCGCTGCATTAAGAACTCCACCCCAAGGCGCACAGTCGAATATTTTCTCCACAAATCTGGCTGCTATCGCCTGATGAAGCTAGTTACTGGCGAAACGTCCTACTCAGATTGTAAATGTTGTGGCTTTGCTATCCAACAAACAGGTGTGCTGTAGCTGTAACGAATTGGCATGTTCTGTTTTCGTGATAAACCATACTGATTGGCTGTGTCGGGTGGTGGCGGGTTTAACGACACATTTAGATATTTACGTAAAACCCCATGTGTTAAATCGAATATTTTAATTATATATTTTTTGCAATCGCTGATCCTTGGGTTGCATTGATGGCCAGTGGTGTATATTATTACAAAAGGGTACCATATACATGTTTTGTTTTGCAAGACTCAGCCCAAAAAAGACGATGATTTTGTGGTGGGGGGGGACATATTAAGAGCAATTGTCACGAGTTAGTGTGATGTGACGGCGGTGAGCTTGCCCAACGTGAACTGTCAGTGTTGAACCACAGCTTCAAGGAGTGTGGGTGTCGATGATATGGTCTCAGCAGGAAGCGGGACAGTCGCGTTCCATTTGCTGCCGCTCAAATAATCCCATTGTTCAATTTGCGGCAGGGGACAGATGCGGTGAACACTTATTGAATTATTGCAGTGGCTGGCGGGTATTGCGACACTCAGGGGCCCATTGTGTCGAGGCTATAAAATACAGCAAAGCAACAGAAAGAGTTGAGAATGTGCCGGACAGCGCGGGTGCTTAAAGCACTTGCTGTGCCGTCTGCGTTCCACGTTTCTCTGCCATGCATCTGGCAATAGCGTTGTGCCTGTGCACACCGCGCGCATCTTTAACTACGACGACGTTAAATTTCGATTTAAAGCTTTCGTGACTGCAGGGTTTCATCTTCTTGGTTCTTTCGGTAAAGTCACGTAGAAGGGAAATAAAAAAAAATGAAACACAACAAAATAATAATTATTATTTCCCTTCTAAGTGACTTTACCGAAAGAACCAAGAATATACAACGACGTTAAGTTGATGATTCTGTTCACGCAGTTCACAAGGATTTACCGGCCTTGTGTGGTTGCGGCATTGATCACTTCCCATGAGGCTTCATAGGACCCCTGCCGATGGATGAGCAACGCGCTTGGGAGGGTGGTGAGATGTTATCACTGGTGCATTGCATGTACTGGAGGGTGGCGATGTTATCTCCAAAGCATCGCGTGGTGGCGGTGCTGCTGCAATTGGGCCAATTGCGTCCGAGGGATGCGTAATGTGGAAGGGCTCGCTTGCTTGTCGTCACATTTGGAGAGATCCCCCGCAGGACGAGCAACTCAAAAAAACAATGCAGTTGCAAAAAGTCCTGCCATTGACATTTGTGCCCAAGCTTGTTGATTTGGCAGCAGGAGGTGGCAATCGGAATTTTTTATTTAGACTACAGGAGGGATCTGACGAGCTAAGAAGATGTTTTTTTTAACAGATGCTCAGTAGGGCACGGGTCGGCAAGATGCAACGACAGTCGGGTCTGTTCACCCACTTCACCCTGGATAATTGAAAGTATTTGCAGAATAACCGTTTAACCTGTGGTCTGGAACCAGGGTTTTTTAGATGGCCACGCCGGGATATTTGGAAGAGAACCGGGTTTGCTGACCCCTCCCACCCCCAAGATAAACAAATACGATGAAAGACGTGGACACTCACGCCATGCACCCGCCGCGACGACATCGCCGCCGCTCCTTTTTCGAACGTCACTGGATCGTTCGTGTCCACTGCACAGCAGATGGTGCGTATTCGTGGTTTAACACCCGCGCAGTAATAACCGGAGGTGGTGGGGGTGGGGGGTAACCGGGCGGGCTTGAACTGCAAACCTCTGCGACAAGCGGCAACAAACGCTCGGCCCCACATCGCCAACCCCCCCCACCTCCCCAATGGCGGAGGATCCGAGCCCAGACCGCGGGCAGAGTGGAGGCGAGACGAGTGAATGGGAGCGGGCAAAGAAATAATATCGCCCCCTGTGCTGTGCCCGGAGCCAACCGGGAGACTTGCTGCTGCTGCTGCTGCGAGTTCCAATGCAACCGGTAGCGCTGTCACCCACTGAACGACAACGCCTTCCTTACCAGTCGCTTTCCTGGTGCTCATCTCTGTCCTGGTGCGGATTGTCCAGCCCCACGCGCACCATGTACAGGATGCAGGAGATGAACTTGAGGGCAAGCGTGAAGAGGCGAATTCTCAAACCTGTGAAGCGGAGGCAGATAACACTGGTCAACACACTTTTTTTTGGCATAAGGTATTCCAACTGTTTTAAGGCAATTTTGGGGTGCTGATTCCAAATCTGGCATCAGTTTTTGCCTATCACATTAGGTTTTTGAGATATAAAATATTGCATCTTCAATAAAAACTGCAGAAGAAAAATATTAAATAAATGTGGGTATCTACATAAAATTATATTATAAACACACTATCCTAAAAATATAGCACCATATTTTAACACTAAAGCAGTCACTGACTCGCAACAACTTGCAATCATAAGTGACAAAGTAAATTTCTGGTAAAATCAATGAAAATGGGGTATGCCGATAGCATAAAAATGAGATGTGATAGAGCAAATCTGAGATCAGATTTGGAATCAGCACCCTGAAATTAGTCTAAAACAGCTGCAAAAGTCCAGGCCAGAATTTTTTTTGTTGACCAGTGTAATTCCACTTAGTGTCATCGCACTGCGGAATATTGTTATATCTTGCTGAGTTTATTTTATTTTTTACACATTTTTATTGCAATTGTTTTTTAATCGTCATGACCCCAATGATGGCGGCGCACACAGTTGCAGCAGCTCAGTATCTACCCGGTCGGTGCCTTGTATGGTTGTTTATGTTCGCGTTATGTCTTGTTTTGTGTTCATTTTGTCGGGCGAGTAACATCTTTAGCCGGCACGATCTCCTTAAGATCGGACTATGTTACGATCGGAGTGTTACAAGCGAGTTTCACCGTCTTCACAAGATTCCAGTGGAGTTAGCGAGGAGGCCCGGCTCTCCGTGGATTATCATCCCGGCGGGGAGGAGGCGAAGGCGGCGTAGAGAGAGAAGACGGAGGCGAGGCTGCAGGGCCGGTGCGCTAGCCAGGCTACGGAGGCAGCCACTCAAACCACCGCTACCCAGCCTATTTCTCACGAACGCCAGATCCATCGCGAACAAAATGGATGAATTGAGGCTACAGACTACAGCGAGCAACGTAGTGAAGGACAGCTGCATTCTGCTTTTCACAGAAACCTGGCTTCATTCATCCATCCCGGACTCTGCTATTGAGCTTGCAGGCTACACAGCACAGCGCCAGGACAGAACAGTAGATTCTGGTAAGAGCAGAGGAGGGGGGCTCTGTGTGTACGTGAATAAGAGCTGGTGTACTAACACTGTGACTGTAGACAGCCACTGCTCCCCAGATCTGGAGTATGTGACTGTTAAATGCAGGCCGATTTACCTCCCAAGAGAGTTTACTGTGGTCATGATAACTGCTGTTTACATCCCACCGGATGCTAATGCTAACTCAGCTATTGGACTTTTACATGGCAGCATTAGCATTCAGCAGAGCAAGTATCCTGACGCTGTGCTGATTATAGCAGGGGATTTCAACCATGCAGACTTAAAAGCAGCACTCCCTAAATTCCACCAGCATGTTAAGTGTGCTACTAGGGGAACTAAGATTCTGGACAAGGTCTACACCAACATCAAACTAGGCTACAGGGCTAGACCACTACCGCACGTGGGCCAGTCTGACCATTTGTCCCTGCTTTTGATCCCTGCATACGCCCCCATCAAGAAAACGGCTCCTACCATCACAAAAACTGTCGCCATCTGGCCTGAGGGTGCCACCCAGCAGCTGCAGGACTGCTTTGATAGGACCGACTGGGGGGTCTTCGAATATCAGGACCTGGAGGTGTTCACATATAGTGTATTGTGCTACATTAAAAACTGCATAGACACTGTCACTGTGGACAAACGCGTTCGGGTTTACCCCAACCAGAAGCCCTGGATGACCCGGGAGGTCCAGCAACTGCTGAAGGAGAGGAATATCGCCTTCAACTCCGGAGACAAAGCTCTCTACAGTACAGCCCGAGCTAACCTGAAGAGAGGCATTCGCAAGGCCAAAGCAGACTACAGGAGGAGGATTGAGGAACGCCTGGACAGTCACGACAGCAGGCAGGTGTGGCAGGGAGTCCAGCACCTCACCAACTACAGGGCCAACCGCGGAGCTGCTGATGGTGACAACGCTCTGGCAAAGGAATTGAACCTCTTCTTTGCCCGCTTTGAGGTGACACCACAAGGGACAGCATCACCAAACCTCACGGTCCACAGCAGCTTAAACCTCACAGTAGAGGAGCATGAGGTGAGGCGCACGCTGCGGGCCGTCAACCCGAGGAAGGCTGCGGGACCTGATGGCGTCCCGGGACGTGTGCTGAGGGACTGTGCTGACGAGCTGGCTGGAGTCTTCACAAGGATTTTCAACCTGTCTCTGGAACAGTCCACCGTACCAACCTGCCTAAAGTCCTCCACCATAGTCCCGCTGCCCAAAAAAACCCACATTTGCAGCTACAACGAATACCGGCCAGTAGCACTCACGCCAGTGGTGATGAAGTGCTTTGAAAAACTGGTCCGGAGTCACATCATAGGAAGCTTGCCCCGAAACCTTGACCCCCACCAGTTTGCCTACAAAGCGAACCGATCCACGGAGGACGCCGTGGCCACAGCACTACATGCTGCACTGTCACACCTGGAACAGCAGGGGAGCTATGTGCGGATGCTCTTCGTGGATTACAGTTCCGCGTTCAACACCATCCTCCCACACAAACTGGTGGAAAAACTGGGCGACCTGGGGATTCCACATTCCACCTGCATGTGGATATATAGTTTCCTCTCGGGCCGCAGACAGAGGGTTAGAGTGGGCCGTCATACATCCACAGCCCTGAGCCTCAGTACCGGCTCCCCCCAGGGCTGTGTACTGAGCCCCCTGCTCTACTCCCTCTACACACATGACTGTGCCGCCGTCCACCATAGCAACACCATTGTGAAGTTTGCTGATGACACCACAGTTGTGGGGCTCATCTCTGGGGGGGATGAGTCTGCCTACAGGGACGAGGTGGAGCGGCTGACAGCATACTGCAGGGGTAACAACCTGCTCCTTAACACCGCAAAGACCAAGGAGCTCATAATAGACTACAGGAGAAAGAAAACGGACACTCCACCACTAATCATCAGCGGGGACTGTGTGGAGAGGGTGGCAGATTTCTGCTTCCTGGGAGTCCACATTGGGGAGGGCCTGACCTGGAGCGCCAACAGCACTGAGCTTCTGAAAAAGGCCCAGCAGAGACTTTACTTCCTGAGAATTCTCAGGAATAATAACATCACACAGAAACTGCTGGTGTCCTTCTACCGAGCCTCCATCGAGAGCATTCTTACATACTGCATATGTGTATGGTACACCAGCTGCACAGTGGCTCAGAGGAAAGCGCTCCAGAGGGTCATCAACACAGCCCAAAAGATCGCCGGCTGCCATCTCCCCACACTGGAAGAACTACACAGTTTACGTTGCATCAAAAAAGCACAGAACATTATAAAGGACTCTTCTCACCCTGGACACTCACTGTTTGAGCTGTTGCCATCAGGCAGACGATTCAGATCAGTCAAAACAAGGACAAACAGATTCAAACAGAGCTTTTATCCTACAGCGATCACCACACTCAATAATGCTAATTAATTATTAAGTAATAGCGTTTACAATTGACTGTGAAATAGAGATGTGCAATGACAAAATGTAACCTTATGTGGGTATGTGGGTATACTTGGGCTGTTTTTATATATAGTATAAATTGATTATCTTTCATTAAATTTTATTTGTATTTTCTTGTTTTATTTAATTTAAATTTATGAATGAGGCCCTGACTGGTGAGCATTTTAAATTTCGTTGTACTGGTGACAATGACAATAAACGATCTATCTATATCTATCTATTCAGTCGAAATTGCCCTTTGGAACTCCCACACTTGAGCAGTGCACCACCCTGAGTCAGAGAACGGCTCCAAACAATGAGCTTGTTTGTACAACTACTTCTAAAGTCACTACAATGGGCCCCTTCACTGATCTTGATGAATATTTCTCATTTACACTATTGCCGTTCTGCATTGATTTAGTTTTATTTTTTTTCTCTCCCCTCGCTGCAGATAGTTTTATTCCTTTTAGTCATTTCGGTGAGCCAGCTCCCTTGCAAAAAAACACACTCTCCTGGTTCCTTGAGTTGTATGTATGTATGTTGAACTTCTTTCGTGCCATGCATAGTCAACCGTGCTAATCGGAGGTGTGATCGGGGATGGACAGAGTTTACACCAGGTTAAATAAAAATAAACCGACTAATTAACCCACGCTGCGAGTACAACTCATAAACGGGCTTCACAGAATGTTCAATGATACTGAACTATTTTATGTTTACATGGGTCTACAAGTAGGGGATGATGACTGCTACGTAACCTGTGGTCCCAATTGAAGGACTTGCGGGTAAAATTTTAAATTGGGCAAAGAAATTCGACCCTGACGCATTTGAAACAAACACAACCAGGACCTTGCCAATGCCACGGGAAAACACGTGCAAGTTTAGAGTGGTTGAGATTCGTTCAATTATTTTTATATGCTTACATGACCAAGTGTGTGTGTGTGTGCGCGTGTGTGGTTTCACTACCCTAGCTCAAACCCCCCGTCTAATGTTAACTTTTAATAATCAATTATCCCTTCATGGACACATTGGACACACGCATTACATGCAATCGTAGCTCGTTCATTGTTTTGTTGCTTTGAAAAAATACATCGCGATTTTGAAAATTTAATTTCAAAAAAGCCTTCATATTTTTGCTCCTCTCACTCATTTTGGTCTTAAATGCATCGGCGCTGTAATGTACAAATACGCTTTTCCCATTTTTGGTTCCCAAATTGGAATTCAATTGTGTAGATGATTATGTCAGCCGTGAAATGAAGTCATTCATTGTCGGAACATTTTAATAGACCACAAAGGCAGTGCTGTCCATCAATCTGGAAATGCAGTTTTGTCCACTTACGCTTTGCCACAAACAAAAAATATTAACCCTTTCAAAGAACTGACCTTTTCTATAAACATTCTTCGTGTAAAAAAAGACAGTGGCTATACATTGCATCGGACATACGGTGGCGCTCTCCTCTTACATGCAGCCCTGGGTGAGTGGTGTACATTCCACATTCCTATGGCGGGGCCAGGTACTTTAGCTGCTACATAATTAGTGATTGGTGAAATAATGCCAGTGAAAGGTAATACGGGACACCTCTGATCCATGATGATGTGTGGGAACATCACGAATCCTTTTTAACACGTAGGCTTTCGCGACCAATATCATCCATAATAGAGGGTTTGTTTGGGTTAGATCGCGTAAATATATAAATGTGTCATTGAAACCCGCCGCCACCCGACACAGCCAACTAGTAAGGGTTGTCACGTAAACAGAACGTGGCCAATTCGTCACTAGTACAGCACTAGTGAGTAGTGTATAGTGTAGTGTATAGTGTAGTGTATAATGTACTATACTAGTACAGCACACCGATGTGTTGGAGAGCCAAGCCACAACATTTACAGTCTGAGTACGAAGTTTTGCCAGGAATTACAACTAACTTCATCAGGCGACAGCCAATTCTGGCTTCTATTATGGATCACAAATCTTATTAGCTGTGGGGATTATCCGAGAATTTACTCCATGAGAAAAAAAAGAGGCAGATAATAGGAATAATAGGGCCTCGGAAATGGGAATGTTTGGGGACCCCTACAACTCCCTCGGATAATAGGGAGTCACGGATAATAGGGTTGCGGATACGAGGAGTGCTGCTGTGTTGAGTGCGTCTTTGAGAGATCATTTGTCGGTGCCGATGCCGTGGCGTTCGCGCGCGAGGTGCTTCGCCCGGACGTGCTCACTTGATCTTTGGTTTTTGATGAAGAAAAGCTTGAGTCGCTCCTTCACCATTTGCTCGTCGACGTAAAATTCCACCTGCACCCTGTCCGTTTTGGGGACAGGCAGGCACAAAACAACAACAAAAACGAAACGCGATTCAAGTCTCGGTTGAATTCCAGGAACTAGTAGCCTTCCGATGAGCTGAAGAAAAACGGCGGTGATTGTTTCGCAAATACGGCGGGCAAATGTCTCCCCGTCGGACTTGTATGGAGCCAGGGCAGTCTTTTTTTTAGTGGAAGGCAGAAATGTGGCCAACATCAACACCAAGCCTGACCACCTTTGTCTCCCCAGGTGCGATGTTTACAGGGTGCACACGTGCGAATTTAAGGCTGCTGCACTCAAACGGAAGGCCGGGTTCAGAAGCCATATGCCAATGTAGTGCGTGGCCAAAATAGAACTGAGCTCAGTGGGGTCATGTCACAGTCTCATGTCGACTGCAACCAAAGACGAACATCCCCTGTTATCGTCTGAATAGGCTGTTGGAGCAAGTGCGATTAGCAGGAACCTATTAGGGCAGGAATGTCACACAAGGGGACTGTGGTAAGCACATTGCCTGACTGTCTTACTCTCCCCATTGCTGCCACTTTGCAAACCGTACCAGCTACTCATTTTGAGGTTGAGTTGACCCTGGGGAAGGCCCAGGACCTGTTCAAATGTCACTCGACACTGGCGTTGTCCGTGGCTCGTGATCGAACTCAAGTTGCTGGATTCGTGAGCGCAGTGCGTGAACAACTGCGTCAGGCCTCCGACACTGATCACTGCTCAGGAGGTCGACCTCCCCATAGCGGTCACGGAGGTCGTTTGTGGGGAGCGGTGGTGCAGCGGTTAGCGCTACGCTGCGCTACGAACCTGGCGACGCGGGTTCGATTCCCGAACACGGCCAACACCGGTGACGATTATCTGAACTGGTTCTGGGCCTCCCCTAGGTCGACTCAGCCTCAAATAAGTACCTGGTGCGGTGTGTTAACATCGTCGCTGGAGAGAGAAAGGCGGCCGGGCGTGGTGTTGGCCACCAACCCAATTGTGTGCCGTGCCGGCCTTCATAGGTGCTCGCTAACAGCACTTGCCCCAACAGTCTGTTAAGGCTATAGGGGGATATTTGTATTTGTGTTGAGGTTCTTTCACACCGTACGTAGCCAACCGTGCTAATCGGAGGTGCGTGGGGGGGGGGGGGAGGACGACAAACTAACACACAGAGAGTGGTTGTAATGAAATGCGTTTTCAGTCAAGATTTAAAAGTGCAAAGGGGGGATGCAGGGCCGGTTAAGATATCACTCGTCCTCTGGTTTGTAGCGCAGTGCAATGCATTAGCCACTTGCCACTCCCCACAAACATAAACCACCGCACTGCAAACGCACACAAAGGAAATTCACAGAGAACAGGAAATGTATTCCTTGTTGCCTCTGTCAGATTGACTAATTCTCGCATTTCCACCTCGCTATAGACAACATGCGCTGTGTGCATGAAGTGCTCTCAGTGCTCGCAAAAAAACGCAACCAAGACAATGTTAATTTAAATTAATGGGGAGAGTCGGAGCAGTGTTCAATTAAGTGACCGAAATAAAAGCCCTCAAATATTAATGCAAATTTAAGTCCATCAGTGTGCTCTTTGTCAGCCTGAGAAATTAGTGGCTCTTGGCCGTGCACGTTTACTTACAATACATTTGAGGAAATGCGCTTTGCGCCGAGATTGGATTTCGCTCGCCGATGGCTGTCCAGCTCCATTTATGAAACGCCGCGGCGAGACCACGCACACCGTGTCCTGTGCACTTCTGCGTGCGTTTCAGTGGCCGCGCTGTGCAGCTCTCCGATGTGTTTTCGGGGGTTGTGCCTCGTATTGCTCGGCACAACGTCCGACGTTTCGCTCCCAAGTGCCATAAGCTCCTACCAGAACTGAATAGACTTTGCTCGCTTTCTCCCCCGATTCTAAGCAGCTGCTTGCCGGTGCTGTCGGTGATTGACGCTGATCGGCTCTTTGAAGGGCAGCCATTGCTGTTGTAATGAAATAATGAAAAAAATTAACCCGTAAAAAATAAGTTTTTCACTATAAATCCTTTATATGCGTGGCGGCTAGAGTCCTCTCGTCCTCTGGCTTGAGATGGTTGCCACCTATGGGTCAGATGATTGCTTGCCACCATTAAGCAATTGGTAATTAAATATAATTTCTTTTTTCCTAAAAAGTGTAACATTTTTTGAAAAAAAATTCACGAAAATACATTGTCAAGCACAACGAGTCTGTGTGCAAAATGTCAGCTCGATTGGATAACGGGAAGTGGGTTAAAAAACGACCGAAATATTTGCACGGTCGTAAGCGCAAGCAAGCAAGCAAGTGAACTTAATATAAAGGATTTAAAAACCACGACGTTTCGATCGCAACACAAGCGGTCGTCATCAGGAAAAAGGGGTTAGCCTATCCAATCAAAACCATCACCTTGCCATACATAGCAGTGGTAACCAAAAATATTTCCCAAATCATGAACAAACACAAGATGCAGGTCCGATTTAACACAGTACATCAAATGTGTGATCTGATCCCATCTGTGAAGGACAAGATCCCTAACATGCAATATCCCAGCGTCTACAAACTAAGCTTCATCTGCGGCAGCAGTTACATTGGGGAAACTAAGCGACATATCTCGGACCGTGTTCGTGAGCATAAGGCAGATCTGAAACACGGAAGGACCAATACTTCTGCCGTGGCTGATTATTATTTTCATGCGACTGGCTCACGTAAAATTTATTTCTCTAAGACGAAGGTCCTTTGCAAAACCTTTGGCTATCCACAAATATTCGTTCATGAAGCCATCCATATATACAGATGTAGAGGAGTAGTGGAGAGTGGTGGCGTCGTGTGCGCTGTCCGGTGCGGTGACCTCACGGGACGTGGGGTCGCACGCGCTGGGCAGTGCACGTGACATCACCCCTCCGAGGGTATATAAGGGAGACCCCGTAACGTAAGCGGGGTCACTATAGGAACGGGGGAAGTAAACAGGGTGAAGAGGGAACCAGGGATAGTGAGAGGGATCAAATAGGGAGTCTGGGGAGAAGCCGGTGGTAGCCGAAGAGGTGCTTCTCTCTCCGGTCGGTGGAGTCGGCAGACTCCACGATCCGACACGAGAGAGAGAGACCGGAGCTAGCCGGCAGGGACCCAGACTCAGAGTAGGACCCCTAGCCCCTGGGAGTTGTGCACCCTGTGTAGTATTGACCAAGAGTAATAAACCCTGGCGGAAGCCCCTAACTTACCTCCGTCTCCGAGTACGTCCGTCGGCCTTCTCTACAACTGGTGTCAGAGTGTCTGCACGGCTGCTACAATGTTTACATCGGGAGCGGAGCGCAAGAACCCAGCGACGGGACGATCGGAGGATGAAGACGGCGGGGAGGAGGCTTCGGCAGTGACCCCGGAGTCCGGGGCTCCGGTGACAGGCCCCGAGAAGACGACGGGCGGGGGTGCCAGCTCGCCGCCACCACCGCTGGAGACGGGGAGCACCCCTGCAGACCTGCTGAGGCAGCTCCTGCAGGCGATCGCGCAGCTCTGCGCCCGTCTCGACATCGCGGAGGCGAAGTTGGGTCCTCCCGGTCCGCACTCGGGATGGGAGCAACTGTCAACTGCCGGGACGCCGCGAGAGGCGGCCGCCATCTTCGCCGCGACGCCCCAGCTGGCTATTTTGCCTGCGACGTCGCCAGCGGCGGCCATGTTGGTTGGGGCGCCTCAGGCGGCCGCCATTTTAACTGCGACGCTGCAGGTGGCGGCCATTGTTCATGCGACGCCGCACGTCGGCGCCATGGCTGCCATGGCAACTGCGACGCCGTTGTCCACCGTGGGTGCCGCCGCGACTTCGCGCCACACCGCGCGCGCGGGGTCTGCCAGCGGCGATGCCACAGCTCCGCACCATGCTGCGCCCGCCGGGGGAGCCCCAGGTACGTCCGGGGCTCCACACCTCGCCGCACCACGGGAGTTGCCGAGGGTGCCGCCGTGGTTCCGGCCATCGCCGCGCTGGCGGGGTACGCTGCGGGTGTCGCCGTGGCCCCGTGCATCGCTGCCGCGGCTCCTCACGATGCCGCGCCGCGGAAGTTGCCGCGGTTCCGAGCATCGCCGTGCCTGCGGGGTTTGGCGCGCCCGCCACCGCGGCTGCTATAGTTGCCGCGGCCGCGGGGTGGGCCGAGGGTCACGCCGGGGCACCGCACCTCGCTGTGCATGCGGGTTTTGCCGCCGGCGACGCCGCACCAGGCTGCTATTTTGCCGCGATCGCGGTGGGGGCCGCCGGCGACGACGCGGCCCCGCACCTCGCGGTGCCTGGGCGTTGCCATGCCGACGCCGCGGCTCTGCATCTTGCCGCGGCATGGGCAGCAGGAGCCGCCGCTCGGGCCGGCGCGCGCCTGGCAGGAGCTGCGTTGGGCTGCTGGGCTGCTGCGGCTCTCCCGGGGCCTGTCACTAGCTGGCACGGTGCCTGCCCTGGCGATTCGTGCCACATGGGGAGGCGTGCGCTCTGTTGATGGCCTGTGGAAACGCTGCCGTCGGCCTCCAGCCCTCATTGCTCAATTGTGTTATGTTGGCGTGTTTTGTCTAAGACTGCCCAATTGTCCGTTTTGGTGTGTTTTGTCTGGGCTGCTCAATTGTTCAATTGTTGTTTGTTGGTGTGTGTTGTCTGGGCCATCGGGATTCCGCCTTTGTATTGATGGCAGCGCGTGATGAGAGTTTCAAAGTTTTGAAATTTGATTGATTGTTGTCATGCTGCCTGGATGTTGTCGGTTGGTTGTGAATATGTTGGTTTGTGGTTCTGGGACTCCTCTACTTTTATATTGTTTACAGCCGAGTCGGCTGAATTTTTTTCACAGGGGGGGGTGATGTAGAGGAGTAGTGGAGAGTGGTGGCGTCGTGTGCGCTGTCCGGTGCGGTGACCTCACGGGACGTGGGGTCGCACGCGCTGGGCAGTGCACGTGACATCACCCCTCCGAGGGTATATAAGGGAGACCCCGTAACGTAAGCGGGGTCACTATAGGAACGGGGGAAGTAAACAGGGTGAAGAGGGAACCAGGGATAGTG